GCATGTATCCTCATCACCCAATTCCTCTTCACCAGCTGTTACGTCTTCTACAGGGGTGTCTATTATAACTCCCTCCTGCAAAACTCCCCGATCTAAGCTCACCTGTATCTCTCCGTCTCCCATCTCTGAAACCCCCTGTTTACTAGTCCCAGGCACCTGTGACTCACGCAGCACAGGATCTGCCCCCCTAACCTCACATATAGCCTCCTCCCTGTTAACTTTATGCGGACACGCCTGTCTCTTATGCCCGACGTCTCCACACTCAAAACACCTTAAGCTCCCAGTAGTAGCATGAATCATGAACGACCGCCCTTCATGCCAAACTCTGAACGACACATCCAAAGTTGGATCGTCTAAAAACATAAACACCTGCCTTCTGAAAGACAGCACGTGCTTAAGGGCACTGTTTTTACAAGCAAGCGGAATCATTTTAATCGAGCCGGCAAATTTCCCAAACCGGGACAGCTCGCGCTCAATGTCAGCGTTCAGAATGAACGGCGGTACGTTCAAAACAGTGACTTTCATTGTTGGAGCAACAAGCGGTGAAACCGCGCAAAACACTCCACTCACCCTAACCCCACTCTCAACCAAGCGGTTCACCAAGCTCTGCTCCTTCAGGAAGATCACCACAGCTTTGTTCATCCGAGACGCAGAGACTATGTTCTCACAGCCGATTAGCTCCCCGACTCCCAGCAGAACCTCCTCCACTGTCTCTCCCGACCCCGGCTCACACCTGACCCCGTGACGGAGTGACAGAGACGGCGCCCCGCCACCGGGGAGAGACGCCATCTCCACACACCGCCACGAAGTTTTCCCGCCAAAATTACCAAGTTACCAAACTATCGTTCACTATCCGACACTGACACACTGTACAATAACACGACCAACAATACCCACTTTAATAACAGTCTAACACCGATAAGAGAGAAAAAGAACAGGATCAAAGCCCAGAAACCCTCTCACCACACACCTCTACCTCCACCTCAGAGAGACAGAGAGAGACAGAGAGAGTCTGTTCTTGTGAGCTAGCCCCTACTTACTCCTGTTCAGCCAAGATCAATGTCATTGTAACTATGTAAATATTATTCATATTTATTTACAGAGTGAGTTACATAATTACATTCATATTCAGTATTGACAGATTTGAGTCTGCACTTCTGGCTTTTTAAAAACAAAAAAAAGATATTTAAGGATTTTAAAGGATTAAAGGATTTTAGTCCAAGCCAATGAAAAGTCCGAAATGTGTTTTGAGCTCTGACTTTGTACCAGTTTGGTAGAATGATCCATATAAGTGATATGATAACTGATGGTCTTTATTCTGTGGAACTTCCGTTGTTGGTTATTTGCATTATTTGTGTGCTTGAACATCTACAGGAAGTGCAGCTGGTTCTGGATCACTGCTCGGGGGCCATGGTGAATGAAGTGGAGGGTTTAGGGGTGGAGGTTTTTGACACAGACCAGTCAGTGTGTAAAGTATCTGCAGACACACCAGGCAGTGAGAGGTGAGAGAATACCTGTTTGTTTATGTGCTCTTTTGTGTGTAGGCCTACTGGCTAAGCATGAGTGGACCCTTCAGATTCTATATGTTTTTAACCCCCGCTGGCAGGCCCAAAGTTTTAATACACACTTCTATAACCTAAGAATAGCTCCATTAGTTTGCATTGAAGTCCCTGTAGTTACTGAATAATAAACCTTTGTATGAAATAAACCTGGCATGTTTAGGGGTTAAAGGAACTTTATATGTATCAAGAGGACATCCACGGTACATATAACCCCTAAAATGGCCAGAATCTGCTGGTGGGTCCAAACTTTTATTACACACATCTGTGATCAAAGAATAACTCAGCCAGTTTTAGTTGTAGTGCATGTAAAAACTGTAATAAGCCAAAGATTTTAAGAGGTTAATGCACAAAAAAGGGTACTGTACAGGTACATTTTTTGTCCCAAGTATAAATATACCCTCAAAGGTACAACGTGGTCCTTAAGGTCCAATTATGAACGTTAAATAACTTTACGTGGTACACTGTGTTCACTTTCCCAGATGAAAGGATCATACTGGCATCTCCTCATAACATTTTTTTGAAAGAAAAATAAAATAAAAGAGCCTGGTGTCACGACAGGGTTAATGCAGTCGGTGCAACTTAAGCAAATAAAAAAAGCACATCGGAAGGGTACAATTATGTTCTCTTAATTGTTTAATATGATCAGAAGAGACTCTACTGACATTAATTCAGAGGACTTTGTGTAGAAGCTGTTGTCATTAGCTGTGTTGTATATGAGAGATCACTGATGCCTTTGTTTTTCTCTGTGTAGATTCCTGAATGTGGATCAGCCTCTGCAGCTCGGAGGAGTGAAGGAAACACACCCGCTGCGTCGCACACACCCTCACTACAAAGGCTTTGTGGGTTGCATCAGAAACCTGGTGGTGGACAGTCAGGTACAGCTTCTTACTCTCAGAGTTTCCTTCTCTGCCTAAAGACTATGCCTCATATACAGCTGTGTCTGTTATACATTACGACGTGCACAGCATCAGAGAGGATTTCCCATTAGGAGACAGGGTCAGGACTTCTCTTCTGCCCTTTTCTTAGGTTACTTGTTATAGGAACACTGCTCTATCAAAGCAGGAAACACACTCAGACACAAAACAGAAGCATATATAACCTGAAAGGTTCTCTTGTTAAAATTTCTGTTAATCCGTTCATGTTATGTTGTGCACTATATACTTTTATTGATCCTACAAGGAAAATGTGTCATTTTGTCAAACTAAGCACTACAAGCTGAGCAGTGCTGCCTAGGGCAGTGAGGTGTGTGGAGTTAAGGGTCTAACCCAAAAATTGGCAATATTTATCAATATTTACTTCTTACTTTTGACAGATGAGTTAAAAGCTTTAAAAGCTTTAGTCAAGGCAGCTGCTGTCTACATAATCACAATCTTTACATGTGCTTTTTTATATGATTTTTCTTTATATTTACTATAAACCTAATTCAGATGTCCTCTGCGTCACCTCATCTGTGTGAGCATCACAGTCTGCAATCATTTTCCTATTTATGCTGAAATGATTGACTATAAGTGGGAGTTTGCCTGTAATTACACGTTTCTACCATTGGAGGTTTTTGCATATGCATGATTAGGAGTAGCTCTAAATATAAACACATTCTAAGTATAGAAACATGCATTAGATGTCAAGTCTAATACATGCCACTGATCGCTTATTGTTTTTAAGACCGAGTTTACCCTGTTTTGCACATACTAACAATACATTACCCCATATTTACCGTATTTACCCGAGTTTTTACAGTCATGTTGAAATGCAGTGTGTGCAGTCTTACAGTTTGAGTGGGTGAAGAATGCTGAGAGAATAGCATTTCCTGACAGGCCTGAGACACTGACATTTCAGATGTTTTTGTGAAGAGCGAACAAAGCTGCAACTTAATGTAGTATCTTGCGATGAAGGTGTGGCATCTTGGCCTGTTATGCCTGAATCTGGAATTAAATATGGAGTTTGAGCACCTGCTCAACACTCAGTATCATCATTTCTTAATGGCATATGCCATAAAGATCTTTAAAGTAGTTTTGATTAATTTAACACAAAAAAACTAAGATAAAAATTTATAAAAATGTATATCGGGAACACAAAAGGAGGTTGCCGCAGCTGGTCAACACATTTACGTAAACACATAAACTTATACATAAAAGCTAAGGTACAAAGATTAAAGAGACAAACAGTAGCACCAAAAAGAAATCTGAGGACTAGAACTAGAACAAAAGAGAGATAGAGAAAAAGACTTGGACATGGACAAAGCAGTTATGCATTTATCCAAATTATATGTAGATTAGACAAACTATGCATGCTGCTGATTCATTACGTGGCAAATGGATTGATTCACAACTATAGCTAAACACAACGTCATTGATTATGTTCAGCCGATAAAGATAGTGTCCACATCACTCCCTCATACGCATCTGGGACTGTCACACAGTTATGCCCAATTTTGGACATATGCAGTTCCACAATGATGGATATACACAGTTCCACAATGAAGGATGTATGCAGTTCCACAATGATGGGCGTACGCAGTTCCACAACGATGGACGTGTGTAGTTCCACAATGATCGAAGTACCCAGTTCCACAACGATGGACATACACAGTTCCACAGTGATGCAAGTTCCCAATTCCTCAATGATAGAAGTACCCAGTTCCACAATGATGGACGTATGCAATTCCACAAAGGTGGATGTACCCAGTTCCACAATGATGGATGTACCCAGATCCACAGTGATGGACGAACGCAGTTCCACAATGATGGAAGTCCCCAGTTTTGCAGTTCTACAAGTTTATGTCTCAATCCAAATTACCTTCGCAAGGAACAGTCACTCTCCAAGCACCATGATGTCCATGATAATCCCCACACAAACAAACCACAGGCATCGTAGAGACACAAAAGCCAAACAAATATATTCCTGGGTCTGAGAAATATATTATTATAAAATCTATTCTGTTAAATCTGTTATGTTAAAAGGTAAACATTTGATTACAGGAGATCATTTATACTCTGATCAGTAGCGATACACTATACAAGCAATGCTTCTTACACCTCAGATGATATAAAGAAATATAAAGCTTTTATTATTCAGTAAGTTGTAGGAACTCCATTTTTGGAAAGGCAGAAGGTTCCTGTAAACTCTCTCTCACAAAACTTATGTCAAGCTACACCAAAATAGTAATATTAAACACTGCAGGACATATATAAGTCCACACTTACATATTACATTGTTCATTGTAGATATTAAATAATTCATATCAGTTACTGAATCATAGGTCAGATCAATGAGTGAATAATAGCCTGGGATTTAAGAGTTTAACTCTGTGCTGGAAAGAAATGGCTAAGCCTAGTAACTCATTAAAAAAACAGCATGATGGCACATTCTGGAGTCAAGTGCTAACTCTGCTACTCCAGTAACACCAGACAGCCCCTTTAGCCTCTGTGTCTCAGGATATGGAGCCAAGGCTGACATCAATACAGGTCACTGTGGTTTCTCAAAGTGCTGACTCAGACTCTTTACTGTCCTCGGTCAGGTGTATGACCTGGGCAGCGCGGCGGAGAGTGAGAACAGTGCCCCTGGGTGTGGACTGACCGATGGAGTGTGTCTGACTGCAGGAGGGCCCTCCTGTGGCCTGCACGGGAAGTGCCTGGGGGAGTGGGGTTCCTTCAGCTGTGACTGCCACCCTGGCTACAGTGGACACAAGTGTGAGAAGGGTGAGCTGCATGTGTAGAATTCAGCACATGTTCATAGAATTGAATGCTTGTTGTGATGCCATTTTGAAATGCAGGGGTAGATGGGTACTGCTCAGTTACCCTCTACTCACTGACCACACAAGAGCCTGTCCCAAAAGATACCTTAAACTCTGAGGTTGTCCTCCAAGTCCAGGGTCAACAACGTGTGGACATATAGGACAAGAGACCTTGAGAGAACTAGGTTACTTGCATGACCCCATTTCAGTACTCTTTTAACATGCCCTCACCAACTTCAGCTCACCACTCAGAAGTGTATCACACCTACATCAGCCCGGCAGCCCACCCGCAGCGCCAGAAGAAGAAGGGACAGAGAGGAGCATTTTTTAAGTGGAATGCAGTTGACCTTAGCTAGGTTAGCCTTAGTTAGCTAATCAGCTAGCCATGCAATTTTTGGAGAGTTTAAGCATAACACGCACATTTTGTGTATGATTGCTTTGTCTGGCTATGAGCTTTGGTTTAGACCTGTGGTTTATTGCCTTTATTTTTTGTTGCTAGCTAAGGACGCTAGCTCAGTAACTAGCTAGCTAGCAGAATTAAAGTATTGAAGTTTTATTCACAGTCATGTATAACAGATGGAGTAGTTTGCTACCTAAAACTCATGTGAACATAGCAAATTGAGTGTTGAAGTATCCTAAATTATATTGTTGCTATGGCTTTTTGTGTCATTTTTGGGGGATTTGAAAAAGGAAAAGTGTCCCCTTGAATTCATAAATGAGATGTGTGACACCTCATGGTCTGATAGTCTTTGTGGGCGTGTGCTTATGAAGAACATAGGACCAGAAGTGAGCCAAATGGGACAGGGCTAAGATGCATTCAGCTAACACTAGACAGTCATAAGTGGTCATTTAATCAGTGTGCATGACGATTGCAAATAATTGCCTAACTGCAAATAAAGGCTTAACTGTTACCTAGTTTAAGTTCACTCTGTCCCGAATCCATGCTTTTAGTGTTTTGAGTGGGTTAGTCCATTACATTTTTAAGCATCTTTTTCCCCACACTTGCTTAGCTAGTGAGCGCTTGCGTAAGGTATGTGTGACGCAGGAGCAAAGTTCAGAAGGGTAGAGAGCAACTCAATGAGAAAAAGAAGTTGACTATTTTTATTCATGTTCAGTGATTTCCTGAAGACTGAGTTGTGTGTTGTGTGTGTTGTTTCCTGGCATGCTGTTGTGTGTGTGTATGCTGACTATGCTGTTGTGTTCTCCAGCTCTCCCTGAGTGGTCCTTTGAGAAGGAGAGCATGCTGAGGTATCAGCTGAGAGGAGGTGGGAGTCCACGGAGGACGCACGCTCAGCTCCTCCTCAGAACACGTTCCTCCTCGGGTAGCCTGCTCAGCATGAGCTCTCGCGACTCCAATGAGTTCATCATACTGCAGGTCAGTGGTGGGCATACACGGTCACACACATTTGCCTCTAATGCATTGAAAAGTACAATTTTTCTTATTTCAATATATCATGTTAACTTCTTAAAGTTGACTGATTCAGATTAGCCTTCTGCACTACCAGATCTGCGCTATTAGTAGTTATTTAATAATTCATAATAATTATTGAATAATTCAGAAATAGTTACTTAATACTTCATAGTAGGTACTGAACAATTCATAGTAATTACTGAATAATTCAGAAGTAGTTACTGAATAATCAAATGTGAATAATGCATTAGTTACTGAATATGTTATAAGTAGTTATTAATTCACAGTAGTTACTGAAGAATTCACAAACATTTATAAATAGTTACTTAACAATTATAATTAGTTACTGCATTATTTGTAGTGGTTGCTGTATATTTCATAGTAATTGCTGAATAATATGCCTTAAAATGAAAAGCCGAATGATGATCTGGGAGTTTAAGGGTTTACAAATAGTAGTCATGATCCTACTTTGTCTGATTCTAATGTGGATGTTGTATTTCCACATGTTCTTTTAGATAGTGGATGGGTATCTGAGTGTCAGCGCCAACCTGGGTGATGGAGCCCACACCCTTAGACTGGGAAGCCAACGAGTGGACTGCGGCCAGTGGGTCATGGTCAGTCTCCATCGCCATGACAACATGTTTCACCCTGCGGCTGGAGCAGGGTGGGGGGTCGCGAGAGGTCTCAGGGGTTCTTGGCCTCAAACGAGAGATCGTGGTGCATCCATCCAGCGTTCTTCTGGGAAACAGTGCTACACACAGCACTCTCACAGACTTTCAAGGTGGGGCTTTATCACTGTCTAATCCTTTTTTTTTGTTACTTTCTACATAACTATAACCTAAAATATGGTAAGACCTGAATGTAAGTCATAGCAATAGATAAAGATAATCTAATAAAATAAAAAAGAACAGTTATTTAGTTTCTTATCCATTTATTGAACAAAGCGATACATGATTAAATGTCTTTGTTGGCAAAAAGTACGTTTGGCAAAACCAAACACTGCATTCCGGCATCAGAACGCCGTCTCAACTTTGAAACACAATGGTGGCAGTATTGTGGTTTGGGGCTGTTTTGCTGGTGTTGGACCAGGACAGCTTGCTATCATTTGATGGAATTCTTGATTTTATCAAGAAATTCAAGAACTCCTTGCTACTCAAGGGTGTCAATCCAGTTTCTAAAAGCAGAGGTTCACATACTTTTGCCAACGAAGACATTTAATGTTAGATTGCTTAGTTCAATAAATAAATAAAAGACTATATACTTTTGTGTCATTTGTTTATGTTGGGTTTTCTTCATCTTTTGTTTATCTTTTTGTTACCTGAACATTTTATGTGGCACATTTATTCACAAACTGATGAAGAATTCACAACATTCACAAGATTCACAATATATATACATATACACACACTCACTGAGCACTTTATTAGGAACACTATGCTAATACTGGACAGCTCCTCCCTTTGCTCTCTAAACGGCCTTCGTTTCGTGGCACAATTCCACAAGATGTTGGAAACCATCCAAGGCCAGTGAAGAACACTGAACTCATTGTCATGTTCATGAAACCTATTTGAAATTATTTTTGCTTTGCGACATGGTGCATTATCATGCTGGAAGTAGCCACTGGAAGATGGTAAATTGTGGCCATGAAGGGATGCGCATGGTCAACAACAGTACTCAAATAGGGTGTGGTATTCAAGCGATGATTGATTGGTATTAATCATTTATCAGGCCAGGCTAGGTTTTTCCAGTCTTCAGCTGTCCAGTTTTGGTGAACCTGTGACCACCGCAGCCTCAGCTTTCTGTTCTTGGCTGACAGAAGTGGAACCTGACGTGATTGTGACGCTGTTGTAGCCCATCCACCTCAACAACGCATTTCCGTCTATACAACTGCTGCTCACTGGATGTTTTTTCTTTGTTGCACCACTCTGAGTAAGCTCTAGAGGCTCAGGAGAATCCCAGATCAGCATTTATAGAAATACTCAAACCAGCCCATCTGGCACCAACAATCATGCCAAAGTCAAGAGCACATTTTTCCCCATTCTGATGGTTGATGTAAACTGAAGCTGCATGATTTTATGCACTGCACTGCTGCCACACGATTGACTGATTAGATGATTGCATGAATAAGTGCAGGTGTTCTTAATAAAGAGCTCAGTGAGTGAATACACAGTGTTATGTTTGTATGGTGGTGAGTATTTAACCCTTGTGATGTATTTGTGTGTACAGGCTGTATGCGTGATGTACGGCTGAATGGTCACTCTCTGCCGCTGGACGGTCAGAGCAGTGAGTTTGCTACAGTGCTGGAGCGGCGCGGGGTGCAGACAGGCTGCCACTCAGACGCCTGTAGCTCCAAACCCTGTCACAGCCCTCTGTACTGCGTAGATCTGTGGAGGAAACACGAGTGCAGGTCAGGCTCTACTCTCCTTCACTGCTTCAGACTCTCACCTTTAACCCTAACAGTCTAGAGTCATTAATGCATAACAGTGCATTCATTTTATGTTAAGTAATGAATTAAATGTAACTAATGAGTGTTTTTCTTTCTGCAAAACAAGACTAGATAATTAAAATGATAATAAAATATATCGTCTTGTTTAAACAAAATTGTGGTGTCAACTGAACGTTTTCAGTTCTTTGCTTTAAAGAAATGTTTCAATGAATTATGAATGTGAAATTGGTAATATCAGATGACCACATGCTGGTATGCTATGTATATTAATTACTGCTGATAATGGGAAACAATTCATTATCAGGAAATCTGGACAGTTAAGCTGTTTAAATTGTCAAATTTAATCATTTTAAAAACGTTCAGTGTAATTAGAGCGCGTTCTACCCCCATTAATTCTTCGTGGCTGATTTGTGTTTTCTGTGTGTGCATGCAGGTGTCCAGCAGGTCAGTTGGCTGTTGCTGATGAGCTCACAGGGGTGGTGCAGTGCGCTGCGTCCCCATGCGGCCCCTCCACATGCCGGAATGGAGGCACTTGTCTGGCTCACTCCACCAAAAGTTACCAGTGCCGCTGCCCGGAGGGCTTCAGGGGCCAGTGGTGTGAGCTGGGGCAGACCAAAGCCCTGCGCCTCACTGCGCTCAGCCCCAGCTCCATCCTCGCCATCAGCATGTGCCTGCTTGTCTTCTTCGGTAAATACTGCTCTGATCCTTACAGTTTACATGTTAGCACTGATCAGCACTCAAATCTTTCAGGTCTATAAACTACTTTTGGGATAAAAGAGTACATAATTCCGTATGTGTTATTTCACAGTTTGATGCTTTCACTTGTACTGTAAAATTAGTAAAATAGATGGCTAAAAATAAGAAATACCCTTATATGAGTAGGTGTATCTTCTATGAGTAGACTGTTGAATGGTTGTGTACATACGACACGCATTTTCAGTCATCAGCTCTGTTTCAGTGGTGCAGTGTGGGAGAGTAATTGTATTTGGCCCTCTGTGACAGTGCCTCTTTCAAGACTTGCCCATACCTCCATTATTCATTAGCAGTGATGGTGAACACCTCACAGATTTGTTATAGTGCAGAGAGAGTCTGGCAGCACTGATCAGCCAACAGAAACAGACACAGAGAGATGAGTCATGGAGCACAGCCAGCATGTGTGTATGCGGGTGTGCACCTCTGACAGGTGTACTGAAGGGTTGGCAGTGCCCTCGAGGCCCCTCTGCCTGCCTTATCAACCACATTACAGGCAGCATGCCAACCTAAAGAGTTTCCCACCCAGGCTCCAATAAGAGTTGAACCAAAGCATATCAAAGTGGGGAAAAAGTATACAGTACTTACACTACTTGTCCAAAAGTATGTAGACACCTGTTCATCCAACATTTCTTCTGAGATCAAGGTTATTAACAGAAGGTTATTAAGGTTATTAAGAGCTTGTCCCCCTTTGCTGCAGTAACTGCCTCTACTCCTCTGAGAAGGCTTTACACTAGATGTTGGAAGATTGCTGTGAGGATTTGGTTGCATTCAGCCACAAGAGCATTGGTGAGCTCAGGTACTGACGTTAGGTGATCAGTTCTTGATCAGAAACTCCACTCCAACTCATCCTAAAGGTATTGGATGGAGCTCCATCACTCCAGAGAACACAGTTCCACTGCTCTACAGCTCAATGCTGGGGGGCATTACACCCTTGGCATTGGACATGGTGAGCTTAGGCTCATGTAGCTGCTCCAGAGTGTCCTATTCTATTGGAAATGCCTTTCTATAGAGATTACATAGCTATATGTGCGCAATTGAACACCTGTGTCAGTTATAGGGGTGCGGAAAATAATCGATTCTTAGATGCATCGCGATGCGGATTTGAACGACTCTGAATCGATTCACAAATGTCAAAAATCGATTTTCTAAATTTAAATTTATAACGTAATGTTGCCGGAACACAAAAGGCGGAACTTGGAAGTGCGGAAGTGCAGCGTCCGGACAGTCTGTGGCGGCACATAACAAAAACACAACTGGATGAACGAGAAATTCGACCAGCACCCTCTGCATTAAAAGCCAGGTTAGGTAAGGAGTCACAACCCAAATGTTAAGAAGAGCCATTTTGTCCTTTCAGCAAAAATCAAACCAGCTTGGGAGCCACAACATTTAATGTCCAGTATGTCTCAGTATGTGATAATGTTCTAGTATAGGCTAAAAAATATAACATTAAAACGAAAACACAGACTTACTTTGCTCTGCTTTAAGCTTTAGCTATAGCCGCTTTCCTCCCATCTCTGCCAGAAAACTTTTCCTCAAAAGTTGAATAGTTTCTTGTAAAATGTCTCTCAACGTTCGACTGTTTTATGAGGCTGAAGTCGCTTCTCATTCTCCAGCTTCTTGTTCGAATTTTCCCGTTCCACCTTAAATTCTGGATGAGGCGCCTAATGTAAATGCAGCACCATTTAAGGTGGAACGGGAAAATTCGAAAGAGAAGCGACTTCAGCTTCACAACTTTTTAGTGTTTGACAGTCTCTCGTTGCAGATTTAACGTACCAGGAAACCAACTGCGCTGCTTATAAATGCGAATAAGTCCATTCGTCTCCAGATGTTCGTCGTAAATCTTTCTCTTTGACCTTTCGTTAGCTACTAGCCAGGCAAGACTGTTTTGCTAAAATGTCTGCACACCAATCCTCAGGCGTTGAGAACCAGCAATCCCCCCAGTCTCTACAACGAGACCAAAACCAAAGTTATAAAATCACTAAAGAAAACGGTAGTAGGACAGCTGTAACATGTGCTGCATGGACATCCATGACCACTGGATCTTATGTCACCCTAACAGTGCATTTTGTCACAAATGAGTGGCAACAGCATTTCGTGCTCCAAACTAGATCAGTGAATGAGAGCCTTCCAGTTCACTTGCCACATCACTTCCATTTGATTTATTAATAAAAGATATTGGAAGTAAATTCATTATGGATCATTACAAATACTTTGCTTTAAAAGTTCCAAGTCCTCACACAGTGAGAAAATAGAAATCCTGTATAGAAAAAAAGATGCATCAAGATTCATTAATAATCGTTTTATAATCACATCACAGCCCTCTGAATCATAATCGAATCGAATCATGAGGTGCCTAGAGATTCCCACCCCTAGTCAGTAGTCAGTAGTGAGACCCTCTACAGTAACTGATGGATGAAAAATGGATTTGGGAAAGGACTGCAAGAGAATAAATGAGGAGTTCCATGCTGTGTACCCATTGAAGAAAAAAACAACAACAAAAAAACAGTTTCTTCTCTGATAAAAGTAGTATGAATAATAATACAGTGCTACTATGTATAAACCTCACTCCTAACAACATATACCATGGAAAACAAACAAAAAAAAATGAAAGTGGCATTAATGCGTTTTTAACTGTTACTGTATTTGGACCATTGTGATAATACGCTGTCCAAGAATTGTCCACACCTCCATTATTTTTCAGGAGGGTTCTCTTCATCTTCATCTTAGGAGGAATCTCTTCATCTTAACGTACTCTTCTCCCCTGACTCTTCCTTTCTAGCCGTGCTGGTGGCAGTGACCGTGTGGAACCAGAAGGGCAGTCGGAATAAGTTCCGGAAGCGCGGAGTGTATCACATCCCGGCGGAGCACGAGAGCTGGGAGGACATCCGGGAGAACATCCTCAACTACAACGAGGAGGGCGGCGGAGAGCAGGACCAGGTACACCACTGTCCACATCACTGACACATAACATATTGATTTACCTTCAGTTCCTTACTGGAAGTTCCTGTGAGAAAAAAGAGTGGAATTACACTCAGCAGGTCTGAGGCTTTTTTATGTTCCGTCCACTAGATGGCAGCGTTGTGTCATTGTTGTTAGCTGCGTCACTTCAGCAGTATTGTGCCCGTCACTACGAGTTTTGTGTAATATTAATATTAATGATATTTCACATGCAAGATACAAGAAAAGTTTATTATTGTCCTGAGTTAGTTTAGGAATATGGTTCTGTTGCCAAAAAAAAACAAGAAAAAAAGAGGAAAATAGTAAATAATGTTCCGCATTATAAAACATTGATGACTGATTAAGCTTTTAGAAGAAAAGTAGAGTTTCAAAGCCAATTTGATTTTCCTTTATTAGTTATTTAACAATTTTTTGGCTGACATATTTCAAATCTGACCTTTAGAAGTTCTGTGTTCTCTTCAAATATAAAGCCAGAACTACCAAACCTGGCATGATGTTTTCATATGCTATTCTTTCTTTTTTTCATTCTCATAGGCCTCTTCTGTCTAATCTTAGAGTTTCTTCCAACACTCCAGCTTCAGCTTTTCACCAGATGTCCACAGACATGTGTTTAAGGGGAACTTCTTCATAATTCAATGGTTGAAAAGTAAACAGTCACTCAGTGTAATTTGATGTAAAAGAATGCACTGCAGAGGAAACTTTCTGATTTTCTGGTGATAGGAACCAGGTGTTGTGATGCCAAATATAGCCATTTTATTTACTATTCAAAAAGAACAGTGAACCCACACGAGTTTTTAAATGCTAATAATGATAAAACAGTGAAACATCTTTTAAAAAAAAAACATTCTGGGCTATTTTGCCTTATTACCCTCTGCATGTCCCTCCCTGTGATGAGTGTCTTACAAGGAACCTATTGATAGCATTTCATGTAATAGCTTTCTGTGATGTAATTTCTAGACACTTAATCTTTCAGACATTTGGTTCCTATCACCACCACTGGTAAGATTCTCTATAATGGAGCATGTCACACCAAACCACTCTGATTGACTGTGTACACATCATAACAATTTAATTATGCAGAAATTCTGAAAAATTAGTGGAATTCTCCTTTAAGATGTCAAAGTTATTCAGAGCGGTTTAAAATGCTCCATTCTAGAAAAACTTACTGACTACATTCCCTCACAGAAAGTTATTACAATGAATATGCTGCCTGAGACATTGTTTTATGATAGTTTTGGGATAATATTTTGGCCTAAAACTTACTTTTAAAATCAATTGATGACAGGGCGTACATACAGGGTGTTGTAAGGCAAAACAGTCCCCAAAGAAAACTTTTTTTTTTTTAGATTCATCACTATTTGGTCATGAGCAACATTACTTACTAAAATCAGAAGACATGTGTAGGTTCACTGGTGGTTTTGGATAGTAACTAACATGGCTATATTTGCGTTGTAGACATTGTGACCACTGGTTCCTCATTCCACACCAAACCACTCTGAATGACTGTTTATATCTTAACAGTTTAATAACATCAGCTTCAATTCCAGTAACTTATGGCCTTCACTGCATATATTTGGCTGCTCATTTAGTCACCCAGCTTGTTTAGTTTTTTGAGGCTACATAAATGCATTTTTGTCTTCATGCCTTTCGTATATCCTCTATACTTCCCACAAATCTTTCTTTATCTATTATCTATCCCATTCACAGCTCACACTCTCACATAATTAAATCAAGCAGTGTATCTAACACATTAATTTTGAAGAATGAACATTAACCCACAGGGGTGGGATTAGAGGGGGCACGCGCTTGTTTGGAGCGGATTTCGCTGCAATCCAGCACCAAAAGTTTAACCAGCTCTCCCCAGACATGTATTCTCGTTGCGAGATAATAGCACATTAGTTATCATTGTGCATGTGCATTGTGCAAAGAAATTGCTAAGAACAGTAATATCAGCCATTTTGAAGCCTGAATTTTGTCCCTACTGTTGTTGGGGTGGTAAAAGCTTCTAGAAAGTGTTAGCAACATCAGTGTTATAGTAGATTTTGGACATCAAACACCATGACTGATAACATTTGAGGAAAATTGTGTATGTATTGGTCAACCTGTTACTTGAACGAAAGTAAAAAAAATGACTTGAATGAAGTGCTTGACCCCTGCTCTCTTTACCTCCCCCAGAATGCGTATGACATCACGGAGCTGAAGAGGCCACTGTGCTCCAGCCTGTCTCAGTCTTCGTCCTGCACTACGGCTCCTCTCATCAAGTCCTCTCAAGGCTCTCAGGAGGAGGTGCACCCGGGTGGGCCACTGACCTACCACCACAACCCGGGCTGCAGCACACACTGCGCCATGGACTTCAAGAACTATGTGGCGCGGATCATCTGGGAGGCGGACAACGATAGCCTGGCCTTCCCCATGGACACCTACCATGTGTACTGCATAGAGGGCGAGGGGTCCAGCGCAGGCAGCCTCAGCTCTCTCAGCTCCGCCATCCCTGAGGATGACTTCAGTTATGACTACCTGCGTCACTGGGGGCCCAAGTTCGAGGGCCTGAGTGAGCTGTACCGTAGGCCGGAGCTGGCCCTCACTTACAGGGATGCTGTCCAGAGCCAGAACCACAGCCAGAGCAAAAGCCTCGAGCAACTGCAGTAATGCCGCTTTCACAAAGATATTTTGGTATCCTTCAAAAAACTAATTGGTATGCGTTAGTGGTTTGTTGTGGGCAGAGATCGGCATGAGCGGGCAAGTCATTCAAATATGAATGCTTGTAAAGAAAAACTGCTAGTGGTTGCTGGTCCTCACAGAAGTAAGTGAAACATGCATAGCTCCTCTGGCCTGAGGCATGAGCTTTTCTTATAGATCAGGGGTGCCTAAACCTAGTCCTGGAGATCTGCCCCCTGAAGAGTTTAGGTCCAACACACAGTACTGTGCAAAAGTCAGAGGCCACTCTTCCTTTACTTCATTTCCTGTCACAGTTGGATTGTGAGAAGCAGAAAATGCAACCAACTTCTAAGACTGAACTTTGGAAGTGTGGAAAAATGTCCCTGCAGATTTCTTTGAAAAAATGAAAGTAAGCCTCCTAGAAAGAATGGAAGCTGTGGTAAATGCAAAGAGTGGACACACAAAATAGTGAAAAAATGTATATTGTATTTAGTTCTTCTTTGTTTTCGATATGTTTCTGCTTTTTTATACTGGAAAATAAGTCAATGGCTGAAGGGTGGTCTCTGACTTTTGCACGCTACTATACCTGGCTCTGATATTCAGATGCTCTTGAAGGCCTTCATTACCTGGATCAGGTGTGTTAGATTAGGGGCGGAGCTAAACTTTACAGTGTGGTAGATCTCCAGGACCAGGACTGGGCACTCCTGTCATAGATCTTTAGAGCTGGATTGTGCAGCTCTGGATGTGAACTGACACCATTTAATAGTTTCTCCTCCAACCTGCTCAACATCCACATGGCTAGCTGAAGCCCTGTCCCTGTCTCCTATTGGCTGACACCTGCTTAGGTCAGAGTATGCTCTGTCAAAAATTCTAATGCACTGCATTGTTCTTTTTGAAAGAGGTGCATTTTTGACAGAAACCAAAATTTCCTTGTGAATGCAGCCTGACCCCACATGCCTGCCAGCGAAAGTTTCCATCTTCCTGTGTGTGTTCTGTGTCCTTTATTGAGTTCCACTTACAGACTGATGGCAATCCGTCTTTTCCTTTGTGAAACTGCCATGAAAGCTTTAAGACGAACAGAAGAACGGATAACAGATGCTCTTTATTTATTCAGTTTCTCTCAGTGTGAACTGTTCAAGTGTACTGTATTTATTTTAGTCTTGAGAGATGTTTTACACACGGAACAAAAGCCAGAGAAAAACTATTTGCATTTTTTTGCATTGAGAGGCATTTTCTGTGTCCGGTTATGTTCGTATCTCCAGGAGGAGAGAACACAAACAGTCTTCGTTATTCCGAGCAGATGACCAATCAGGGCGTAAGCATGATGTGCACCCTGTTTGTCACTAGTGAGAAATACCTCAGCCCTAGTGATGAGTCCTGTATTCCATCTATTTTCCAAAAAGAGGCTGTTAAGGCACCTTAAGACTACAGGGGGAAGTTGGAAAGTCTGATGCGGCAGTTCTGCACGATTTGCTGTGCTATACAGAGAACTACAGTGGATGAGCTTCTGTCAGTGGGTGAGCTACTTTGCACTCTGGTATAAATCCTGTCATGGGTGTTCACTGTGTTGTTTAAAAAAAAGACTTTTTGCCATTCTTTTCTCTCCCATGTTGGGGTATCTGTGCAAGCTGATCTTTTCTGACACCTCAGTCTGATGTGTTTAATCAAGCCATCCGTTTCCATTCTGTTTTTAACAAGCCCTCACCATTTCCCCTCAGAGAATCTTGGAGAGTGAACATAAGTTTCAGCTTTAGCTTGATTTAGGAATTCAATTTATGTGGGTTCCTGTGGTAATTTCCTCTTTTACAGGTGCTACTCTGTCATTTTATTTCTGTCCGGAATGGCCATGTTTGTTTTTCTTCTTTCTCCTTTTAGAACATTGTAGGCCGAACTTTCTGCTGTTTTCCATTGAACCCAGCTGTAACCTGATTATGTTAGTCCCATCCAGATACACATCTCCTTTTTTTCGAGGCAGATATTGCCTCATCTTGGGGAAAAAAAGGTTTTGAATGCTGCTATTCACCATATTTAGCCACCTAGCCCTCCTGAATCAGAAAATAGTGGATGCTTTTGAACAATCTCTTAACCATTTACTTGGTCTTGGTGGTAGAACTTCATCTCCATCCTCGCTACGTAGAGAGAGCATTAGCAGAGGAGAAAAAACATAAAGTAGATGCTGCTTGCTGATTTAAGGAGCAGTTATTATGGCAGCTACAGGTATAAAGCATTACTTTATATTCACAATATCATCCTTTTTAGTTGATTATATGACCACACGACCTTCGTAGAAAATACAACCCACTAGAAACTCACTTATTTTATTGAGAAGATGTGCGAAAATATTACACTGATCTAATCAGAATAGACCTTTAGGTGACAGAACTTGCCCAGAATGTATGCATTATCTGACAGATTTCCAAAAAAGCTGTTTATAAGCCATATTTTGAAACCATAACATTGATTTGCTGTGTTCAGAGTGTTCTAGATAGCAGACTACTCCATCTGTTACACATGACTGCAGATATAACTTCATCACTTTACTATGCCAGCTTGAAAGTGAACAAGCTAACGTCTACACAGATAGCAACAACAAAACATAAAGGTTATACACCACAGTTCTGCACCAAAGGTTACAGTCAGACAAAGCAACATTTTATGTATATGTTCAAACTTTTCTGCGCTTTGGAAACTTTGCATAGCTCGCTAATGAATTCACTAATCTGCTCGCCACTCTCCCCTCCTCTCCTTGTGCTGCAAGTGCCCACTTGTATAACATAGGTGTGACGCAACTCTGAATCGAAGTTGGCGAGGGCATGTTAAAAATATATTGAAACAGGAGCAAAGTGAGACTGATAAAGTCAGGTGAATGTATTGTACAATAACAGACAGGAAAAAGACTGACTGCGGTGTGTCAAGGTCAAAACAGCGAAAAAAACAATCAATACGTAACTGTTTGAATCATTTTGAATGGCCTAAATAAATATAGTTCTATTTTTGTTGCTGTGAAAGCAAGAATATTAGATCTGCAGGATCTTCTCCCTTTTTATTTTTTTAGTGCAGAATGAGTCCTAAGAATCAGTGTTACCATTAAAAATTGGCTTACCCTACAATGCTTATTTCATAGATACATGTACGATTGGCATTTTCAACTTTTTTTTCCCTTATACTTTAGGATTTCTACCCCAAACATTGTGCTGACTAAATATGTTCTGTTAGCTTTGAATAGATCCAGACAAAACCAGCCGATCTGAGTGAGGATTTGAAACCAAGAAGAGATACGCACAAGCCCAGTGCAGTTAACAGGAGACTGCTGCTGTTTCATTGTAGACTAATAGAGATAGAATAGAATCTAGTTAAGGACATCAATCCCAGAGGCCAAGCCTGGACTGACAGGACCCAACAGCACCCACGCATGTTCCTAATGAGACTCCTACTGTGTGTGTGTGTGTGTGTGTGTGTGTGTTTGTGTGTGTGTGTGTGTGTGTGTTGTGTGTGTGTGTGTGTGTGTGTGTGCGTGTGTGCTGTCGATGGCACAATTACAAACATTCCACTCCCTCCCTCTCACAGCCGTTATGCGATCCTCGTACTGGATACAGGCCCTATGACCTTGTCATGTATATAATGTACATATATATGTTTTCTAGGGATCTAACGTCAAATATTCCTTTTTGTATTTGAATTTTAATAAATAAAATGTTTTCCTTAAAGCAGTTCAAACTGTGTGGTTGCTCTTCTTTAGTTCCAGTAGGGGACGAAACTTTTGATCGGTAGATAGACCACATTATATGTGGCCCACCAGCCAATACAGTCATGGCTACAGCCAAAAAGCACAAAAATACAAATGTGCCCACCTCGTGTCAAAAGGTATTAAATATCAAAAAACATTATGAAACAAAGCATGGACATTACAATCAATATTCTGGTGGCAAAAGGGCAGATCAAATAAGGCAGCTGGACTTTAGGTCATGCTGGTCTGCAAAATCAGTAGTTCATGCATTAATCGTTCTAAACATTTGTGTTTTCCATATTTTGAATACTTCGTGGTAGAACTTTGCAACTATCCTATGACCAGCACAATATGACACAGCTGCCTGATTTCACCAAGTAGAAGAAATATTTTTATGCTCTTTTCCACTTTTTAATTCTTTTTAATTCTTTGTTTCTGGTTCAAATTGTGATTTTTTAGGTTGTAACATCCCCCAGTTTGACCAGTCCGTGGTTCATTATGATGATCTCCTCCCAGTATTCTGCACTGTATGCATCAGTTGAAAATTTCCATAAATGTATTTGCTATGAAGCAAAAGTGGCCACCCCTGTTGGTCTTCATATGGGCGCTGAAGAATCATTGCCCCTATTTAAGTAAGCCACTTTTCAGCAACAAATTAGGGTTCACAATTTAGCAAGAAGTGACCAGCCCACAGGTATTTTGATATGATCGGATCTGGCCCCCTTTGAACCTTCTGAGATTTAGTAATGAGATAAAATATTAAGCATATTTCTTGTATCTAATTACAGTTATTTTTTGTTTATAATTTTATGCCATTTCATCCTTAATCTATTCATTAGTATGATGAGGAAAAATGCCACAGATGTTGTTGTGAGTGGGCTAAAGTGATGAAATTTTACATCATGGATGAAGATCTAACAGTACCCATTTTTTGATTACATGTAATTTTCATACTTTTATTCACAATCAATGTAGGGTTTTCTATGTTGTTATAGTCTTCTGTAGTAAAAAGAGTAGATTTGATGTGTCACATTAAATCATCAAAGCTCACTCTTCAGCAACATTCTTCAAATTTATGCTCAGACGAGCTCTGAGAACATAAGAACCAAACCTTAAATCTTAAATCTATATTAAAATACTAAATACTAAATAATAACACTAATACTAAAATTCCAGATGTGGACATTAATGGCTGAATGGCTGTAATGAAATATCATATTTTGCATACTTCTTTCATGTAATTCGAATAACACATTTAATTTCATAAATGTTTTCCTTATTAAGCAACAGAGTAGATCAACTGAGTGAGAACCTTCCAGAGAATAAGAACAATCTCAGTCTTAATGGTTGCATGTGGGGCACTTGGAGAAAGTGGGGGGGTTTCTTTGTTTGAGTGATTGCTGGGGAGTGTGTGTGTGTGTTGGGGGGTGTTTTAGGAGAGCTGAGTGTGTTATGGGGGAGCTGAAGACCGCTAAGGAGGGGGTGCCTTTTCCCAGGCCTACACAAAGACTCACACAACAGCGGCATTGTGAAGAGAGGAGCCCTGCGGCTCCTACACCAGCCAGTTTGTCTGGAGCAACACCTACGAGCAGAGGCCCAAAGACACATACAAGTGTAACATGGGCTCAATGTCTCAGCCATGCTTTGTGCTCACAGCTCAGTCACAGTCAGATGGGTTTTTTTGGACATTAGAGAATGATTTTTCTATTCAATCTCCAGCACCAGGCATGCACAGTGTTAGTTACAGCTAAGCAAAGCCATAGTTACTACCACTCTACTGTTATTATTACTATTACTACTGCTACTAAAAGGGTTCCTCTGCTATTATAAGCTTGACATCGTAACAATAGCAGAACCCTTTTAGGGCTAAACAGAACCCTTTTCAAAAAGGTTCTATATAAAACCATCAATATGAAGAACACTTTCATGATTCAAAGAACCCTTTACTCGTTCTGTACAGAACCATTTTCTTTGCTAAAGAACCATTTATTTAAAGAAATTTTAAAAATAGCTAATTTATCTACATTTTACTTGAGAATAATTGAGTTAAAGTAACTAGTAACTGTTTTTGATCAACAATACGAGACATTATATGTATTAATCCACCGTGTCTGAAATATCCTTTGGATTTCTAAATGGCTTTTCACCAAAGACTATGATTTTTAATAAATCCAAATATGATTGTGAATAAAAGTGTAATTAAAACGGATATGTAATGGATAGTTTTAGTTTTTCAGTGTATAACTATTCAAAATCATCAATTTAGGCCAATCAGAATATGTTCTGTGGCATTTTTCCTTATCACATCATTCCTTATCCTGTCATTTTTCATTCATAAAGGCACAAACAATGTAAATGTACCCTCACAATAGGTACAAAGGTACAACAGTGGTTTTAAGGTTCAACTGTGTGCCTTATTTTTATTTTTTTTTTTTAGAGACACGAGAGGGTGTATGGAGTCAATTCACTTGAAAAAAATGTAATTGCAGTAGATTATGGTACAATTATGTTGCATAACTAAAGGTACTGAAGACAAACCCCTGAGGGTTTTTCTGAGAGTGTACTAAATTTACTTGTTAGGTATGAATTGCGAGGTTTTACACTAGAAAACATATAAAAACCGAGACCTATCACTTCATTCAGAACAGCTGAGTTGCAAAACAGCTGTAGGTGTCACGAAAGTTGAAACGGCTGTTTTAGAACACGGATAATTAGGATTAACCCGAGTTATTGTAGGAAACTCTCACTAGATCATTTCACACTCTCCTGACAAAACCAGCCTTCACACTGCATTAGAAAAGCAGCTCCTCTGCCAGGCAGATGTGAGCAAAGGCCACAGTGTGAAGCTAACACTTTGTTCTCACAGGTCTAATTCGTCACTCAGGACAAAAATAAAGGTTTGTTTTGTTAGTGGTCTGCTTTATGATCTCTTTCTAGCTCGATCGTGACGATCAAGCAGCGTCCACTGCAGGGATTTCAGATTTAGTTTTTCTCCGCTGCTTACAGACTGTGCGCTGGTGCACAACTCAGAATATCTGAAGCTTCACTGGGTCAAGTTCTTAACATGTTTCACAGCATTTCTGTCACTAAGTAAGTATGAATGAATGCTTCCATTTCACATCAGCAGCCAAAAATATGCTAAAACAAAAGCACAAACTGTTGCTCCTTTAATATATTTCACATTAGAGATTTACATTGAAGCAGTGAAAACATTTCAACACAATACCATATGTACACACGTATCCTCTCCTGTACAGCTTTATAGGGTTAATTTTACACCGTCTTCTAGTTTACAGGCTCTGGATTTGGCTCCTAGCTCTCTGGGAGTAAAAAAACATGTATCAAGCTGTGCTACATGTGTAAGGCTCAGTACAATACTGCGTCTTACAGTTATTTTAGATACAAATTCATAAATAAGCAAGCATTCAATTAAATATTTGCCTTTGGCAATAAAAATGAAATGGAATTCATAGCAATATGAAAATTACATTTAAAAACAGAAAAACAAAATGGTAACATCCAAAATTCTGCAATTTTAAATTTGTTAAGCTCATTTCAGAGTGGAAAATACAAGTCTTTAAGGAATGTGTTCCTATGAAATAAATGCAGCACGACTCCTCTGCACCAGCTTCAAGCACAGCAAGTAGCCTTCAGTAACTGACCACTCGCACGCTGCAGGATTTCTGCTTCACAATAACCAGAGCTTAACAGCACCATTGAATAGAGCAGCTATAGCAAACGTACTTATGTACACGTTTATATTTAAATTATTAAAAAATAATAAATCTCACACACACTGTCTCTAACCATAAAGGAGCAGCAATCGTAAATGCTGCCACTTGCTCATGGTAGATGTTTGACAAAGAGAAGCCCTAAAAATGTCTATGTAGGACTAAAATACCTGTAAACATTGCCTTAAGTCCTTAATGAAAGGCACACTGGACTGCTATTTTGTGAGATCAAACGCACTCACTTCACCTGACCACTGTTTTCTGAATCGTATAGCACCACAGCTGGGCCTGTGTTGCTCTTCCCAACACTGATGTACACACTTAAGCAATGCTTATTAAGCCCAGTTTAAGGCTTCTGCTGAAAGTTCTGCACATAAGTTCACGTCTCCTTGGGGAATGAGGCCGAATGGGGACCTCTTAACTTCTTAAACCTGTAGTGTTGTCAGAAAGGCGCTGATAGGCTGTGACTGCCAGATCATGCAGATCAGAGATGAGGATGGGCCAGCAGATGGTTATCCTTCTAAGCCTCTCAGACGTTAGCGGGCTTCTCTGTGCTTTTGGGTGGAGTCAGCAGGCCTCCAACAGGCACTGGAGATAACCGGTCCAAGTTCTCCTGCTGTCGCTGATGAGCGTTGTTCTGGGGATAGATAAATGAATATTAATATTTATTTAAAAATTTGGCAGATCTTTGTTGCCATTTTGCAAGAATGTATATAACGTGAGGCAGGTTAGGGCACGCTGTATATGAGTATTTGAATGCTGCTGCTACACCTCCACCAAAATGTATCATAATTATGTATGACTCATTGTGCTTAATAGCCAGTTGCCTCTTATGTAGCACTTTATTTGATTCATGTTATTTAAATAGGCAACCATTTTTTATTTAAGGATTTACAACGACAGCTTGACCACTAAGGAGTAAATTATATTTTTATTTATAATATTTTTTTTAAATATACTTATATTTAGTCTTGGAAATGTTCTAAAGTGTTTATGTTTATTTAGCCAACATAGTGTAAAATTCAGGGGTTGAAATAAAAATAATTATTATAATAGGTGATTGGTGCACCCCTAACAACAACAACAATAGTAATAATAATAATAATAATAATAATAATAATAATAATAATAATAGTACTACTCAGCTTTTAATTACCAACTCATAATCAAGAAAAACAGGGTGAATATAAAATGATAAAGTGATAAAACCAGCTCTCACCAACATCGCCAGATAGTCTACATGTGTCTGAATGTTGTGTCTGTCCTCTGCTGCCACCTTCTTGAAGTCCTTCAACCTGGGCCTTCCACACTCACTCACTGTCCTCATGAAGGGGGTCATCCAGCGGACACAACTGGATATACTGTCCCATGTCAGCCCTTAAACAAAATGACATACATAAACATTAATTTCTAGTGCACCTGAAACAGTATTCTTTATGCAACACAGTCCAGTTAATGAGCTGAAAATTAGTACCATTATCCATGATCACTATTCAGTGGTGTTATGTATTCAAATGGAAGGTCTTTAGTATTGTAGAAGACACTTTGCGGACCACTAACAACTTCCTGACCATTATTCTTAAACACTGAAATCTTGCAAAAAAATATAAAAAGCTAAATAAATAAGTGGTTAAGCATTCTGTAAGCCAGTCTGGTGAACAGTAAACACATGTACATACGCTTAACTGAAGAACAACAACTGTAAATGCAAACTGTAGTTTTTGACGAAATGGTTCAGCAAAAAAATCCATTTATACAATTTTCCACTTAACCCAGATGTAGTCAATCAGCCAAGACATGTTTGGTGTCCAACTTTTGCTTTTTTAATTTAGCTCTGGAGCTACAAGTCTAATGTTGTTGGCAAACACTAGAAGTCAACAGTCACCCAAATCTTTTATTTAAATACATCTCCAAATCTTCTCTCAACTCATTTGAACTGCATACGGCTTTTTATTTTGGTCGCGCTGACTTGTCAAAGTTGTTTTGGACAGTATGACTTACTGTGAACCTTAAAAAATTTACAAAACCTCACCGTGTGGCTGAAGACTGTGGGCAGCCATTTTAGATAACCCTCCCATTTTAAAACGTATATCTTCCGTTCGAAAATTCAAGATTAAATACATATTTATAAAATGAACGACAGAAACAACATATATTTTGTAGTATATAAATGTGTGACATCTGTTTAAGCAGAGGGGAGGCAGAACTCAGCACGGCTCTTTTCTAAAATGGCTACCCGCTGCATTCAGCTACATGGTGCAGTTTTGTTCATTTTTATAGTTCAAAGTAAGTCATGATGTGCCCTAAATCACACTGACAAGTCTGTGACCATAATAACTGTATAATAATATTAGCCTGAGGGCTGTTTGAAAAAACTTCTGAGGTTGTATTTATGGGAATGTTTTGTGTGACAACTGACCTCCAGTGTAAGTGCTAAACTACAGAAGCAAAATTTGGACACCAAACATTTTTTGGCTCATCAACTGCATCTGTGTTAAATCAAAAACTTTTACATGTGATTATTTGCTGAACCATTATTTTAACAGAATTCTGTTCAGAAACTAAGTACATGGACAAGAACCTTTACAGAAAAAGTTTATGCCCTTACCTGATACTCTCTGCACAGTTTCAAAGGAGGTAAAGTGACAAAATGCAGCAGCAGCCAGAACCCCATACTGGTAATCTAAAGAGTTAATGTCCAGTATACAAAGATCCAGCAACTGTAAAGAGAGAAATTTATTAATGTTAATAGTGGCAACTGTACACAGTTCAATTTAATGATATACACACACACACATACACACACATACACACACATACACACACACACACACAAATATATGTACATTACTCTAACACATATATACCACTCTTACCTGGGTAATCTGTATGTAGGTTTCCTGAGAAAACTGAGGGACAAGGAAATTTGGGCTTTCTTTCAAAGAATCCACTTGAGCATAAAGTTTCAACCAAGAGATGACTGTTTCTGGACAAAGCTGCCAGTTTAGTGCCTTCAGCATAACAAGTTCCATTTCAAGGATTTCATCCTCATCACAAGCACCGTCTGTGACATACGCAAACTCTTGAAGCTTTGGTGGGTAGATTTCCTGTATTTAAAAACACAGGGCTGAGTTAGATATCACATTGTACAAAAAAAACCACAAAACTACAAAACCCACTACATGGGCAACCAAGTTCCATTTCATTACCTCCATTTTGGATGCGATGAACAGTGAGGTAATGCCAATGAGCTGCAGCTTATTCTTGCCAATGTCTTCCTGAGTGAGCATGAAGCGATCGAAAAAGTCCTGAGCCAGATAAAAGGTCTCACGATGAAGTGTATACACTTCACTCACCTGGACACAGAGAGAAATTTAACATGTTACAAGCAGTTCACAGTTAGTCCATTTGCATACATAACATAGGCAAGTATCAACTTAGGAGAAATGTAGGCCACACACCTCTAAAAGCCAGTCAAGGAGAATAGCCCTCATCTTGGGTTGCAGGTTGGGGTGTTGCTGTATGAAGCCTTTGTCATGTACATACTTCAGTTCCTTGTTTAGCATCTTTATCCACACATCATCTGAACTGGCCCAACTGTGGAGACAGCATGAAAAATTTACGCATTTTAAAAAGAAACAAATTCAATCAACACAGTATATCGAGAAACAAGTAATCACAGCAGGAAACTCAACAGCCTCACACAATTCTGAACGCATGATCATTCAATCTCTACTGAATCTTACCTGAGACAAGGCAGAGGAGAAGGCTTGATGAACAGATTCTTGAATCTGAAGTGTTTAAAACCAGATAAGTTACTTGTCTCATCTAGCTCCTTGTGAGGAGTCTCAACAAGGACGCAGGGGCTAAGGTCACCTTCTACCCATCGATTCTACAAGAACACAGAAAGTACATGTTAATTCAGAGTTATTATGCTGCTTACAGAGTATTTTACACCAGCCACTAAGAATGCACAATCAGAATCAACTGATTTTTCCTCAAAACACATTATAGGTCACTTTATTATTTTATTTTGACTGATCTTTGATATAAATAACATGAGGCAGGTTAGTGCACTTGCACTAAATTTCAATGCTGCTGCTACACTTGGCATATGAGTAGTAAATGTATAATTGTGCTATGTTATAACACAGTTATACACTTATTACTCAAATAACTTATTGTACTAAATAGCCATTTGCAACCTACTTACGTTAATTTGATTTAAAAAGGCAACAGATTTTTCATTTATTTTCATTTCAGGAATTTAAAATGCCAGTTTATTTAAACCACAAATAAATCTAATTTATATTGTAACTTTGGCTAATGCTAAGTACAGGCTCACACGCTGGGACTTTCAGGTTTTTAAAGTGGCCATAAAAATTCATGATCATCCTTACTAAAATAAATAAAATAAAATAACAATAATAATAGATAATACTGTATTACGGCCCTCAATTACATTAGGTTTCATATGATAAAAAATATATTTTTGTAAAAATCTGATTATAAAAATCTTTGTAAACAACTAGTGTAGAGCAGCTACACAGTAATAAGCAGTTGGTTGAAAGATGGCACATTCTGCTATAAATAGTTTTTTAATTTATTTTTGCCACTCTTCATTTTTTTCCTCCGTCCCTTCATTTCTGATATACACTCATTGTGGCACTACTCTCCCGCAGATGCATTTTATCCATTGCAGTTTGCTTTAAAATGCTTTTAAAAAAATAAATTACATAATGTGACATCAAGTGTAATCAAGTAGTAAAATATTTTTGCCCATCATCTCTACACCCTCCCATCCATATAGACACACACATACTCACATTCACAAACATGCATATTACATATATATCCCTCTACATATATATAAATATATCAATACGGATGAAATGCGGCCCAGCTGAGTGCAGACTCCTCAGGCCAACTCTTCTCCCGCCAGCTGAACAAAGCTAGATTTCGCGGGCTGAGTGGGAGGGGCTACAGTGACGCTGCTCAGCCTTGCGTCACCACGCACAGATAATTAACCCACTGCCCCCATTAAAAACACCTCTTCATTACTTTATAAACAAAAACTCTCTATTCATATCGCAACCGCGGTTCATTAGTGCGAGCATTGCGGATGTTTCTGTTTCAGAGTCTCTCCAAGACACCAAGATCTGTCTATAAACACTTCTCACTCACCTGAATCTCATAACTCTGTTTCTTGGCTGTTCCTGGCATTTTCCTCTTGCATGGCTGAAAAGGGAACACAGTTATAATTTAACACAAGGCATGATGAGTTATGTATTAAATGGAACCGAGTTTTTTGGTAACTTAATCTAGTCAGCTACCTCAGCTTTTCTTTTCCTTGGACATTTGATGCCCTGGTCTGCAGCGTTTTCATCCCTTTCTTGGAGTGTGTTACGACAACTGTACAAAAGAAAACAGTAATTAATGTTTGTAAAGAATAATAAAGCCACCGAGCAGCCTTTTAAGCAGATGGTTTAACGAGACTATTTAACCGCTTCTCACCTGCGTCTTGACATTTTTCCAATCGCAAATATTGGCTGAAACTCCTGAAAATGAGGCAACAATAATGTTAGTTTTATGACTAAATATTTTTAATCCGTTTACTCAAATTGAGCAAGCAGAGAAGCACAAAAAAACAAAACCAACCCATTTCACAGCAGGCTAAAGAGCTACTAGCTAGCTAGGTGAACAGGTCAGACATGACTAGCCCAGTCTGGTCGAATAAAGACCAATATTCAGACTAGTTTAAATTAAATAAACAGAAAATTTACAAAACAGTGACCCTGTTGGTTAATCATCTGCATAATCCATGTACTATCATGTAGTTACAGGATTATTATACAGTAGTTTTCTTTAACCGAGCGAGTTTGTGAAAGTGGAGTCCCCGCCAATTTATCTGAAGCGGGAGGACAGACTGGAGGCGACCCGCCTCAAACACAAAGCCAACAAAAGAGCCCTTACCTGCTAACTTAACCTTCTCACAGTCAGCACACTAACCACCTAAAGCCTGCACACTTTTATTTACCTAAAAAACCTACTTATTTTATTCATCCACCGTATTTTCCTCCCTCTTCCTCACAATATGAGTTCGGCTAACGAGCTAGCCATGTACACACAGTCCACTGCCACGTAAAAGTTAATGTAACTGACTGACCCAAGTCTGCTAACCTAGCTGACTAACTAACACGTTAAAAACTGAAATCTCTCTTAATCTGATCTAATCAGAAGCGAATCTGTGTAATAAAAATCTGAACAGAAACATGTTTACAGCCACCAGCTAGCAACAGCTGCAGAACTGGTTGGCCAGCCAGTCAGCTAACCTAACCTACAACTCCCCAAACCTAATTTAGCTCCCTCGCTAACCGTAAAAATAACTAATACACGAGACACAAACAGCCAGTTCCCTAATTCCTGCAAGCATTAAAATATAAAACTCAGCTGAATCCAGGAGACGGTGCAGCTACTCACCAGCTGGAGGAATGAATGAACAGACATCAGCTGGCGCCGGCGCCAACCTTTATAAAGCAGGGGGACTCTCACACTGCGCATGTGCGGCGGTCCCGGTGACCGTAGAGCCGCGACAAATTCAAAATACACCGCCACCGTATTTTACACATCAGAATAATCACATTAAAGAGGATGTGCGGGGGCTAAAGCAGTCGCCTTCAGGCAGTTTTACTGTGATTTTACAGTATTTCTCCACAGATCGAGCCTGAAAGCCCGCGCGCCGCTCTCTGTGCGCAGAGAGACTTTGTTTGGTGATTTTTTTAAAAAAGAGCGCTTTCCTGATTTCCCGGTCAAACCGATCTGGCGCCCAAGGACCAAACACACGAAGTCCGCTCACTTCCGTCAGAGAAAAGACGCATTTTAAAGTCTTTTACAGCTTTTTTGGGGGATTAACTGACACTTCCTGGTATGAGAGCGGGACGGGGGAGGAGCCTCAGACTCCTCTGGCCAATGAGAGCCGATCAGACAGAGACAACGTGCTCCTGCTCGAAAAGTGTAAACAAACCCGCAGGAGAGGCGCTGTCAGAAGAGGGAGGCTGCAGGACAGCGCACAGCGGAGAGGGTTTGAGTGGATATTGTGGCATTTACACCAGATTGATTTTATTCAGTTTGTGACACATTTCAACGAAAAATGGAGCGAATGTGTGCCGGAGCGCTGCGGACTGAAGGGCGCGCTAGAGGACCCGCACACCTCTAAAACACCAGGAGCGGTTAAACAGGCCTGGATCATACTGACAACACCCAGCGGTATATTCACAGTATATCACGGTGTCAGATGATGTTCACGTTTGCATTAATAGAGTTAATAAGTCAGCATTGATGAAGTTAATGAGACCACGCTGACAAAAATCATAGAAACCATTAAAATTCTTGTTGGTTCCTGGTGGTGTCCAATCGTCAGTAATGGCAGGTAATAATAACAGGTGTAATAATAACAGATGTTCTGTGACTGATTCCAGATGCATTTGATGGTTTTCTAATGGGATCTGAAGGTGTCCTATGGGAAACTAGTGGTCTCTAAAGGTAACCATTAAGCTAGTTCCCATAAAAAAACAAAACTATTAAGTTTCAATGCAAATGGTTCTGTTTTTTTTTTTCACTATAGATTCCTGAGTGCTGGCACTGTGTGCTTATAAAGTATCTTACAAACCTGATATTGCTTGTTTTGATTGGACTGTTTTGTTCAGATTTCTTCTCTAAAAATGACACCAAATGGAAACCTTACACATTATTGCAAACATAAATCAGACTGAAAGGAGCTGTTTATTTTTTGGGAGGATCTTAAATACTATTTATTTATTTATTTATTATGAATTTCAAAACATTCTAAAATACCCAGCAAATGACTTACATAGCAGTTATCTGACAGATCTCCTGTCTCACTAAACAAGATTTTTTGCTTAGCCAGCTAAATTTGAACAAAATAATTCAGAGTGATTTGATGTGAAAGAGTGTAGAGAAACTTGCTGACTTACATTTCTTGACAGTGGTGGTGATAGGAACCAGGGGTCACAATGTCTACAACACAAATATAGACATTTTATTTACTATCCAAAACCACCAGTGGATCTTTACGTGTCTTCTGAGCTTTTATATGCAATAGCGATGATGATGCTGATAAAATAGTAGTGAGTCCGAAAAAATAAGTGTTCCTTGGGAACAATTTTGTCCTACAATGCCCTGCATGTACCTTCTGCCATGAATACTTTTTTAAAAATATATACAAGGCCAAAATTTTATCACAAAACTATCATAAAACAGTGTCTCAGCCATTAGGCAGCGCATTCATAACCAATTCAATGTAATAGGTTTATTTGAGGTAGCTTGAAGAGGCATTAAACTCTTCAGATGTGTGGTTCCTATTACCACCACTATGAACAAGTATGACTTCACAAGTTTCTTTAGAATGGAGCATTTCTCATCGAACCACTCTGAATGACTTTGTTTACATTATGCAGAAATGTATGTCTATGCCTAAATTTTGAAAAATCGGTGGAATTCCCCTTTAAGATGTCAAAATTATTCAGCGTGCTTTAAAATGCTCCATTCTAGACAAGCTTACTGACTAAGCTCCCTCACAGAAAGCAATGACATGAAATTGTTATGAATATGGTGCCTGATGCTTGAGACATTGTTTTATGATAGTTTTAAGATGTGATTTTGGCCTAAAACCTTTTTTCTTTAGATACATTCATGGTTGTGTGGTACATGTAGGGTGCTGTGAGGCAAATATTCCCTAAGAAAACTTTTTTTTTTTTTCAGATTTATCACTATTTTATCATAAGCAACAATATATATAAACTCAGAAGACACATGTGGGTTCACTGGTGGCTTTGGATAGTAAATAAATTGGCTATATTTGTGTCATAGACATTGTGACCCCTGATTCCTATCACCATCACTGTAATAAATCTGAGTATGTTTCTCTAAAATGAACCATTTCACATCAAACCACTCTGAACAACACTGTTTACAACAAATGTTGACAAATAAGTGGAAGTCTGCATGCCTAACCTGCTCCTGCTGCAAGTCATCAGCTCTTAGTTTGTTGTATAGCTCACATAAAAACAAGACATTAAAAATGTAACAACAACTAAGCAAGCCCTTCATGATCTTTCCATCATCAACCACATGAAAAAATCCAATAAATCATACTACATAAAAACAAAGAATATAAAGCAATTATTATGCCAAAAAAATGCTGACACGGTGGCAGTAGAGCCAGTGTTGATTTTTGGCGTTCATTTCATTTAATCAGCCGTCTGCACATTTACACAGGTACTTCCCTGATACAAGTGACACAAACAGCTTCCATCACAGCTCTGCTGAAAAAAACCAGCACAGACCAGCATGCATTTCATGCTAGCTTGTGCTGGTCTAAGCTAGTTGATGCTGGGCTGTTGTTGGTTTAGCTGGTTTCCCAGCATGGTCATGCTGGTTGACCAGCATATCAACATCCAAAACACAATGGTTTTGCTGGTGACCAATCATGCTGGTCTTTGCTGGTTTTTCTAGCAGGGAAGTTAAACATTAACAAAAATGTAAAAAAAAGAAAAGGTTCTCACAATGTAAATCTACCCTCAAAAGTATAGTACTGGTCATAAGGTTCAATTGTGTATCTTAAATTAGTTTTAGATACACTACAGTCACTTTCTCAGGAACAAGCGACCTATTTGTACATTTTTGTAAAAGTTTCAAACAGATAAGTGAAATAAAAAAGCCTGGAGTCGAGACAGTGAAAATGGAATCAATGTAACTTTAAAAATATATAAATATATATATAAATATATATAATATATAAATGAATGTGGTACAACTATGTTCCCTAACTAAAGGTCCTGAAGATGTACCCGTGAGGTTCCCACCAGTTTAGCACCTTTATTTCTGAGAGTGTACATCTGGTGTGTTGGGTCATCACCTCATAAACACACGTATGTATTAAGAGGGATTGATTGTATAAGTCAAAATGTCTCACATCTGCATCATGGCAATGTTTAATTTATATATATATATATATATATATATATATATATATATATATATATATATATATACGTTTATGTGTGTATAAGAAGCGAGAGGGGGCACGCAGCAGGAAGTTTAATGTCTGATGGGGTATGAGACTGTAAAAAGTTTGGGATGTTAACACATCCTCTGAGAACACACTTCTTACACACATTTTAATGCACAGTTACTGTTTATTTGTTGAATTTTACATACTGGGGAAAAATGATAAATTCATGAAATAAATAGAAATGTGCAGAAAATGACATATTTAACTGTGCTCTCTGTAGAGGATGCACAGCTTATTTTGATTTAGAAACGTCATTTGACCGAGGATTTCTAAATTTTGGCAGATGTCTCTTTGAACATGGCTAAAAACAAAAACTATTATAGCAGTATGTCAATACCAAGTCAGACAATACATTGCTCTACAATGAAAAGTAGAAGATGGGTCAGTTCTAGTCAACCTACTGATGTGAACCAATTTTGTAACATTAAAAAAAAAAAAGTTGCATGAATGTAAGAAATGATTTAAAAGAGTTTCCCAGAACTGCAGGCTTCCAAGTAGGAAAGAAGTGTGGTTTGTCACCACAGTGCTTGAGAACGATTTAGCTCATGGACAATGGGGACCTAAACTTCAGCGGAAAAAAGACACTTGTGCAACACGTTTTAAAATCTGTACGAAAACATTTATTGAAAAATAAATGCACATAAATTATACTGACAAGTGGCTGTTTTGAACACAACTAAAACTGATATTAATTATGGTGGTCACAAAAAAAACAAAAAGAGAGAGAGAGAGAGAGAAGTTGGTGTACATTTTGTATGAGTCCAAAATGTAAGAAAGGAGAACAAAATGTTGCTAAAAACACCTACTCCTTTGGCAAAGTGCTGCATTATTCCAGTAAACTAAAAATGAATGAAAGCATAGCCTATCACTATGCCACGCAAACTATTCTTCGCATGTGAACACAGAAAGAACATTTGCTACATTAGCATGTAAAACGTTGTACAGAGTGAGTGGCTCACAGAGACAAGTTTATTCCCCTGTGCATAGTCATTTGCTGTCCCTTTGTCCCTTTGGACAGGTTTTCAAGTTCGTGATTGATGCATTGTTGCACTGTTTAACCTGGAAGGCACAAGATCCTCAAGACATTTCAAGGCAAAACAAAATCCCTGTTTTTAAACATTAAAAGTCAGGCTACTGAAGAAAAAGGGAAAAGCTGCTCTTCCAGACAGAGATACGTGGGAAAATGGGGAAACGGCTGCATCACTCAACAGTCCCTTTAACTGCAGAAACAATGCATTGTCTGTTACATTTTCTAGAAATAAAATCAAAAAGAGTGAAACGAACAGGGTAATGGGGCGAGGGAAACTCATATCACGCAGAACAACATGTCTACATCCTACGTCTGTCCGCAGAAACAATGTCTTACAAGTCATACAGTGACAAATCAAGACCAGACTCACGTTCACAGGAGATCATGAATATTCCTTTGAGTCTAGTCTGCACTTCATATCTAGCAGTCCATTCAATTGTCTGAGACCCTGAGCTCGGCAGTCGTCAGAAATTCACAATGCCAGATTTGCCAGATCAGAGAACACGTTTTAAAAAAAAAAAAACATTTCAAACACTACCAGACTAACATTTCTGCTACGCTGGGTTTAAATATTAACTTCACCAAATATGACATTTTCATGTAACTGATCAAACATAAGGCATACAACGAAACCATGGAAAGGTCACTATAGTGTGAAGAAATCAAAACATTTCTGAAAAAGAAGAAGACTAACAGTTTTACTCCATGTTTGCAGGTCTTAACAGTCAATCAAGAAAAGTGTTTTCACAGTCCTAGGACAAGCGAGCATTCAATTTTGCTTAAAATGATCATTAATTACAAACATTTCCACAAGGCAATGCACACAATGACAAATTTAGAGGTTCTCCAGTATGTACAAAGATAATTAACACATTTGTCAAGTAATCTGCATTTTAGCAAAGAGTACAGGTGAACTGATAAGACCCTGAGAAGTGTACTGCAGATTCAGAGTGAACGATGATTTTAAAAAATATATATATTACAATAAAACTACGCTTTAGTTTTGTTTTATACATCCGTTTCAAGACTAGCACTACACAGTCATACAACAACTGCACACTATCATAAGAAAAACAATGCTTTTTACTTACATACCTTACACTGCAGATAACAACTTCATACTGATATGTAATATCATCAATATTTTTTTTTCCTTTTAAAAATATTCGGGAATTTATTTTTTAAATAGAATTTTACACATTGTGGAATCTACTGCTAAAACAAGGCTTTTAGTGACAATACACCTAATAAAAGAGACAAAGTAGGCCGCCTCACTCTTATCCAGAGAGGTGCTGCTGATTAGTTTACTACTGTGATTAAAAAAACAAAAAGAAATATGGCTTTACAGAAAGACATTAGATGTTCTGAAGTAAGTAAGGCAGAAATACAGACTTCCTGCATGTTCAATGGAATTACAGAATGCAAAATAAATGCACTTCTCAGTCACACCAGATGGAGCTGTGGATGTTGAAGGAAGTACACACAAACACCTTGGAACATTATCCACTGCAGGATTCGTGACAATTACAATACAATGCCATCCAGGAAGGAGCCACAGAGCCGAACGGCGCCTGATTTGGACATACGCTCAAGCAGACCGGTACCTGCGCTGGAGTAAAGTGACCTATGCTACTGATTTTGAAGGACTCCGTTCCATCTGTGGAAAAGGCTTGATTACCAGTGGAGGTGGGCTACTACAGGGAGTTGTTTGGTGGAGCACAGTGGGGACAGCCTCAGTAGTTGTACTGCCTCTGCCCGGGCTGGTGAACGTGGCCTGCGGTGGCTTTGGCCTGCCTGGCTCCCCCGTCACGGAGCAGGTTAAGGCGGCGGAGGGCATTGCGGGACAGCTGTTGGCGCTCCACGTTTTCACGGATCCTCTGAGCCAGGCGACTGTTTTTGGCCTGCTCCAGGAAGCCGGCACGGGTGGCAGTGAGAGTGGCTGCATAGCAGTCAGAGGGATGACTCGGCCTGCGCTGAACTTCAGTCCTGCAGAAAGGTGGATGAAACACAACTTAGACCACAAATGTTTTAAAGCGATGGTTCAGACATTGGATCACTCCAAAATGTAGTCGAATGAGTAAAGTACTATACAGATGGCATTAGTTTTACACCAAGAAATGGGGTCTTGCGGTTTTACCACAGGACATCTGTAATGTTTATGACAGATTGGCACAGGATAAGAAGTCTTGGTATAAATGACAGTGGATATTCAATTTGTGCATTACGGTGTCAGAAGTTCTCCATGCAATATATTCTAGGGAATTCTGGGACAATGGCGATATCTGATATTTTTCATGTACATCTGTATGATGCCGATACATAAACGTTTATATAATATGGAACTAAATTCAGCTGGAACTGCATTATGGATATGTAACATTCATCTTTAGAGGGTTAAAAATGCAGTACAACTACTCAAATGCAGACACTTGAGCATAATAGGCTAGAGCATTCTAGTCATCCAAAGTACAATAAATATGTAATCAAATAAATATCGGTTTGAAATATCAATTATGTCTGCCTAATGCCGCTAATTTCATTTTTTAATGCAATTACCTGTCGATACCGATATGATTCTGACATATTGTGCATACCAAATATATTCAGCTACTCATAAGGTAAAACATGTTCAAATGTTTAATTTAATCATAATTTTGTTCACCCTAATCATCTTAGCTGTCTTAGGTAAATGCAGTAAGTCACTATTGCCATTAGCCTGGGAATTTACAACCCACAATCAACATCAGCACATCAAATAAAACTTTTTTGTCTATGATTTTGGGGTCATGCATGTGAGATAGGACAACACATATAGGCTTGATTTGGGCCACAGAGTGCTTCCACACTTAAGAAAAACCTTGAAAACTCCTACCCGAGAGGGTATGATGAAAAACTTAGACATGTACATTTTGACGGTATTAATATAAACCAGTGGGTATTTTACCGTTCATTTATGGTAAATAAAAGCTGTCAGCTTCTTTACTGACACAGGAACGCACAGTACGTAAAAATAACATGGCTGATTCAGACTGACTGAGAAACACTGGTAATCGGTACATCGCAGGATTTGGGACAATTACAATATAATGCCATCCAGGAAGGCGCCAGAGAGCAGTATGTAAAATTAACAAGGCAAAGTCCGATTGACTAAGAAACACTGGTACTCAATACATTACCTCACCACCCAGAGTAAAACTAACCCCATCTGAACAGTGCTTACGATATGTTCATTGAAGTTTACTCTAAACGCTATAAGCCTATGAAATCTTGCAGCTACTGAGACACTGTATGACATACCATTCTTTCAAAAATAAACCAAAGTATGAGCAAATTCAGGCTTCAAGATGAGTATTTTTGGTGATTTATAGACAATAGTAGGTCATGTAGTATCAGAAACCATATTAGCACGTCTATTTTACATTACTTAACAACTTTTGCATGACGTTAACCTGGTAGACATTAGCTTCCAGTACTTGTTAGGTGCACTGACCATGTAGGGAATTGTGCAAATATGACTTTTGGCTGAAATGTCGTTTTAACTCATTTACATTTCATTTTAATCACACTGAATAAAAGAATTAAAAGCTACCTGAGGATGGTGGGCTCGCAGGAGTTGTCCTTGGTGGGGCGGTGGCGGGAGCTGTGCACAGCGTACACAGACATGCTGGGGTGCTCGATCAGAAGGTTCTCCAGAGGACTGGTCTCCAGCAGCACTGGAGCCCTGCCTCCTGCAGTGAAGCAGGGTGGTGGGGTGATGAACCAGCTCTCCTCCAGATCACACGCTTCATCAAGCCTCAGGAAACCCCCATCCTCAGGGTCTGTGTCTGCCACAGAGTCCAGAGAGGAGCAGGAAGAGCAGCGCAGAGGGCAGTCTGGGCCAGCCACGTCCTCTGAGCAGACCTCCACCAGCCCATCCCCGCAGGCACTGGAGCAAGCCTCCGCTATAAAAATATACAGAGAGGAGTCAGCATTTACATTCCTCTACAATAATCTTTATGAAAAAAGACCTCACAATGATTCAGTTTGATCACAATACATAAAAAAACAAATGACCGAAGAAACTATTTACACAGCAGGAGAAACAGACAATAAAAACAATGCACTAAACTTTTAGGATTTTTACAATTAAAAACAGGCTGAGATTTTTTGCTTGGATTAAATATGCACACACTTTATTGAATGTTACTAGAATTGGTCATATTCGATTTTAACATTCTAAAATCAATGCAGTCTTATCACCACCTATAGATTGACACATCAGGTCATTTTTAAATCAATTCGGTTTTTAAACCCATAGGATAACATAAGGAAATAAAAAAAGAATTTTATATATATATATATATATATATATATATATATATATATATATATATATATATATATATATATAAATAAAAGGGAATAGTTAAACACAGCATTTTAAAATGTCCTATCACAAAGGAAAAGAAAAAATGCTCAAGAGGAAAACAAACCAACAAAATCAATTACCGTGGTTTGTATTTTGTCAGCAAAAACTAGCAGAGAAATCTGTTTTCATAGTTCAGTGCTATTTTTACTCTGTGAGGTTCCTGGCAGCTCATCAAATATGGTGTAAACAATATGGAGTCTGCATGGTGTATTACACAAAACAATCTCTAGGTGGCACTGCAGCACAAAGTGAGTAAGACCAGGCAGCAACACAAAGCCCCAGCAAGTTTCCATGGCAATCCTACCCCAAGGCTACAAAGGATATTCAAAGGAGGGTGACCATTAACAGATTATTATAATTAAAGACCAGTATAAAGTTTGACCACTGTCCACAAACAAACATTATGTGTGTACAAACCTTTAATATATTAATAAACTAGTCAAAGAATTAAGATTTTTCTATTCTGAGCTGTAAAATGTTCCAATACTCGTTTTGGATGGAAGAAATAAAGCTCTTGAGAATACTGCAAATAATGTGATGATTATAGAGTAAACAAATTTTGTCTGGGATTCCTGGAAAAAAACAAGTAATGAGGGTCAGACGCTCTCCCATTAGAGAGCCCACCTTCAGCAGTTTTTCTCTGAAACAATTACATCTAATATCCTACAATGACACACAGACCACTAACTTTCTTTCGCTGCGCACCATTAACATACTTTACCTAATCATTTTACAGAAAGCAACTTTCTTATTTTGTACTCTTAAAAAACGAATGGAACATAAAAGCATTCTTTGGACAGATGCCAGAGAAGAATCACCTTTTGTTCCCTTTAGAACCATTTTATGAATGGTTCTTTAAAAGAAGATGTGCAAGTGTGAAAACCTTTCTAAAGTTTAAAGGGGGATTTTATAATTAAATGTTTATGATAAACTAATAAATAGTGAATAAAGTAAATACAGTCATTCAGAGTGGTTTGATGTGAAATACTCTGTTCTAGAGAAAAGAATCAAAGTTGTTCACAGTGCTGATGACAGGAACCAGACGTCTGAAGAGCTGAATGCCTCTTAAAGCTAAATTATTTAAAGCCATTTACACAAAATGGTTAGGAATATGCTGACTGGTGACCAGACATTGTTTTACAACAGTTTTAAGATCAGATTTTGGCCTAAAATATATTTTTCAAAATCAATTAATGGCAAAAGGTTACATTCAGAGCGGCAAAACGGTACCCAGTGAAAACATGTTTTTGTTTTTACCACAATTTTACCATTATTAACATTATATTAAAACCTCAGGAGACACATGTATGTTTACTGGCTGCTTTGGATAATAACTAAAATGGCTATATTTGCATTGTAGACATTGAGACATTGATTGCTGGTTTCCATCACTGCTGTCAAGAAATCTGTGTCAGCTGGTTTCTCCACAATGCACCATCACATCAAAACCATTCTGAATGACTCTGTTCACATTAAAGCTATTAAATTATGTAGCAATGCTGAAAAATATAGGAGTTCCCCTTTAAGAACCTCCACATTATATACCAGGTCCTATATAAAATGAAAGGTTTTTCTTAGAACCATATGGCCAAGCCAAAAACCACTTGAGAACCTTCAGCATGGTAGAAAATGCTGCAAATACTTTTAACACAGCATTCAAGTAAATAAATATGCAAGACAATAGTTCTTAATATCAACTACATAACCTTGACCCATATTCACAGCTGCAGCAACTGAATAGAAAGGAACTCAAATGTGTTTACATCTACAACTTTTAAGGCCTACACAACCTTTTTTTCCAAAGCTGGGTGACTGCCTGCTTGCTGTCACCAAACATTTAGGTACTGTTGCAGATCAGCTGGTTAAAAAGAAGGCCCTTAACCCTCTTACAGTGCTCTTCACTGTCCCCAAGAAGCCAATTAAACTCTTATCCACTCAACACTATGGACCGATTGGAGAACATCCTCTGTCCAAGCGAAAAGATCTCACGATGTTTTCGTTTTGCAGTCTGAAATATCTTGTATTATTTTTCCTATCCTGCTGACCTGGCCATTAGCCACTGTCTGGTCCTTCAGATGGCTCTAGAACTCAGCTGTGGGCAGGAAAAATTCTGCATTCATATCTCTCTGCTCAGCCTGCTGTCATTAAGGTGAAAGGTAACCAAATGAGGGCTATATTTATTCTAACCCCTGCAGCAGACACTGTTGTGTGATATATTAAGAGGTTTGTTGGCCGCAGAACCAATGCCCTCCTCGCCCTCTGCGGCTCAAGCCCCCACCTCAGAGAACTGAACCGAGCCAGACAGATCTCCTTGCACCTGAAATATCCACACCCTATATGACGCGAGACAGGGCTGTGGAGCCACTCGTGTTCGACTGAGAACTGTCTATGTTGTTGATATTTAGTTAGGGTAAACTGAGGTCACTGCAAACCCCAGCAGGTCAGAAGTCATATAAGAAAGAACACTAAATATGAGAACAACATATCGTTCCACTTCAGACATTGCGTTCAGGGTGCTGAGAAAGTCTGGGTACTAATTTAAGTCTGAAAACTAGTTTCAAGTCTAAGAATAGTTTTTAAAGCCTGTATCATGATCTTCAGGCTTAAGGGTTGCCAAGTCAAGCTTTATAGTAATGGGGTGAAAAATATTCTAGTGATTGTACTCTGGTCTGTCACCGCTGCTCAAAAAGATCCTAGAGGAAACATTGCATTACTCACTATACCACACTCAAGGCCCTCACAGCTGAAGAAGACAGAACTTCACATTAAAGTATCAAAGTTACTTTAATGTAAAACAAAGCAAGTCCTGAATCTTCATTTTATCCATAACCTATGACTATTGATTAAAAATGGACCTGTCTTCTTTTGTTCACTGTAATGCAACTATTAAAGTACAAGCCTAATGTGGCCAAATTGTACAATGAGCTGTCTTGTTTTGTAGCTGTTGATACGTAGCAGCTCCCAACTGACACAGCTTGAACTCAAATAAACAAACATTACTCACCGCTGTCCTCTAAAGGTGTTACAACACCAGCTAGAAGGCCATGACATATCTCACTGCATTTTTTAACGGATCAAAACACAGTCAATTCACATTCTGTTTGATTCAATGTAAATATAAGATTTTGAAAGCTAACAACTGTGGAACACAACAGCGCTCAGCTCAAATAACTGCGATCAGGTGATTTTGCCGTAAATGTAACAAGGCTATCACTCACCAAGGTAATCAACAAGGATCCACTCCTCGTCGTCTTCATTTTCATTAAAGCCCACATCTGCAGGACATCCACTGGCCTCCTCCATGGCGTCTCCAAACAGGATGCTGGTGAACCTCTGGAACATGGTGAGGACGCTGGGAGAGGAGTGGGCCTGCTAGTGGCTGAGGATGGAGCTCTTTGGTCATCAGCTGCTGGAGCCGCTCACAGAGGTCTCCGAAAAGGTGCTGAAGTGCATTAGTTTCTTCTTCTTGTGTAAAGAACACCACTAACAAAGGTCAGTCATAGTGTTCACAAGTGCAAAATCAAAGGACCTGTGGACAAAATTAGAGAGGAATCTATCATTATTTACCCAAATTTCAGATAAGAGACAAGAGCAGTACCAAATAAGAACATGATAGAACAACAGTTATTAACAAAAGAACCCACTAACAAATCCAGACAACTATATATATATGCAGGTGGTCATAAACTCAGTAGTGACATTTACCCATTATTTGCAGAAGCACTATAAATCTTTAAGACTGTGTTTTGAAAACTGGTTTTAATGCTATGTGGTAAGGCATCCCAAAACTGCACAAGCAAGACTGTCTAGATGTTTCACTCAGCCATAAATTGTATGTTTATCCTCATAAAATGCCAAAAGGCTGCCAACTTGTTCTGAACGACAGTCCCTGCCCAACAGAGTACTGCCTGTAGGGTCATCTATTCTAGGTAATGATACACCACTTCAGAGGAAGCTGATACCAATGACAACTGCTCTTTGTGTTGATCACTCTGTTCAGAACTATGACTCACGAGGAACCTCTTATCTGTTGTTTTGCATGTAACGACAACAGAACAGCTGTGCAATGAAGCACTGAGAGCTTCCCCTCAACCAGCTGTGTCTTTATCTGACAAGCAGTCGATTCACAATCTCTTGCACCTGCTCAGCATAGCTTGCTTTGTCTGTGTAGGAGTGTGTGGGGCTCTGTGGGGTCACCCACTGCACAGAGCCCAAAAGAAGAGGATTAATCACAAAGCCTCATACAGACATTCAGAAGGTTCTGTCATGAATCAGCTGTATTAAACAAAAGTCAAATTACAGAAATATGCAGCATTTAGGCTAAAATACTGCTGGGCAACATATTATATATGACATTGTGTTTTTGTGATATATGTGATAGATAATGAGTGTTATACCCTTGTCATAATGCCCCTAAAATAGCAGTGTTCCTTCTGGTTTATTTAATTTTTTGTTCTATTTTGCACGCTTTATTCATGGTATAGGTTTAAATATATATATATATATATATATATATATATATATATATATATATATATATATATAAATCTAATCTGCTACTGTGATCTAGTTGAAAAATATCACCCAGGCATCACCCAGGGCCAAAATGAAGGCATGCTTGAGGAAAGTACACTACTTTCTTCCAAGTTTAATGACTGGCCTAGCTGGGCTACTGAGGATAACACTGAGCAGTACTGGACTAAGAAGACTAACACTGAGCAGTACTGGACTAAGAAGACTAACACTGAGCAGTACTGGACTAACAGAACTAACACTGAGCAGTACTGGACTAAGAGGACTAACACTGAGCAATAATGGACTAAGAGGACTAACACTGAGCAGCACTGGACTAACAGAGTTAGGAACAAAGACAACCGGCATCTGAAGCAAACTTACTGAAACACACGGTTCACAACAAGCGCGTAGTTGTAATTTACTGGCGGCTCTCGCTGCCTCTGTATCTTTAGTACATGGTCTAGGCGCATCTAATCGTCTAAACGAGTCTGAAATGAAATGATGTAGCTTTGGCCTGCCTTAAACAGCTAATGTTGTCGATGCCTACATAAGCAGTGGGGGAGGGCTGAGTAACTCTACACCCACCCACAGCAGGGCGGACCACCGCAGCAGCAGGCCTGCTGAGCCAAACCTAACCCCTCACATCGGCCCAATATCATCGGTCAGCTCACCCAGCGAAACACAGCAGTGAACGCAGTAATCAGGGAGGTCGGGAAGGTCAAGCCCTCCAAAAATATGCTAGGTATGAAAAAAAGCATATTTGTACGTTTCTCCAAACCTGCGCTTTTAAAGCTTTAAAGCAAACAAAAGTTTAGGCAAGACTACTTAAGAATCCCTGTCGAAGCAACTTTTTAACAGCTTACACATGTGAGTGGTTAATATGAGTGTTTTACAAGACAAAAACCGAAATACACTCAGTTCAAAAGCGCTGCTAACGGCTGCTGCGCTAAACGACGAACAACAAAGAGAGACTCACCTGCGGTGAAGTACTGTAAACAGGAAGAGGGTAAGCCCTTCAAAAACACGACAGGTCGCTTGAAAGTTGAGGTAGAATGTGTTACACGATATAAAAATATATAAATATAGCTATTGTGTGGAAAAACTGACAGTTTCTGGACCCTCCGAGTCGGAGCTTTCAGCGGCGTCTCTTCTGCAGCGGCGGCGGCGGCAGCAGCTCCTCCGAGTGCGAAGCGAAGCACTCTCTTTGTTATTGTTGTGGAAAATGAACAGCTGATCGCTGGCGACGTCACTTCGCCCAGCCTATGGGAGGGACTCGGTCAAACTTCACCAGCCAATCAGGAGCGGCGCTCTGCTCTGACTGACTGTCACCAACGCACGTGATCAAACAAAGCGAGACAAGACCAGGCAAAGCGCCTCAGCTACACAGCTACACGGCTCAGAGCGGAGCGAGGCGAGCTGACAGGAACTGGACCTTCAGCAGCGGTGACCCATTGTGTGGACTTGGTTTTGAGGTTGTGCAGAAAGTCGTTCTCCAGCACGTCCTTCTGTCAGTAGATACAAACTGCTCCATTACAGGGGTGGATTACTGAACGGGTCATTGGGGCCAGTGCTTAGGGGCCAAAGACCACAAGGCTAGATGTGGCTCAAATGCTTGGGATAATCCACTGTAGACTGTAGCAACATCACACAAACGAGTATGAATGTGCACAAATTACTAAACAGATGAAAGAAATGAAGAAATCTTATCCATTGAGGCAGGTTTTCTGTTTTCCCTTATCTGACTCATGGGACGTTGTTATTGTCAGTCAAATGAGGTGTTGGCGTTTACTCTTTCATGTGTCTAGACTACTTCTGTTACAGCACTTATAGAAATTCACTGCATACAAAAAACTGTTACAATGTAGACCCAATATGATATTACACATGAATGAGGATAATCAAAACAAACAACACATTTCCAGTGCTGCTCACAATGGGCATAATCTTACTTTTTTAGTTTTTTTTTTTGTTATCGGAGGGCCCTCCAAACGGGCCTCACAAAACCATGATCCATCCCTGGTCCATTAGTGTAAATGCAATTTATTGATTCATTCACTGATGTCTGTGATTGGAATTTTAAATTTCCTTTGGTTATGCTCTCTGAGTATGTCTCAAACCAATTTTTCTAATAAGTGTAATTATTTGTTCACTGGGAATTACAGGTTTTCTCCAAAACAACAAAAAGTCCAAATCTGAAAATGTATGAAAATTTCATGTGATCAAAAACATGCAAACTGTTAATTGTTCATTCAAAGTATAGCTAAATAAAATATAATCACTTCAGACCAATCAGCAGAAGTTCTGTAGCATTTGTCTATATCATACTGTTAGAAATGAATGGGTTAAATAAATAAAAAAAAGAGAGGATTTTTTTAAAACTAAGTTTTGAGAGGCTGTATCAAACGAAGTGAAAATGATGACACATTGCTGCAAAAGATGTAGGTCACCAGTTCTAGGGATTACAAAGACCCCCCTCCTCCAAGCAGATGGATCTGAAGAGGCTGTTCCGGAAAGGGGGGGACTATAGAATCAAAATGGGGGATTTAAAAGGAGCTGATTGAATAAGCTACAACCCCCTCCAGGCACTGAGCAAGACACCAGTTTAGACAAAGCACTTTCATATGTGCAAGTCTAGAAACTCAGGGCAAGTGAAAGTGTTTATCAAACCACTCTCAGTTTAACCTCAAACGTTATCATTTTTTAGATCTCATTTGTTTCACTGTTCAGAATCTCACCTCCATGCATTTGATAGCACAGAGCACGTTTATGCTACATGCAGAGTATTTAGTTTTTACAGCACACAATAAATACAGAATATGTAATTACTGCTTTGTGAGTATGAATAAATAGACAGATAGACAGATATATAGACAGACAGATAGATAGATAGATAGATAGATAGATAGATAGATAGATAGATAGATAGATATTTTTGTGACATCACAAAAACGATTAATTCAAAATTGGCTTTATTGCAGCTTCTATATATTAACTGTATTGACTGAGGGATGAATGATACATTTTGAAACTTTAACAATGTTTACATACGACTTCAAACATTTTTATTTTCCATTCATATGGGCCCTTTAAAATGCACCCATCGCTGACAGTACTTGACTTCAATAATGCTCCAGTGGCTGAATGCAATGAGATCCTCACAGCAATGTTCCAACATCTACCTCTCAGAAGAGTAGAGAGTAGAGAGTAGAGACAACAAAGTCACTAATAATACCCTTGACTTCTGGACAGTGTAGATAACTGCATTAAAGAGGCTGTTTGAGGCAGTGAGGAGAATAAGGGTGGAGTGATGTACAGAGTCATGTTGCTCTTTGTGCTCTCTGCTGTGTCATTTCCTGTTGATGACGGAAAGTTGGCTGTTAAATAAAGGCTCAAAAACACTCCTTCCTGGGTCAGGAACAGTGACAGTCCCTCCGTCAGCTGGCGACCTTGCTGCACTCCTTAAGGCCACGACACAGTCAGTGACTGTTTAACAAGAGGAGCACACTCTTCCTACTAAGCAAATATTTTCTTACTGCTTGTGTTCCGATTGCTAAAGAGATGTAAAGTGTGAAGCAGCACTCTCACATACAATGTGATGTTTTCTTCTGTCCTCATGACTGTCTCCTCTGTGCACAGGCCTCACATGATCACTTGAAAACCTGGACATGCTGTGTTCCTTAGCTAAGATTGGTCTTAAATCCAAAACTGGGTTAAAAAATAATAATGCCCCCAGTCTAATAACTAACATACATTTTCCAGCAAGGTGGACCAATCAAAATGCGATGCTCATATTTTTTTTTCCATTCAAATTTTGAAGCCCGTCAAGCATAAACAACCCTAGATGTACTGTACCGAAACCCTCTCAGCAGGCTGCCGCCTGGCTTATGTAATTTTGTTAATGTTTAGGGCATGTTCAGGTTCAGGACGTCTTGTGCAATAGCAGTGAGGAGAGTTCAGTGACTACGCCACTGTGTTTATCAATTACATGTAATCAGGTGCACCCATCGTACTGAAGCAGTTGTGTATCTGAGCAGAATGTTTTTTTCCTAGAAGGCTGACATCATGTTTCAGTTCCTGAGTGGCGTGTTTGTGTGTTTGTGCCTATATATATACACACACACACACACACACACACACACACACACACACACACACAGTGTGTACCACCAAAATGGGAACTTACTGGAGAAGGTAAAAACATGCTTAACTTTAAATGAAAAAGTTAAGTTAATGGAACAAGATGACCACTTCTGTTGGTCAACTCATCATGAAATTTTAACGCAACATAAAAGGTAATTGGAGTTTTCAAATTACATAAAAAAGCAAAAAACAATAAAAATTAAGATACAAGGTATTTGTGTGAATCTATCTTTAAGGTGTAGTTATTGCTATATATGTTCATATGTTCCCTTGTGCACACACAGCTTGTGTAATCTCCATAGCAAAGCATTGCTAATAGAATGGGATGCTATGGAGCTGCTACACATGAGCCTAAGATTGCCATGCATTGACTAGAGGGGTATAAATCCCCCAAACATTGGGTGTGTGGAGCAATGGAAGTGTGTTCTTTGGAGTGATGGAGTCCTGACCTCACTAATGCTCTAATTGGCTGAATGCAATCAAACCCTCACAGCAATGTTCCAACATTTAAAGTCTTCTCAGGAGAGTAGAGGCTGCAGGAGAGGGGGACAAATTAACCTTTAATACACGGGATAACAGAAGAAACGTTGGATGAGCAGGTGTTTATAGACTTTTGGACATAAAGTTTACACCCCAGTTGATGACATCAGCATGTCAAAAGTCCTTTCTGATACTCTGGAAAGGTCTATTTATTTTGCACACAGAACTCAGAATCAGTTCAGTAAAAAAAAACAAAAAACAAAAAACAAAAAAAACTGAGTGGGCAGAGCAGCTAACATATGATTTAATAATTACAGTGAAGAGAGCTGACATATGTTGTAACATTTACAGTGTAGTTATGTAATGTAATCAGATACAAACAGTCCACTAAGTGGGTCAGATTCTGTCATGTTGAGGAAGAGCTTAAAGCTGGAGTTTGGCCATCAAGGTTAAAATAATCTGTATGTGGTCTTATGTGGGTCATTACCACCTACGAGCCCCAGCAGCTGACATAGCACTAAAGGGGAATTTCTCTGAATTTTCAAAAGTTCTGCAAAATGGTCAAAGATGTAAAATCATTCAGAGTGGTTTGATGTGAAATGCTGCATTTTATAGAAATGCACTGAGCGAGAATTGTTCACAGTGGTAGTGACAGGAACCAGACGTCCACCTCTAAATGGTTATTAATACACTGCCTGATGCCTGAGACATTGTTTTACGATAGTTTTGAGATAAAATTTAGCCCAAATAAATGAGATAAAATTTTGCTCCAAAATTGTTGGAATAAAATCTCTTTACATTAAAAGTTAAGAATGTTTTTGCCCCCACCCCTTGTTAAGTTACAGATCTGGAGATTTTTCTTTGGACAGCAATGATTTAAAAACTCATGTAGAAGATATGTATAGGTTCATTGGTCACTTTGCATAGTAAATAAAATGGCCCTATTTGCATAGTAGACACTGTGACCCCTGGTTGTCACCACTGTAAAGAAATCTGAGTTGGTAAGTTTCTCTACAACAAACCATTTCCCATCAAAATATTTTGGATGATTTTAATTTATTTTACGTCATCATTGAATTATGCTGAAATTTTGAAAAATCAGTGGGCTTCCCCCTTAACTCAGTAGACTATCACCATGGAAAAAAAAAAACAATCACTTGACACAGTTAGATAGGGAATGGTTAATTTGTACCAAGAAGCTGGGTAAACAGCACAGCCGTCAAATCAAATGGGAACAGCAGTGGAGCAAGGTAATTTGTACCAAATGAACAGAACATTTGGAGGGCAGGTAATGTGTAAAGTGAAGGTAATGAGAGATGATGTAAAGGAGCTTACAAATTGACATCTGGGTAGGGGATTGCATCAGCTAAACGGCACAGACATGTGGGCGGGACCAGCCTGAGGCAATCAGACGACAGACAGGTGGAATATTCCTGCCACTCGACACCATAGACTGACTATACAGCTTTATAGGGGCATACAGTATGCCACATCAATTAGCGTGAGCAAAAATCTGCTGTGAATCACAGAAGCTAGAGCAGCATATCACAAAATGTACATGCCCAACTTTGTCTATCCACAGCCCAAACAAGTCAGCTCTGCCTCACATATAACGCAAGATGTATTAGCAGTAGTCGAACATGACCTGTTAAATGAGCGTTGCATATACAGAGCATGAATCATGCACTTGAGCACACAAGGTTTCTTATTCAACATTTAGTTTATTTTATATTATTTTAGTTCTTAATACAAATAACAAAGTAAAGTATTTGTATCAAAATGTTCAAAATCAAACTCTTCACCTCAAATTCAAACAGTAATGTCCAAATTGCAGGGTCAACAAGCAAATAAATCACGCTGCAGTACATTACAGCTATTGCAGAGCTTATGCATGCATATCAGAGGTGGAGCGCAGTTATTATGGATACCAGTATGCTAAGCAACAGTGTGGAACCACCCATGTTGACAGTGATTAATAAAAACCATGTCAACGTGAATGTGGATCATAACGTAGTTTCATTCGACAAATTACCAGATTCTTCTGATATTAATTCATTTATTTTATTTAAATTACTTTCTATAGAAATGCATGACCTCAATGAACAAGACAGTATATAAAACACAAGCTGATATATACTACTGTTCAAAAGTTTGGAATCGCTGGCCATAGTAACATTCTTTTTTATTTTATCTACAAAAATAATGTTTACAACGTGTATTTGAATTTCACAAACTATTCACCAAAATGGTATTTTTAATCAATCAATAATTCTTTAAACAAATAACACAATAAATAATATACTGTAATTATCTAGTTACATATTGGAATCATTGTGTACATTTATATACACAACCAAATTGGTTTTATATTATTGAAAATGGTGATTTCAAACTTTTGAACGGTAGTGTAGAACCTCAACCATCATTCAGACTGCCCTGATTTACTGTTTGAGTGTGCAGTACATGGAAAAAAGTAAAATGTGAAGATATGGAAGAGATGGGGCCTCCTGAGCTGTACAGTGGAGGAGACTCACCCTCTCACACAAACATCGCCGAACAGAAACAGTGCAGTAACTTTCTCACAGTTCAAAAGCAATCCATTAGCACAGAGGTGCGCAGGTCAACCATGCCAACAGAGAATTTTTCATATACAGATGTTAGGTCCAACCCTAACCTCACATCTTACACCTCAGCTCATCATGATCTTCAGGAGCTTTCTAGTGAGTGAGTGAGATCACACTCTAAGGAAGAAGATTTAGCAGACCTTCTTTCACATTAAAGGAGAGATGAAACATGAACACTGCATGACTAGAACTAAAGAAATGGTCACATGGCTCTTAGACCAACTGGGTCAACTAAAGCAAAGTGTACTTCCTGTAAGGGGTCAGATGGGCAAACTGGATGGAGAATCTTCTGCTTACCGCAGATGTAGTCGATTAGACATTTTTGGTGTCCAAATTTAGCTTATTTATTTCAGTGCTGGAGCTACAAGGCTAAAGTTGCTAGCAAACCCATTTAGATGTCAACAATCACCCAATTCTCTTGTCAACACATCCCTAACTGCTTCGATCTGCCCAAACTGCACCCACATTTTCATTAAGGTTGCATGGACTTCACTTGCTGTGAACTATGAAAAGCAAAACTTTACCATTTAAATGAACACAGTGTGCAGCCATTTTATTCAACAGGTGGTGTAGCTACACAGTGCAGTTAATTTTTTATAGTTCACAGTAAGTTATACTGGGAAGGCTGTGTGACTATAATAAAGATGTGGACATTTAAGTGGGCTGAGAGAGGTTTTGGGGATGTATTTCAAAGATTTGGGTCACTACTGACCTCCAGCATTTGTTAGCAATGTTAATCTTGTAGCTACAAAACCTGGATTCCAAACATGTCTTGGCTGAGCAAATACATCCAAGTTAAGTGGAAAACTGTTTAAATTAGATTTTTGACCAAACCATGCCATTAAGCAATTGCAGAGAGGGCCACATGATCGTCAAGCCACCAAAACCGTCAAGGACCAAGTATCAAACACAAGATTAACTTGAGCAACTCTCAGTAGCACACAGAAATAGCAGCTTATTACAAAATCATAAAAATCCATTGGCCCCTTCCATCACATGTTCGAGGGAAATGTCATCAGATACTGGCCTAATAGACTGGAAAAATAACACCACAAAAATAAAGTGGGAAAAAAGGCATCTGTCTCTGCCTCCCTTTCCACTCCTCTCTTACTACAAGCCTGCTATGAATTATATGCGTTTAGGCTTTTATATCTCTCGCTTAAAAGGAAGCAGCCTGTTTTGACAATGATTAATAAAAAACGTTAATGTACTGCTGTCTTATGATATTCAACTATAGACTAAAGCAGCTCACTTTGCTGTACTGCTGCAACTAATGACTCTACAGGCTCTACTGAGCCAAGCTGATTACCTTTGTACAGTGATATTGTACAAAATTGCTTTAAATACTGAGCCGGCAGGTAATACAAGGCACTAAAACCAGTTAATCCTAGCCCTTACATCTCTTGTTCAGTTAGGTATTACCTCCCAACATTTTAGCGAACACATCCTGGCAAAAAGCTCAGATTCACTAACTAATGAATTATAAGTGTGTCAAGTCCAAAGTCCATTTGGAATTTCCTTGTTTCGCCTTCTCAAAGTCTACAAAAAACTAATCAGTGCATGAATTTACAATGTGTGCCCAGGGAAATTGCTTACGACAACATACACCGTAGGCCAAGACCATAATAAAAGCCAAATGGGGTCACACTGTTTTCAAAATGAAAAGAGTGAAGGGGAGTACGGAAAGGTACATTTTCATTCACAGTTCAACCTGGTCTGGTTCTAGGGCAACAAGCAGAACATCAAGATAATGAAGGACCTTTCTTAAGGTTAATATGCAAGGCTGGTCACCAAAATGGAAGTTCCTGAGGTATGGAGTAAACAACACCAAACAGGACAATACTGAGAAACCATAGCGCACAAGCCAAGATGCCTGTTAGTAAGACTGTAAAAGCCACAAAATGAGGTGCCATAACTGAAAGTATACGCAGATATGCACATTCACTTTGTCTTTCTAGAGGAGCTGACACAGCTACATTTGAGCAGTGAGCAGACAGTTCATCTGCCCTTTGACTCGTAGTCTAATTGTGTTTCGGGTCAACGTTTTTTCCGTTCATTTCCAAAGAAAAGCCTGTCTGAAAGCAGCAGAGATAAGGAATGTTCTGATTGGACAGTCCTCACTTTAGTGCTAGGCTACCCAGTTTACTGAGAAATCCTGCCTTGGGAAATAACTCCTTAACTATCAGCAGGAACAAAAGGCTCAAAGGCTCTTTCTCTGTTTGTCTTTTAAACAGTCCTGTTACGATAAGGGCTAACTGCCACATAAATGTTTTCGATTAACAATTTAATTAAACTTTCATGTTCATTGTATGCAAAGTACAAGCCTGAAGTAGCCAAATTGGTTGACTTTTTGCTATTTGCTTCCTTCCTGTCAGCACTTTAGTATCAGAGGTGGGCGGTATTCAATTGTTTTAAAAGCATTGTAGAAGATGTAAAAGCATGTAAAAGCAGTTGTGTCACAGTCATTGAATAAGTGTACAAAGTGCACAATTCAAGCCATCACTCAAAAATGCCAAGCCACTGAATTAACGAATGCTGCCAACTAGGACAGAGGAGCTGCTTAGCATTAGCTTATCTAGAATGACAACAGCTCTGGTCACCACAGAACATGTTTGATTCTGGCTAACTAAAGCACAGAACAAGTTTCAATGATTCATATCTGAGGGCTTAAAGCAGGGTAGTCAGGCGACTGTTGTTGAAGCGAAAGAAAGGCAAAGTTAAACCTGTTGTGGAGAGTTTGCATCTTTAGCCTTAACGTTAGCTTAGCGGACAGGCTACAGACCTAAACAGTGCCACAGACCACAGCACAGGTTTAATTCTTACTAACTGGTGCTCTGTTCACACAAGTTTAGATGATTAAAAGCTAAAGTAGCTAAAGTGTGAGAATGCAAAAGTCAAGTGACTGGTGTCAGAGTGACAGAAAGAGGAAATCAAACCCGTTCTGTGTTGTTCACAACTGTAACATGTTGACTAAGCTAATGATAGCTTAGTTTGCAGGCCAAACATGAATGACTGGTGTTGCAGTGAAAGCTGAAATTGAACGTATTCTGTGGTGTCTATAGCTCTTAGTTGTTGCTGAGCCACAATCATGCTTAGTTTTTTAAGGTATTTCCTGGCTCCCCCTCTTTCTATCAGTGTCACATACTGGTGAGCTCCCACACCACCAAATCAGTGAACCCCTAAAATATAAATGGGTGAAATGTGTTTATTTGCCCATTCAAAGGAGGAAAAGAAACTTGATATTTAAGTGCACTTGCATAATTGGCATAGTTTTTAAACACTGCATTATACCTTATTACCATATTACCGCCTAATCCTACTTAGTAATTCACAACTCAACAAAAGAAACAAAAAGGTGTCATGGTTAGAAGTCAGAACTTCTCTTGTGTTCGCAAAATTTCTTTATTTTCTGTAAATGCCTTTACCTCAACCCAACTGATGAAAACGCATTCGATTCACACTGATGAAAACGCATCAGACTAAGATTCTGTTTCCTCGTGAACATATGACTATGAAAAAGAAGTGCAGCTTAAATAATTACGATCAGGTGATCATATCATAATTGCGACAGGCCTACTAATAAAAGCCAGAGCCAATGCAGATGGAGTCAGAAAGGCAACTCTCTCCTAACTGCCCAGGCATCAGAGATCACTTGGGCAGATGTGTTCATGTAAGGACAGTTTTGGCCGTAATACAAATACTCTCTTGCTCACGTATTCATCAGAACATGCATGCATTCAGACGCACAGATCTAATCATACAGAGTCTATGATCACTGTTCAGGTCATGAGGAGTCTTGCGAGTCTGAGTCATCTGGTAGAAAGAGGCTCTTTACAGGCTGTGTGCTCTGTCCTGTGCGTCCGTTCATCTCCTCCAGTGGCACATAGGAGTACTCCTGCCGCAGATGGTCTCTGAACCTTCGGCACACTTGGATCATGTTTCCAGTGACACTGGTCAGCAAGAGAACAGCCAAGACAGTGGTGATAACGAGCCAGCTCTGCCTACAAACATACAGTGGGACACAGACAGTAACCTGAATTCACTACCAGAACCTACACAAAGGCCTACAGCAAAACCATAGCAACTACACACTTGCATTTGAATGGGATGGTCGGCTAATATATGCGCAACTGCCTTTTCACTGGATGACCTGTTTACAAGCACAGGGGGACTCAAGTCTGCCTGCAATGATTGGTCAAGTCAACAAAGGTCTGAGATATTTAAGTCCATTTCCATGGCAATAATCAAGTTCTTATGCAAACTCTCGGAGAACACTGTTAAAGTATGACCTTTCTCTTAAGGCAATAGACTTTTCCACTGGAGCAAAGCCAGCTGAAAATTGAGAGGAAGCCAGCGTTATGGATCCTGTTGCACCACATATTTAGGTGACTAAAAGCAGGGTTATGTTTGTTTATATATGAGGACACTTACTCAGACAGATAAGGCCTTGGTTTGTGAGCCTCCTCCTGCTCTCTCCACTCCTTCAACATTTGGGTTGCCAGGCAGTGACCAGCTGAAGAGGGAAGAAATAAACATTCCATTTCCTCACCAAGACCACGACGTGTAGCACTGCCACACAGGGTGACTGATGCTCAGTTAGAGGTTTAAGTTATTGCATTTAGTCACTATACTTAAGTATTATTTGGGAAGACTTGTAGCTCATTCGAGTATTACTGAAATTGAGAATTTTCTCAACAACATACCCTAAAGGAAAAAAAAACAAACAAACATTTTACTCTGCAAATTTTCATTAAAATCATACAAGTTCTTCGTACAAATATCAAAGACCAGGAGATTTTTCTATTTTTTGTTCTTCTGGCAGGTGGTCAAGTTCCAGCACATTTTTTAAGCTGCTCTTTGTAGGTTTTTGTGTTAAAATTGAAAGAAGCAGAGCTATAGACAGTCAGCAGAAAAAGGAAAAAGGGTATAAGTGCACTGCTGTAAATAAATGCCTGAAATAATAAATTAAAAGTCAGAAGTGTCATAAAGACTTTTTCAAACCACATCATGCAACTTTATGTATTAACTTCAAACACAAAGGTTGCAACAGAAGGTCCGGCTTCAAGTTTAAGTCTCAAATGCCAAAATCAACATTATTCTATGCATTAGTATTAGTTTTTAGTATTAGTTCTCTTCGAATAATCTTTCAACGTGCTTGCAATCATCAGATTCATCCGCTTTCCAACAGAGAGGTCTCCAAATCCCCAAAATTTACACAGCAAGCTTTAAAATGTAAACATTCAGCCAAATTTATATGAATTTGTGAAACTGCTCACAAGTACGCTAATTCATTGTGTAGGGAACAGTAAAAAATGTAAAGAAGTGAAAAACAGCATAAACAGAGCATTAAAAATTAGCAAGAACTTTGAGTCTAACAAAGATTTATTTCATGTACATGAGATCTACAGCACATGACTGATGAACCTGTGAATACCAGAAAGTGACCAAACACACAGCTTGTATATCTTTAACTACATTAAAAAAGTCTGTTACATTTCACCCTACATTTGGTTGTGCTCGCCTAAATGGTTTGCACAGATGTGTTTGCAGCCTCGACCCTGCAACTTCCTTGGGGATTAACAAAGTTTCTAAAGTATCAACTGCCTCACAACATCGGGTTCAGATTTGACACAGAGGCAAAAAAGGCAAGAGAGTTTATCTCCAGCTCAAGGCAGCAGGTGCACTTGCTCTAGACATAGTAAAATGGTTGTGCAGTGCAAATACATCAGTTTGAACTGAAAGGCTGGATAAAGTACTTTTGATAAACACTCAGAGGGGGCTTTAAAAGAGGAGAGTGCAGCAGAGCTTGATGGAATCTAATTTTAAACCCTGCATCAGCCAGACAGCAGCAGACGGCCAGGCTCGGAGTAGAGCAGGCAGAGTGGGCCAGGCACTCAGCAGACAGGATGGGGACAGGCAGAAAAAGCCAACAATCTTCAGCTCTCACAGGGCAGACTGAGAGCCAGGGCATGCTGGCCAATAAAGGTCAGGGAGCTGGAAAAGTTGGATCTGGCTGATCGTTCTGACTGTCCCTGAAAACCTCAGCCTCGACTCCAGAACTATTAAGTGCTAGAAGACTTCCACTGAGCTGAGGGAGATTCTCTCACACCCTCGTACCTCAAACATCCCTGCACTTTCTTTGTTTGTGCGTAAGAGCAAAGGAAAGGTATCATTTGGTAGTTAAAGACAGACAAAGAGAGACCATGAATTACAGAGACATGATTCACTGGATGTGTAATGTAGATCTGTGAATAACTAGGGCCTGACCAATATGAAAATTCTGTCACAGATACTGATTTTATAGGGCCATTCCAGCCTTATGATGTTATATTTTGTAGTGCAGCCCTGCATTCTCAGCCTCATTGGTTGGAGCATGCATTACACAAATACATCATACAACAATTGAGAATTTCTCCCCACAGCAATAAAGAAATTTACTGATGTACCACTCATGTAGAGGGTAATAGATACAGATATGACAGCTGACTTCCTAGTAGTAACATGACCCCTTTGGCTTCCTTCTGCATTCGCTAGCAAAAATATTTCACACAGCCCATCCTCATGTATCTGCTTCACAGCCCTTGTGGTTTTTCAGAAGTTCCTACCACGTTTAAGATATCATCAGAAGGGGAGTTTCCTAGTCTTTAAAGTCTCACTCTGGGCTATGATGGCATGACTCTAGGAGATGAGTAGGCATGTTTACAACAGAAGTAGGCTGCGTCCAGGAACCCTAAAAGTTAATCCTTTTTCCTACAGGTCCTCCTTTTCTCTCCTCTCCGGCCCTTTGGTGACGCCATCTTTCTTGCCATCCAAATACTGGAGGACATGAGAGAAGCTCCTCCAAACACCTGCTAAAGTGGCTTCAAATAGAGGATGCACAAGTGTATGCTATCCAGGAAGTCTTTTTCAGATTTTAAAGTGACAATGCATGTGCACCCAGAAAGGACAAACAACATGAAGGAGCTCAGCTATGTCTTTCAATGTCGTTTGTTTGTGTTTATGCATTCTGAGTGTTCTTCGTATTTTGTACTTTATTTAAAATAAAACACAAAACATGGAAGTAAAGACCAAATGTACATACAGATATAAGGAGGCTGACCCTGTGCAGTGACCATGATTGGAATATAGAAGTATTACGGGTGTACTGACAATGGCCAAAATTTGGCAACGTTGGAGTGAATCAGCTGTCCTATTCCCCTCGTTACTGCTCATTCAAAGCAAAGGCAAAAAAAATTCTGGACGCAGCCATAGTAATGGTTAAATGGCCACAGTGCCCAAATTCTAATACCAACCAAAACAGACTCCAATCTTTTTAGTTCCACTGACTGATACAATTTTCAGGTGTCAGTTGAACGACTTTCCTCACACACAGAGGCGCATATAATTAGAATGTGCACTATATGCCCAAAAGTATCCAGACACCCTTCTAATTATTAAATTCAGCTACTTTGAGGCGCACCCATTGCTGGAACAGGCGTTCAGTTCTGGACACACAGCTTGTATAATTTGCACAGAAATGCACAGTCAATAGAATGGGACAAATATGAGCCTAAGGTCACCATGTCCAATGAAAAATGTCAGCTAGATAAGTATAAACACCCCCCAGCATTGGGCTGTAGAGCAGTGGAACTGTGTTCTCTGGAGCGATAGAGCTCCGTCCGATACCTGTGGTATGAGCTAGAGTGAAGTTTGTGATCCAGAACTCGTCATTCCATATCAGTAATTACTACCTCACTAATTGGTTTTATGCAATTAAACCCTCACAGCAATGTTCCCATTAAAGTATTCCCAGAAGATTAGAGGCTGTTACTGCAGCAAACTCCCTATTAATACTCTTGATTCCAGAAGAAGCGTTAGATGAGCAGGTGTCTACAGACTTTTGGATAATATAGTGTAAATCCAATAACTTCAAATCGAAATCAGTGCGATTTTTGCTGAAACCAGTAAATCCATGAAACCTTAAGATGAGCTGATTGAACAGGCCAAGCCATATCACTAACCAACAAGTGGAAAATTTAAGTGAGTTATCAAGACAATATCTCCAATTGGTACAAGAAGAAAAACCTAGCAGACACAAATTTGCTGAGAACTCAAATTCCATCACACTGTGCAGATCAGTTTCCAACGAAGACGGCCATCACCCTGCACTTTTACATAGCCTGATGTACTGGTTACTTGCACTGATAAATAATGTCAGACAGAGGACATTAAAGAAAGAGCAATGCAGGAAGAAAAATGGAATGCACAATAAGTAAGACTTTATCTGAGAACATGAGAAACATGGGACAGCAAAAGCAAGATGATCTAAAACATTTACACAGACAGAGCAGTGCTCATATGATCAGTACCTCTATGCAGGCTGCTGTTCCTCTGGTCATGCAGCGTGTAATTGCAGCTGCCGGTGACAGGGTCACATGGGCACATGTCACTGCACTGGCATGGCTGCAGACAGTGCAGCCCGTAGAAACCCAGCGGACATTCTGAGAGGGGAGAAGGTGGCCGTACAGTGTTAAAGGGCCCATTTCACATAAAACTAGATTGTCCCTGTGTGTTGTGTGTTCTCTGTAGAGGATGTGTTTTGGCACCTAGGGTGCCAAACTTTTGCATACAACTGTATCTGCCTATTCAGCTTACAGCAGTTTAGCCCCTCCCATTCACCTGAACATGTCAGCCCAGACAGCTTTTTGACAAAGTACAATACAGTGTGGCTGATTAGAACAGAGGTCATTTACATATATCAGTCCTAAAGGCACAGTACCAAAAACAGCCTGTTTAAGTCTACGGGATAAGAAGAGGTTGGAAAAGCGTTCCACAACTGAAATTAAAACAGTCCTAGAGCTCCTTGTGCACTGCATAATTGTGTTAAAACTGTTTTACGCACCTTCTTCGCAAGAATCTCCATAAAAACCAGCAGGACAGGAGCATCGCCCATGGACAGAGTCACAAGATCCTCCATTTACGCATGTGCACGTCTGGTTACAGCCATCACCATAGAAACCTGCTGCACACTCTAGAATGAGAGACACAGTAAGAGAGGTTTGTCTGATGGGCTGTGAAAACTTAAATACATAAAATACATTACAGTAGCCTACAATTCAAATCTACCTGAAGTAATGTTGGACATACATTTTTTTAAACATACACTAAGGGGGCATCAAAAACTCTATTTCTATTGCATTTTATTTTTAATATTATTATTAGTAGTAGTAGTATTTCTTTAACATTTTGCATTTTAACTGTACTATACCTGAACATGATGTAGCAGAGAGCCATATTTTCCATCATTTATCCTCAGTCATATAGTTAAATAAACCAGTATCTGTGCAACCAGTGAGTTGAATTTGTCTGTGTTTACCTTGGCTGCAATTGGCACCCATCCACCCCGCATCGCAGACACAGCCATCTGTTCAGAGAGATGAACAACACCCTGACAACTTCATATACATGTGCATAGCTGACAAATCTCTCTTATTAACTATAAGTGGCAAGCATATCTGTATTAATACCACATAATATATCCAAAAGTTTGTAGACACCTACGCATCCAACGGTTTTCCTGAAATCATGGGTACTAATATGGAGTTTGTCCTCCTTTGCTGCACTAACAGCTTCTGTTCTTCTGAGAAGGCTTTACACTAGATGTTGAAACATTGCTGTGAGGATTTAAGCCTTGAAAAAACACAAACTACCACAGGCTTAGGTTGCTATGGGCTTGTTTAGAGAAAATCATTTAAGATACTTTTTAGAGGACTGTTCCAGACTAAAACTAGAGTTTATTATGCTATTTGTCATTTTATGCAGTATTCTGTAGCACAGCATTATATCCCTAAGTCTCACCAGTTTGACAGAATTCATGATTTTATATTGTTTTCATGTTTTCTTTCATATGCAGCATGCATTACACAAATACATCATACAACCACTGGGAAAATATGGTGTCAATCAATTCTGACAGTTGGCCGAGCCACTGATCTATAAGCTAACAATTACAACTAAGTTAACATTAGTGTAACTCTTACCTCGGTCAAATTCATACCCCTTTTAGCCAGACAAAATACGCCAAACTAAGCTAAAGTATCTAGATAGCCAGACAGATACCTTGCTAAGTTTAGCCCATTGTCCCCCTCATCTGATCGTGTCTGTCATTTCAGTCATTTGAGTAATCCATTCTCCCCATTATAGTGATGTTTTAAAGACAGTTACTCCAGTTATACTGCTGTAATATGATATAAGGCTTTCTAGTAGTAACATTAAAGGAACAGTTTGGCAAAAAAATCTAATTTACACAATTTCTCACTTAGCCCAGATGTAGTCAATCAGCCAAGACATGTTTGGAGTCCAAGTTCTACTTGTTTTGTTTAGAACTGGGGCTACGAGGCTAACATTGCTGACAAACAACAGAACTTAATAGTCACCAAAACAGCCCAAAACATTTCTATAAACATTCATCACCAACACTTCTTTCAACTTGCTCAAACCACTTTTAGGTCCTCATTAAGGTTGTGCAGATATGTTGATGTGGTTTAGGAGCCATACAGTCTGCCTTTACAAACATTTGTGAAAGAATAGGTAATTCTAAAGAGCTCACTGAATTTGAGCATTGTACTGTAAGAAGACGCCACCGTTGCAACAAGTCAGTTCGTAAACTTTCTTAGTTCCAGTGGAAGCTGTTATAGCTGCAAAGGTTGGACCAACTCCATATTAACGCCTATGTATTTAGAATGGGATGTCATAAAAGCTTCTGTAGGTGTAATGTGTACGTGTCCCAATACTTTTGTCCATGCAGTGTACGTAATAGACTGTACATACACAGAAACACTTTCATTTGCAAACAGAACCCAGCATGCTCTAAACACGTCTATCTTTTGGGTGTCATCTAAGAGAAGTGCAGGGAATCGACGGAGATACTCACCCGGAGTACACATCCCGTGGTCTCCACAGGCTGCTGGCTGGCATGTTAAATTGTCACATGTGGGCCCGGTCCAGCCGGGCTGGCACTCACACTGGCCGTCCACACAGACCCCATGCTGGCTACAGTCCTCCGGCTGGCACAAACGCTCATGAACACACAGCACGGTGGAGACGGCTCGAGGGCATCGCCACATTGGGTCAACACTGGACACAGAAGAGGCAGTAGTCAATTAATACTGCAGAAAACACCAAACCTTACAATAAAAACTGCTCAGCATGCCAGAGCATTTGACGTTTTTGTTTTTAAACCTGCATTAGTTTATATAGATGTAGAGTGCTGACTTGTAGTCATATACATTTTATATAAATACGCACTCCAGGGCCAAAATGAGAAGTGTAAGGCACTGATATCAGACAAGAAGACCTGGCTTGCTATCAACATTCCAATTCATCCCAAAGGTGTTAAGTGGGTTTGAGGTCAGGGGTCTGTACAGACCACTGAAGTTCCTCCACACTAAACTCATCAAACCATGTCTTTATGGACCTCGCTTTGTGTACAGGGGCACACCAGGCTAGAACAGGAAAGAGCCATCCCCAAACTATTGCCACAAAGTTGGAAACATATAATTATCTAAAATGTTTTTGTATGGAACTAAGGGGCCGAGCCCAAACCCTGAAAACCAGCCCCAGACCATTATCCCTCCTCCACCAAACTTCACTGTCAACTGCTGCTATGTATTCTGCCACATATCCTGGCATCTGCCAAACCCAGAATCCTCCATCTGACTGCCATGTAGCGTGATTCATTACTTCAGAGAACACCTTTACACTACTCCAGAGTCCAGTGGTGGCATGCTTTACACCACTCTAGCCAACACTTGGCATTGCATATAGTGATCTAAGTGCCTAACTGTATACACCTGTGCAATGGGTGTGACCCAAACACTTGAACTCAATTAGGAGGGGTGTGCACACCCTATATGTCCAAACGTTTGCCCCCTCCTTTGCTGCAGTAACAGCCTCTACTCTTCTGAGAAGGCTTTACACTAGATGTAGGAACATTGCTGTGAGGATTTGTTTGCCTTCAGTCCCAAGAGCATTAGTGAGGTAAGCTACTGACGTTGGATGATCAGTTCTGGATCACAAACTTCACTCCAGCTCATCCCAAAGGTATTGCACACAGTTCCACTGCTTCACAGCCCAAAGCTCTCTATCAAGCCTAATGAAGTGTGTGTGTGTGTGTCTGTGTATGTGTGCATATACATAGTTTGGGTGCTTCTGGTAAAATTACATTTTTATTGATCTTCTAAGTGAAAATAAGTTCCTCTACAGAGAACACACTTCTGCACTTCTGCAATTTTAATACACAATAACTGTTTATTTGCTATATTTAACATATAGAAAAGAAATGAAAACACAAAATGTGGCCTGTGCAAACATTATGGGTATATGTTATATTCTATTTTTTTTTCCAATAATTTAAACTCAGCAAAGAAACAGAAATTGTGCCCTAAAATTTGCAGAAAAACAACATATTTAAGTTTGCTTCCTGTACAGGATTTGTTTGAGTATGTGTTGTTTCCACTTATTAACAATATTAAATTATCCACACAACATATACACAGACACACACACACACACACACACACACACATATATACACACACACACACAAATACTCTTCTGGCTCTTATTACCACTGATTTCAGAAGAAAGTCTGGATGAGCAGGTGTTGTATGCAAATGTTACTTTCAGCAGATAAACAGTAACTGTGCACTAAAATGTGCAGAAGATTTTTTCCACTTAAAAAAAAAAAAACAACAAAATATATCATTTGATCATAGGTGCCTAAACTGTCACATACAATTGTGTGTGTACATTCTTCACTTTAACCTCATAGGGCTGGTTTCACCTGAAAACAAATGTACTAAGGCAAAACACTACTTATAGACTGGACCATGTAAGCATACTATTGTCAGCACCTCTAGTAGTAAGGCCTATGATTTCTTGAAAGCCTGCTACTTATTTACAACAATAAGCATTTGGGGTGGGAAATATGACATTATTTTATCATTATATGATATGTTACCATGTGCCACAACATGCTTTTCTGAGAATATCATGGATACGGTGGACACTGTGGATATTGTCAGTATTTCAGAACACTAAAAAACACTGAACAACTGCTGAACAAAAAACACTTATTGGTGCTTTTTTGTCTGCTATAACTTACCAAACGTCAGAAAAATAACATATTGTGATACATATCATGTATTGCAAAGATGTCCTCAGATATCCTGATGTTACATTTTTGCCATATCACCCATTTAGAATTTATTTAGAATATTTACTGCTGGTTAAAAATGGTGACTAGGATTTACACACCAGTGATCTGACGGGTAGCTGGCCAGAGAGCCATTAAGGACGTAAGTAGCAGAGCCACCTCCATCCAGATTAATGGCATTGACAACTGCCTGTTTCCTTAGGAACTCCGCCACCTCCCACAGGTTCATGCTGCACACATTGTACACAAGCACAAACAAAAACACATTTAAAGAAAAACAATACTTCAGCTGAAGAAATAATAATGTCTAAATGTACAGGTTGTTACATTGGGCTAATATTTTGGATTCCCTGCTTTAAGCCTGTACATTTGAGAGTGTCTTCTAATATAAACAGGCAAAGGAGTTAAGCTTTCGGAACGTGCAGCACTCAGGAGAGGCGCTGGCCATTAGGGACATTAATGCAAACACAGAAAGTCTGTAACATCCTGTTCTATGTAACTGAAATTATCAATGACTCAGCAAAATAGGAGTATTCAGTTTCACACCTCATCATCAGAACGAACTGCTGATATATTAAAATATACCACACAGACTACAAACAAATACAAAGACTCCTACAAACACAGTCATATGCAAAAGTTTGGGTCTGCCTGGTCAAATTACATGTAGTGGTAATTTTCTAAGTGAAAATAAGTGAACATACATTACATATATAAGTCTGGTGTCTAATATACCATGTGTAAAGGTTAATTTTATATTTTCTGTTTTTCCAGTATGTTTAACTCACCAAATAATTAGAAATTGTGGGCTAAAAACTAGAAAAAAATTCCATTTTAAAGTGTTCTCTTTAGAGCATGTGCTAACATTTTTACATCAACAAAACACGTGTTCAAACTTTTGCATACAACTGTACACAGATGTCCATCATTCTCTTCACTAATTTGCATTAAGAAGCATAATGGTCAGAGGCTCTCATCAGGTATAATTTAACAACACTGCACAGAGACTGCGTGAGGTCATTTTGCTTCACCTTTTATAGCTAAAATAATTTATAAAGAGAAAATAATTCAGAGAGAATGTGTAATTTTCCACTAAATCTAAAAGGGCTTTATTCCTTCCGACTAGCATGATGCAACCTGCATGTAAAAATAGAGGAGCATACAGTCCTAAACATTGACTTCAATGAGGTGTAGTATGAGTATCGTCTGGACACTGGAAGATTTTCCCTCTCTGAAGTTTATAAATGGATACAGTCAATTACGGGATAGGAGGGGCAGTGGTTGAAGAGGTGTGTACAACATTCAAGCACCCTCATGACAGTAAGAGAAGAGTCATGGAGAATAGAACGAGTGGAGTATGTGATGGTTTTTGATTTACACTACATGTAGATGACCTGCTTTGGATCTTCATGAAATACAAATAATGTAAAATTTCACCACATGCACTGAGAAAACGGGCACTTTGAATTTACATGATTCAAACGTAGTAAGTGGTTAGAAATTAATAAAATGAACATGAACACAATTATTGCAAAAACCATAAATGAGCTGTGTGACCGTTTGACACATTTGAATCATGATTTTTTTTTGGTGTGGTCACCAGAAATATAGAACAAAGAAGGAGCCCAAAGCTAATGAACCACACTTTGAGCTGGTGTAAAAAATACACCCATTTGTTTGTGATTCTCACCCTCTTCTATCTGTCTGGCCGTCAACGTGGAAGAGAATCAGTCTGCCCTCCATATCATGGCCCACTGCTGTCCGGGCAGACCTCACCTCAACAAAGCGCTGAAACGTTCCTGTAACAAACAACAGCGTTGATATTCTAGTGCAGCACAAAAAAATGCAATTTTCACCTTTTCTGTTTTGCTAATCTTAGTGCTGATAACATTCAGTATTAATACCTTCCAAATGTACTACAGTATCAGTTGGCATTTAAGTTTGCATTAATTGGGTTAATAAATTAATAAAGTTAATGAAACCCTTTTTAAGTGCTGCTATTCTATGCAAAAAGAATGTCTAACAAACTTGACATAGCTTGTTTTGACTGTTTTACTCTGGTTTCTTCTCTTCAAATGCCACTAATGTACAAATGTACACTACAATAACATGCATGCACAAAGATTTTTTGCATTTGTGCAACTGTGATATATATATATATATATATATATATATATATATATATATATATATATATATATATACTATATATATACATACATACATACATATATATACACACATTTTTTTTTGTAATTTGCAAATGATTCTCCTAGCTTGTGTAAAAATGCTGCATATTCCTAATCAGGCAGAAACCACATTTCCAGAAAGGAAACTTTTGTATATATTTAAACAGTTTTACTGCACAAATGCAAAAAACCTTTGATTTACATAGACTGCACTTTGCCAAGTTTTTGGTTTCGTTCAATATCTAAAAACAGATATTGTCATTTCATAGGTAATAAAGGTATACCAGTACAGATACTATTGGCCAGAACTACTTCACTGCATTTGAATTTCTATTTCAGTGCTGTAATTTCTTTTATTTCGGTATTGTTTTTATTTATGTTGCTGAAGTACCTTTTATAATAATGATTATTACCATTATTGTAAGTAAATTACAAAAAAGGTTCTCAGTAAGTACTGTTCGATGGGCTGATGCAGAGTTTCTTGGAATTTTTCACTGTTGCCTCACTTGAGAACAGCTTTTAGACCAGTGATGTCACAGCCCTGTCTCACAGGCCACGTCCGGCCCCTCAGATAGCCAATGGTCTGCTGCAGTTTTTCCTTTAATCCTGCCTGCACGCTATGGTTAATTTTTTTCTCATTTTTCTGCAGCTCAGTATTTATACTTCATGACTAAATTTGTTTCATCAGACACCCTGGCTGGTTGCCCAGCATGACACCAGTTTAGGCTGAAGCTTAATTTGTCTTGTGGACAAATTAACTGGACACTAAGCAGTCAAGGCTGCACTGCACACTAAGCAGACATGGCTATAATTTAGCTATAACTAAGCGCTCATCCGAATTTACACTGACAGTTAAATCTGCCTTCATGGATTCATTCATGACATAGTGGTAAATACAGTATGTCAGATTTTAATAGACTCAACAAATTCACTCAGAATGGAGAATTAAATGCTCTCCATTGCATTTCACTCACAAAACTTCACTCGCATACAGCAGGAACACACTGCTAACACAATAAGAGAACCATATAGTTCTACTGATAATTGTAAGCTGACTTGATTTAATTGAACCAACACACAATTGGAGTTTGAGACCCTTGGTTTAGACTAAACGTACCTGTCTCCTGAGTCCTGTCGCATTCGGCCTGCATGCTCTCATTAATGTAAACTTCTCCTGCCCTCAGCAGCCACACCACCCCACTGATGAGCTGCACAAAGGGGTTTACCTCATCCAAAACATCTTCCTCAGACAGATAACTACCACCATGGAGCGCAGAGAGACAGAGAGAGAGGAGAGAGAGAGAGAGAGAGAGAGAGGGAGATGAATGAAAACAGGCAAAAAGCTACATCTGGAACAGTTTTTCCCTGAACAATTCAGCTACTATGTGGAAGAGCAATAAACCCCCTGATTTATAAGAACAGCCACAAACATGGTTGTTCGAATCACTTTATTGTTTAACAACCACAGTAACTTTTGCACACAAGTGGTCAAACACCTTTATCTTATGGTGGAAAATTCCATGGAAACCTGCACCTTCATAATGAACAACAGGCTGTGACACTTTTAGCACTCAAAGTACATAACGACTCACTCTTATTTGTGAACAGTGGTCTGTTACGCAAGAGTGCTGTGTTTTTGTAACGCTGCTATTTTGAGGAGCAGATGTTTTTGGGCCTCTGCATTCTCAGGCCTTTCTTGGCGTCTGCCTTTCCTGTCTCATCTTAGATCTGCCTGTCAGTGTCCCGAGTTCACTCTGATCAGTCAGCTGATACAGTGCCACCCAGTGAGGGCGTCGGGTCAAAACACTCCCTTCATATCGTGTGTGATAAGACCGAGTGATTTGAGGGGGGGTCAAAACCAGTTCACTTCATGCTGTAAATTAATGGCTTGTTAATGCTTCATAAAGGGAAACATCACATATTATTTAACATGCTTTAGCAAGCTGTTTGAAATTAAATTAAGCCACTCTAGTTCTCTGTCAGTTCTCTTTCTCAAAACAAAGAATAAAAAGATGAAAAAGAGAGAAAACTGATCATTACAGTGCCCCTCCAGCAGAAAAAAATAAGCCAGACATATTCCTGGTGCACATCAAACAAGGGTGGGTGTTATGGCAAAAATATAACATGACAACACTTCAAGACACTTTCTTGATACATGATAAGTATCACAATATTTAGTGTTTTTGAGGTTTTATAAGTTGGAACTGAGAAAAAAAAAAGTCCTATTTTGAAAAATACTATCAAAATTATTAACATAATTTTCATTCAGCATTTCACATACTGCACTAAATCTAATTAATTTTTTTAATAACAAAACACAGTCAGTCCGTCTTTTCTCAAGGAACATTTCATGCCAAAATGGCAAATTTCATCATAACCATCATCACATCTCTTGTAAACATGCCTAGTCATATCTGACCGTGGTGCCACAGCAGTCTCTCGAGTGATTTTTTGGTTTAAATACTAGGAAAATCCCCTTCTGATGATGTATCTTAACGGTGGGAGAAAGAACTACAAGCACTTTGGGACCCTCAGGGCCTTCTAGACCTTTACAGAAAGACTGATGATTTCTGGGAACTAAACAATTCATGTCTGTAATTATCTGTAGTTATTTTTCTCCATGGTATCTAGGTAGATATAGCTAAGCAAGCTCTCCTTTGGTCTTCAAGAGTAGAAAAGCAGGCATAACATGTTACATTAACTATCAACATAATTACAAATTACTATTTGAGTGGTGGATCACTCTCAGCACTCCAGTGACACTGATGTGGTGGTGTGTGTACGAGTGGATCAGACACAGCAGTGCTGCTGGAGTTTTTAAACACCTCAGTGTCACTGCTGGACTGAGAATAGTTCACCAACCAAAAACACCCAGGCAACAGCATCCTGGGGGCAGCGTCCTGTAACCACTGATGAAGAACTAGAGGATGAACTGTGCAGTAACTGATGAGCTATTGTCTATGACTTCACATCTACAAGGCTGACCAACAAAGTAGGAATGTCTAATAGAGTGGACAGTGAGTGGATACAGTGTTTGAAAACTCCAGCAGCACTGCTGTGTCTGATCCACTCGTACCAGCACAACACACACTAACACACCACCACCACATCAGTGTTACTGCAGTGCTGAGAATGATCCACCACCTAAATAGTACCTGCTCTGTGGTGGTCCTGTGGGGGTCCTGACCACTGAACAACAGGGTAAAAGAACACTGATCAACGAAAACACAAAAAGGATACAATAATTTGAATTCTTCCAAACCAGTGAGGCTAAGAGATACAAAGCTACAGAATATGGCATGGCAAATAATATACTCAATGCTGGTTTTAGGCCACAATGCCCCTTTAAGTACTGCTGATATCCACAGTCTGTTTAAAGAAGCACACTGGCATGTAATATGCAGTAAACCATAAATATTGTCGTATCGCATAGCCCGGATATCAAGTATTATGAGGTCTCAGTTTAAGTTTTTACGGATACCTAAACAGTTTAGACTTGGAATTCCATTTAACTTTCGAAGGAAAATATCAACACTTACAGCCCATCAAAATTTCAGTTAAAGTAACATACCCAAAGACGAAAAGAACCACAACATTATCTGCTGAGGGACATTCATCCAAATGTAACATAAACTTACCCAAACACAAGAGTCCCATCCTTTCTAATGCCAAACTGGGCATTCTGCAGTCCTCTGCTGTTCTGTACCAGTCTGCCATCACTTACAACATTCCCTAAACAGCGTCCACTGTGAGTGTCAAAATAGCCGCCGTTCTGGGCAATCAGACACTTTCTCGTTCTAGCGGTGTTCTCCACTATCTCTTTACGGGATTTTTCACAGCCGTCTGGGCCTCCAGGCTCTAGGACAGACACTGTCCTCACAGGGTCATGAACCACGGTGATGTGGCCACTCACCCATTTAGGAGTCTCTGAATTGGTGCTGATGTCCGAGATGAAGATCTTGGACTCCACCACAGGTGACCTGGAGTGATTACTGGCAGGCCAGGTTTCGTGGGTTACGTTGCCGTGGGTGATGGGCTGACAGTCCCTCACGTACCGATGGGAGTGAGACGGGCCATGAGAACTGGTGTAGGGAGACAAGACATCATCATCCATAGAGTACCTGTCAGGGGGAGAAAACACAAGAATATTGAAGCATGTCCGTATCTGCCAGCATGCACTTATTTAATAATCCTGTTTTTATTATTTCACATGCACACTTTTGAATAAAAGGCAATACTTAACACTCTAACCCAATGTGAACAAATATTTAATCAGCACCACCAAAATGTATTGCTGGAGCTTTTAGAGTTCAATACAGTTTATGAGACTCATCCCTTAAACCCAGACACCAATCCAATGTCAAAATGGAGTTTTGACTTTTTCATCATTATAATCCTTTGTTTTTATGTGTCAAAATGTCATATATACATACAAGGTACTGTGCAAAGGTCTTGGTTACCTAAGCACAATGTTTAAAACCATTTATCTTGGCAATAAGTGTGTTTGAGCTTGTAGAAAAAAAAACATATCATTACAATAGACGCAAATGAACACACATACAGCAAAAAGTAATAATAATTTCTTTGTTCCAAAAAGTAGTTGATATCTTAGTTGAGCAGGTTGCAACATTTCCAATCATTCATTTTTCATTTTATGTTTTGCGTGTGCACAAATTTAATATTACTTCTCATTTGGTTTAAATTCTAAAAGGTGCTGTTGTCACTCACAGAGGCACTCAGGATCAACGTAAATGAAGCTTTCAGCTGTGCACGTTCTTTCAGTGTCAACATCAGTTTGTGTACTTATTGAAACATTACTGAATGAGGAGCTAGAAAGATGAATGCTAATGATCTGATAAATTGAGTAATGACACTTGAGTAACTGAGCACAGAAATCCTCGGTATTCTGAAAACTCTGCATTAAGCCAAATGTTCAGTGTAGTTATTTTTGGGAAACCAAACCATTCTATAGTTCTAATCCATTAATTTTTCAAAATTTCTGTATAATTAAAGGGTTAAGGCTTAAACAAAGACATTCAGAGAGGTTTGGTGTGAAGTGCTCCATTCTAAAGAAACTTACAGAGTCTGAATTGTTCACAGTGGTGGTGATAGGAACCAGACGTCTGAAGAGTTTAAGGCTTCTAAAAGCTTCCTCACAGAAAGTTATTATATAAAATGATTATGTGAACACACACAATGCCAGAGACATTGCTGTGAGGCAAAACGGACCCCAAATAAAACTTCCAGGTTTATCACTATTTTACCATTACATATGAAACCTCAGAGGACATGTGTAGGTTACTGGTGGTTTTGGATAGTAAATAAAACAGCCTGGTTCCCATCACTACCACTGTAAAGAAATCAGAGTAGACAAGTTTCTCTACAATGAACCATTTCACATCAAACCACTCTGAATGACTTTGTTTGCATTCCAACCACTGAATTATGAAGAAACTTTGAAAATTCAGTATTAAATGGGTAAGATATATTTTGCATTTTGATGTGAATGTTCCATTCTAAAAAGACGTACTGAGCACTGAGTGCTGAATTGGTCACAGTGGTAGTGACAGAAACTAGACAAATGAAGCATTTAAAGGGGAAATCCACCGATTTTTCAAAATTTCGGCCTAATTAAATCACTAAGATATAAACACCATTCAGAGTGGTTTGTTGTGAAATGCTTTGTTCTAGAGAAACTTGCTGAGTCTGAATTGTTCTCAGAGGTGGTGACAGGAACCAGACATTTAAAGAGTTTAAGGCCTCTAAAAGCTCCATCACACAAAGTTATTAAATTCAATGATGGCCAATACATTAGCTGACACCTGAGATACAGTTTTACCATAGTTTTGAGGTAAAGCTTCACAAACGTCTAAAGAGTTTGATGCCTCTAAAAGCTCCCTCACAGAAAGCTATTACATGAAATGGTTATGAATACACTGCTTGATTCTTGAGATAATGTTTTACTTTGAGATCAAATTGTGACCTAAACCACATTTTAAGCACATTCATGGTGGTGGTGGTGGGGGGGCTATGTGCAGGGAACTGTAAAGCAAAACAGTCCCCAAAGAAAACAGATTTTTTTTCAGATTTATCACTATTTTACCATCATCATACATAAATACAGAAACTCAGAAAACACGTGCAGGTTCACTGCTCCCTTTGGATAGCAAATAAAATGGCTTTATTTGTGTTGTGGACGTTGTAACCCCTGGTTCCCATCACAACCAAACACAGAAACCTGAGTCAGTACACTTCTCTACAATGAAACACTTCACATCAAACCACTCTGAATGAGTCTGTTTACCTCCCAGTGATCGAATTACACAAATCCATTTTGAAAAATCCCTTTTAATAACCCCTTCTTCCCTTTTAAAACTCTAAAACCTGTTAGCCAAAAAAGGAAACAAGTCACCCAAATAAAGGGGCTTTTGAAACTACTGCTCATCTACTGAACAGCTCCTTTATTTATTTTCTAACAAAACGCAGCCAGGTGGTTTTAGCCTGAAGACAAAATAATGGAGAGCTCATCTGAGTAAGACATGTCAGTCTGCACTATGGTTCATGTGTCTGCAGAGAGGGGGGTGTTCTGTCCTGACTGGTCACACAATCATAACGGCTTTCTTTTCTTAACTGTAATGATGCTTCAGTCATTCACTACAGCGCTGTTCTTTGGTCTACCAGGATGTCCGCACTGACACGTTGGTTCTCTTGTAGCGATAAAGGCCTCCAGGAGCAAAGACTGCAGTTATTCAGTTTGCATGGCAAATGCAAATGAACGTCTCATACAAACCCAACAATAGACTTAAACAGAACGAGGCGAGGAAGCTGAATCATTTTAAACAGTTAGTCTTAAACGGATGTAAATGGGTTTGAGTTACAGCTGTTAGTCTGCACTTCTTCCTGCACTTTACCCTCCTCAGTCTCTCTCAATACAGCTGCTACATAATCAACAGCTTGTGGTATTTTCGGAGCCCGTTTCCTCTCAGCTGTTGTGGTAATTAGTACTGAAGCTTAAACTGTTCTCTTTTTAGATGTATGTAGTTTAAGATATGAACAGAATGGATCCTAATAAGTAAGCAGTTCTCGTTAGTTAAGCTAGGTTAGCTACACACTGTAAAAACTCGTGTATCGAGATGAATCTTACCGGATGTCTCTGCTGTCTGTCACCCACACTCCAACACACATTAGGAGAAAATAAATACGCCCTAAATTCTCTACCAAAGCTGCCATATGATTAAAAACTCGATCAGCTAAATCAAACACAGCTGCATTTCCATTATTCTCCAGTTCCTCTCTGAGCTTCCCAGCGCTGAACTGTCATGTGACTCTGTCATGTGCCGCGGTGCAGCGCCATCTACAGGCGCTGAGGCGCCAGCACAGGCCGCGCTATGTTCACACACATGAGCCCCTCAGCAGTGAAGCGCGTTCAGGTATACAGGGTCTGATTTACTGTGTACCTCCCTACAGAGAGTGAGATACACATGTATTCCTGATTTTATATCCTCTCAACCCTCAGTTATATTAAACTTTCATACTTGATAGGTGAAGAAATGCTCTTCTGTAAAATACTTGTTGTGTTCATAGTTACACTGGATGTAGTTCATATCCACATTTTATTTATCGGTCAGTTTTTTACTTTTATTTATTTTATTTTATTTACCTAATTTTGAATTTTATTTTGCTTTGTTATTTATGTGTGGATGTTTGTATTGTCCTTTCATTTGAATAGGTTCAATATAAATTCGTATGTTTAATTATTCCAAGACGTAACGTAATGTTTAAATAAAATTCAAAATAAAAAAAACAAAAGGAGGTTCCTTGGACGTGGCATATTTTAATTTAGTAGACATGAATACTTTTTCTTCATACAAGGCCTTTAGACTCTTAATTGTAAACTACACTGAGATGAGACCCTTTTTTAAAAAATCATCATGTACAGGAGAAAACATAAAAGTCCATTGACGTAATGTTGAAAAGCACACATATCTTGTATTCCACATCATAATACTTTATTAATCCCTTACAAATCACACTGAAAGGAAGGAAAGTAGTCTAATCGCCCTTTGATGCTTCCGTTAAAAACCGAGGTTCACGATGAATTGGAGGCACCTTAAAGGTAGTACAACATACCGTGTCATGTCACGCGCATATTTCGGTATACTTGTGATCAAAACGATTAACTGACAAACATTTTAGATAAGTTTCTCCGAAACGGACTACAAATATGGCGTCCCTTTCACCGATCGCACGAAAGCGAGTAATGGGTTTTGTAGTTTATTTGTGTTTTAATCTCTGAATGGCTAAGAAAAAAAAATGTTGCTTTAGTGTGTATGCGTAGCCAACTGTGCTACTGTGCTTGTGTGACTGCAAAATATTTGTTTCACAAAAGTTCCAGATTTAAGCATTTTTTTCAATCCGTTATTTTAAAAAATCACTGTGGCGAAATGAACGAGCGCAGCCGGCAGATGGCGCAGCTCTGCGCTCCACTACCCCGCAGCGTCCACACAGCACTGAACCACTGGAGACTTTTTGTGTTCTCAAATCATAATAAATCATAATGCATTTGGCAGAAGAAAAAATACATGATATAGGATTAAATGTAGAGATAAATGCACCCAAAGTCACGCGTAAATGCAGCAATATCGCTGCTCAAACAGAGCCGTCAACACAGGCGGAACTCAAAACACGCCGGTTGTCTCTCGGCGGACTGAAACTGGAGGGAGCCGGTTGAAGCTGAAGGGGACGCGGCGTCCCTCTGCTGGCATGTGAGAAGTAACATGGCACCTTCTATTAGCATGAAATATGGACTTTTAACCAGCAGAAGGTCGCTTTGTAGTAAGATATTTCCACTTGCCAGATGTAGACAGAGACCGACAGAGATTAAGAGTCTGAGCTCGTCTACTAATTCAAGCTCGCAACACGACGAAAAGTACTGTATTGATCTCGTCAGGTAAGCAGTGCTGAGCTAACGTTAACTGTAGCTAGCTGGTTCTGAATGGACAAAATCGTAAAATAACGCGTTTAACGCAAAAAATCCTGAATGTAGCCACCTTTACCCTGCTGTGATTTTCCTCTGTTCAGTTTGGTTGGGACCACTCGTTTTCAGTTGTTCTTGAGTGGACGTTGTATTTGTACTTCGCGATGAATGAACTGAAGAGTTGGGTCAGGTGTTATTAAGTTATTGAGCAGGTACGAACACTACAGTACAGCACATGAACTCCAGGACTGGGAGGCACTGCTGTTTTGTTCAAAATCAGCAATTCGCCACCATATCAGTTGGGTTGTGTCCCTGACCTCTGTGATGACAACACACACACACACACACACACACACACACACACACACACATATGTGTGTATATATATATATAGATATATAGATATATAGATAGATACTTTTGGACGTCCAGTACTGGGCTGTGGAGCAGTGAAACTGTCTTCTGTGAAGTGTTGGAGCTCCATCCAATACCTTTTAGGATGAGTTCATCCAACATTAGCTCCTGACCTCACTAATGATGTTGTGGCTGAATGCGATCAAATCCTCACAGCAATGGGCCCACATCTAGGGCTAGTTTCCCAAACATGGATTAAGCCTAGTTGAAGTGCCAACTGGGGGATCTTTTTATTGTAGCATTATCCTTGATGTTGGTCACAGTCCTGGTGTAAAGTCTTCCCAGAAGCAGCAAACTCCCTATTAATGCACTTGATTTTAGAAGAACTGCTGAGTGAGCAGGTGTCTGCAGACTTCTGGACACACAGTGTATCTACCTGATCATAAACTGCTTAATCTGTACTGATCTTTCATGTAGTTTATTCAAGAGTGGATAAAGAACAAAACTTATGTACAAACATTTTCTCTGCATCGCTACTTGAGTGAAACTGTGGCAGTTCGAGTAGTTTGAGCACGATGGTCTATTATTAGATGCTCGTCTTAAATGAAGTGTAAAACAAGATTTTGTTGTCTACACACCTAAAAAGTGCTTCAGATTGATGGGAACGCTTTTGTATATGGTTCTTTAAAGAACCTTTCAGGTATTGTTACAATGTCCAGTTTGTAACATTAGCAGAACCCTTTTTGGTGCTAAGTAGAACCATATACAAAACATTCTCCATCAATCTGAAGACCCATTTAAGCATGCAAATGGTTCTCTATAGAACCCATGATTCTAAATAGAACCAATGCCTTTACTAAAGAACTCCTGAAAAAACAACCAACTTTTTATTTATATTTATTTGCCCAACACACTCGATTGAAATCTAATGACTTTTATTGGCTTAAATAATTGTTGTCATTTAAAGAAATTGCCATTAAGTGATTGTGATAATTGTGACAGGCCTAGTTCTCGTTATCAGCTAAAACAGACACCGGCTGCGTAAAGAAAAACACGCCATGCACGCACACAGGGTCTCTCTCAGTTTGCATTATCTTTTATTTGTATCAGCATTACATGATTATGATCTACTCTACCAAATGTCAACATATTTAATTCCTGTTAATAATATTGTCTGTTTTTTTTGTATTTTAATATTGACCTATAAAACATTTGACATCATGAGAGTGTAACTAGGCATATTTTGTTTACACAGGTTTATGCATGAAATCTGCAAGTTTTATATGCTAGTACAGCTAGATTATTGATGGGTATTAGTATCAGGTCGATATCAGCAGAGACTGTTGTATTGAATATCAGAGAGGAAAAAAAATTAAATTAAAGTGATCCAGTCTTGTAACAAATCCCTCCAGAAATATCTCACGCATTGTTTAATGCGATGGTGTTAGCTGTGAATGTCTTCCTATGAGCTAGTAGAGTGATTAAGTATCTTAAATGAAGCGCTTAAATTAAAAATACGTCATTTTAGAAGCTTTTTTAAGTTTTAAAATCAGATCAGTATCAGCTGATAAGGAAGTTTTCAGTATTAGTATCGAAAAGCAAAAACGGTGTCATGTCATCTCTAGTTTTTAGCGTTGTATATAGCCTATAGCCTCTTAATGCTTGTCCCCCCTTGCTTTTCAGAACAAATTTGTATTGGCACAATAAAAGTAGTATTGTCCTATCTCTATCTAATACAACAAATACAGTGCTCTTCTGGTTGTGGCCAAGTCCATGTCTAACTGTGTCTACATGTGACCACAATGAAGAACTTAGAATTAGTTTGAAGATTTATCTGGTGAACCTAATGCCCTGCTGTCTACAGAGTTGTAAAACAACCACCAGCGTTTATGTTTATACATCATTCACTGTACACCATTATAGGGATAATATATAAAATGCTGTTGTATGTCTGATTAGTGATGTGCTCTCATTGACAGATCACGAGACTATGAAGGCTTTGTGTGCTCTCTGCTTGTTCCCGAGGCTGCTCGCCGCTCCTCCATGGCGCTGAGGGCTTTCAATGTGGAACTGGCACAGGCAGGTATTCATGATAACTGGTACACTGAAGCTCATGTACACACTTCTGTAGACATGCTGGCTAAGATTAAGGTGAAGTTAATAATCATTTATATGTATATGTATGTATTATATGTATAGTGGGGTGGGGCAAAGATTGAATCACATTGAGGCACATTGAGAATCTTCATATATTTTTGAATGATTCTGATGGATTTAAGTAAACTGCGATTCATTCATTTCACACAAACCCATTTTGAATTGCTTTATTTACATCTCGATTGAATGATTGAATTATGCAGAAATGTTTAAAAATGTGCTTTCTCAGTCCTATACCGTGTGCTATGTAAATTATGAAATAGTTCCTATGTAGTGCACTAGTTGTCCAGTGTGGTACAAATTATGCCCCATTTCAATGCAGGTGCCAGTATTGTAATTCCTATGTAGTGCACTATGTAGGGAGCAGGGAGCCATTTGAGATTAGAGAGACGTACAACGCTGTTACGTTGGTGCTAAATAACACTGGAAGTTGCATTATGGCGTTAGTGGTCATCGCAGTTGTAATTTGGCTCTTTTAGCGATGCATCGTTGCTTTAAAGGAACGACAAGCCTCTTGTGGATGATTGGTTTATTTTAAAAGGGATTACATAATTCTAAACATAGTTGAATAATAACCACCCACATTTCATAGTCCTTCAGTATGAGAACTTAAAATGTTAGAGAAAAGTTCATTTGCATTTAAAAAAAAACTGGTTTAAGTATATTCTAATATTTCAATTTTTGACTGTTAAATGTTGGAATTGCTAGGTACGCAAAGTTGTATAATCATATGTGGCCTGAATCTTCACTTTGTGTGCACTTTTCACTTTAGGTTAAGGACTCTATCTCTCAGAAGACCATTGGTCTAATGCGAATGCAGTTTTGGAAGACTGTGGTGGAGGATATCTACAGAGATGACCCTCCTGTCCAGCCTGTCAGTGTGGAGTTGTGGAGGGTTGGTTTTCTTCTGAGCTCAGCAATTTATGAACTTTGTTAAAACGTTAACATAATTGAACTAAATGCCAAAAAATATTTTTTCTTTTCATGTACATTCACATACACATGTACATTTTAATGTGATCATTTGCTCAAGATACTGCATTGACTTGTGAATGTGGTCACAATTAAAATTATCTGGGAAAAGGGAACGTTGACACACGGCTGTGATTCCTAAACGTAAATGTGCTGGTCTTTGCAGGCAGTGAGGAAACACACACTGACGAGGAGATGGCTGTTAAAGATCATAGCTGAAAGGGTAAGATTTGCTTTTTTGTGCAGAAGTTTGGAAGATATACTAAACATTTAACTCTTGTGGATCTCATTAAAGGGAAACTCGGGGCAAAATGAAAAATACAACTTTCGCAACAACTGTTGTAAACATGCCTACAGTGGTGCCACAGTAATCCCGAGAGCCTTCTGGTTTAAAGAGGAGGCTCTCAGCGTTTCTATACTGTATTTGTGTAATGCATTATGGGTGTTGTAGTGCTAGAACATTATTAGATCATTAGGGAACACAAACAGAATGCAAAATCATGAGTTCTATCAAACTGGTGTGGCTGAGGGATGTGATGCTGAGCTACAGATTACTGCATACCACAAAAAATAACATTAAATGTTTTAGGCAAAGCCAAAAGATTAGTTGTTTTTATATTGGACAGTATTATCAACAGTTTTGTTTAAGTGGGGGAATTTATTCTAATTATGAGCTGCCTGAGGATGAGTTAGACCTGTGGTTCTTAACCCTAGCCCTGGAGGACCCCCTGCCCTGCACGTTTTAGTGTGTGCCCTGCTCCCAACACACCTGATCCATTTATTGGGCTAATTAACAGAGCTGAAGTGGATGTGTTTTTGCAGGAAAACACAATGGGCACAAAGGACCAGGACTAGGGTTGGGGACCACTGAGTTAGACTAATCAGAAGCAACCAAACATTTTGTTGTGCTGTGTACAACACAACCATGGCAAACAATTTTTACATTATAATACTATATTATATATATCATACTAAGCAATGTCCAAGACTTCAAGTTTTAGAGAATTGCACAGATTTTTTTTTTACAATTTTGCATAATTCAGTCATTACGAATCAAAGTCATTCAGAGTGTTTTGATGAAATACTCCGTTCTAGACAAACTAAGTCAGAATCGTTCAACGAAGGGGTGATGGGAACCAGGCGTCTACAGCGTTTAATGCCGCTAAAAGCTGCATCACAGAAAGTGAGTACACTAAATGGTTACAGGTGTATTGTCTGATACCAGAGAGTTTCGAGATAAGCCTTTGGCCTAAAACATATTTTTAAAATACATAAAATACAGGAAGCTGTAAGGCAAAATAGTCCCAAAAAAAAACATTTTTTTTTAGATTAATCTGTGTTTTACTGTTATCAACATTGCATATAAAACCTCAGAACACATATATAGGTTAGCTGGTCATTTTCGATTGCAAATAAATCAGAAAGGTTCTCTACAATGAACCGTTTTACATCAAACCACTCTGAAGAACTCGATTTGTTTGCATCTCAACGGTTGATTTATGCAGAAGTTTTAAAAGTCATTAGAATTCCGCTTAATACTTTTGCTCAAGTATATTTGGTCACTACCATTTAGTTACCTTTTGTTGTACTCCTTTATGTTTAGTCTTTGCTTTGACATTTAAGGCTTTAGCATTTTGTTGGATGTACAAAGACGTTCTGCTGTTTTTGTAGTTCTACTCAAGTTGTTTTTGGAAAGGTACTTTTTACATCTACCTCAGCCATTATTTCACAAATGTAACAAAACATTGAACTTCAGATTTAGGCTGCTCTGTGATTTAGTATTTATCAGCTTTCAGTCCAGAAATAGGTCTTCATTACACTGCTTCTATTTTCATTCAGTAACACAGCCATGCACAGTCTTACTGATGGAGATCTCTCCAGTCTGAGTGACCGATGTCTAATACCTACTAAATACATGTTATGTTATTAAGCAGTAATGGAATCTTCTATTTGCTTTTTGACAGGAGAAGGACATGGAGGACAGAGCGTACAGGAACCTTCAGGAGCTGGAGTCTTATGCAGAGAACACTCAGTCTTCGCTCCTTTATCTCCTGTTGGAGACTCTAGGTGAGCTTTTATTTATCTGACAGTGTGAAATCCTGGAATTACACTGACTTTTTAGCAGAAATTATTTTTTTTTCAGTTACTTTCACTGAGAGTTGTTTCTGGTTTTCTTTATCACAGCTCAGCAAATCTTATTTGAATAAGACACAGTGATTTACTCTTATGTCTTTTATAGGTAGTTTGCTGTTGGGCAACTTTTTTGAGGTGTTTATTTAGTTTGATGTTTTTACTTTATAAATATCAAAGCTTTTGTGAAGCTGTTTTTGTACTGGAACTAAAGAAACATTTTGTGATATTTTAGACTTTTTACTTTCAAATGAAAACAAATTTAAAAAATCAGTTATTACAGACTAATTGATGTAAAGATTTAAAGAAATAATTTGGTGAAAAATCAAATTAACATGATTTATCACTTACCCCAGATGCAGTCGATCGGCTAAGACACAAACTTGGTATCTGAAGTTTGCTTCTTTAGTTTAGAATAGAAGATGCCTGGCTAGCGTTGTTAACAAACACTTTATTTCAGTTGCCTAAAACGTCTCTCAACCCACTCAAAACGCATCCAGGTCTTCATTTATTTTACACAGACAAAGCGATGTGGTTTAGTACACGGTATGACTTACTTTAGTCTGTAAAAACAAAAATAACCGTCTCCTCATAGGTGAATTGTGGGGCAACCATTGTAAGCACCCTGAACCACTTTAACCTCAGCACAGTATGTGGTAGTCCATGCAAGACAACCTTTTGCTTAAACACACGCAGTAAGGTAATTTGGCAAAGAAGCTAAGCTAGAATACTGAGTGTATTAGGATTTCAGCATGTACTTATTAACAAGTTGAGATTGGTGACAGTGTAAGTCCAGTGTTGGTTAGCAATATTAGCCCAGCATCTCCATTGTAAACTAAACAAGCGCACATCAGATGTAAAACGTTCTTTTATTTTTTCCCTGAAGTCCACTTATGCTCTTTGCATGGTTTTGATATACCAAAAACAGTCATAATTATTGTTTGCATGACCATTTCCATCCTTTTTTATCATTTGCATCATAAACTGTCTGCTTTTGTTAATGACTGATATGTTTAAATGACCTCTCTTCTGATTGGCTGTTCTGTACTCTTTCAAATAGCAGTTAGGGCTAAAACACTCCTGGGGGGGCTAAACTACTGTATACTGATTAAGTGGATGTATGGAAATGCATTGTATTTCATGTATTTCATCACAAAATCAGTGAACACTCAACAGGTTATTTTTGCAGGTTAATTTCCATATATGGACTGAATGGACAAGTGAATGTTTTTATTGTAACATACATTAAACTTTTATTTCATAATTATGAGGAAAGTGTCATTGTCCATGATATGGGAAACAAAAGGACAAAAGTCAGCTCTTTTAAAATGCTGTTTGAGACTTTATTTGAACATGTTCTGGTCTGAACTGAGTTTAACATACCATTACCCTTTGTGTGTTTATAAAGGAGTGAAAAATGTCCATGCAGACCATGCTGCCAGCCACATTGGCAAAGCACACGGGATTGTGACGTGTCTACGAGCCACTCCCTACCACAGCCAGAGACGCAAGGTCTATCTGCCCATGGACATCTGCATGCTGGTGGGTGCACTGCTGAGTGGTATCATGCGATGTATGAAGATCATCTCCCAGTTTATCCTCTTTCATCTGTTGGGTTGTCCTTCAGCCTCCTGATGGGAAGCACTCAGGGTCAGTGTGGTGGAAGAGCAGGGCTCTATAGCAGGCTCAATACATGAAGGTTTAATGGGGCATTCCACCAAGTTTTAAAATTTCTTGGTAATTCAATATTTGAAATGTAAACAAAAACATTCTGTGTGGTTTGATGTGAAGTAGAGAAGCTTACTTTGAGGTGATAAGAACCAAAGATATTTATTATCCAAACACGTGGTCCTACACACATCTTCTGAGTTTTAATATGTAATGTTGATGATGGTAAAATGATGATAAATCTGGAAAAACATGTTTTCTTTGGCTACTGTTTTGCCTTACAACACCCTACATGTATCTCTCTGCCATGAATGTATTTGAAAAGAAAAAAAAAGGTTCATAAAATTCATAAAACAATGTGTCAGGCATCAGGCAGCGTATTCATAAACATTAACATGTAATAACGTTTTGTAATATGGCTTTAAGTGCTGTTAAATACCTCTGGTCTGGTTCCACCACCACTGTGAACAGTTTTGACTTGGTAAGATTCTCTACAGTAAAGCATTTCACATCAGACCACTCTGAATGGCTTTGTTTACATCTTGAAGATTTAATTATGCTTTGATGTAATTGGCCAGTGCCTACTCTATAGTTAAGCCCAGATCCCTTGCCTTAGTTTCACCCTGTTGCCTGTTTGTTACAATCTGTCATTACTCTAATTTGAATGGGCTGTAAGTCAGACTGAGAGATTTAGATGATCTGGTAACAATAGAAGGAATATTCTAGGTCGTCTAACCAAATGTCATCACAGTTCGTAAAGCAAGTACTGAGATGTCCAGAATGTATTTTATTGTTGTTCTTTTTCTGTTTTTTTTTAATTATGTTGTAATCCAGACTCCAGGGGGCACTGCTGTAACGTAATGAGGGTGAATGCAGCAAACATAGCATTCTCCAAACAATGTAAAAATCAATTGCTTTATCTTTTGAGTTGAAATATAATTTTAAGATTGTGAAAGCTCTAAACTGCCAGGTTATTTCAACCTGCTGAACAGTGTTTATTCACAGTACACTGCATTAAAAGGAATAACTAATATTTTTACGACTTTTAAATTTGTAGATCTGCATATTTTAAATTGAATCACTCTCATACAGCTATAGTGCTCATTTTGATGTGGGATTAAAGGATTACATTGTAAGGATTTCTGTTGTATTTACAGTAAATGTTCGAAAGCTGGAGTGAGTAGCTGAGTGAGTGTGTAGAAAACCATATTTATATGGTGTTAATGGTAGTTAGCCAAAGAAGAGGCTAATATTAAACAAAAGCTGAAGAACACAACATTGTAATTGGTGTTTGCTTCAGGGTTTAACTGAGGCTGTAGTGTAAATGCCAGTGCAGACAGACTTGAGAGTGCCCAAAGGCATTGAAATCTGGTCTACAACAGTCTCACTATCATTTGAGTCCCTATTTTAGCATCTAAAGCAGTAATCTTTTCAGAACAGACCTAAGCAGTCAGTCATGTTCTACTGATTGTCCTATTGTCATGATGAGCTCAAGTGTCTAAAGCCTAATTGTCTGTGGAGTTAGAGGTGCTTAGTTGAGAATTTTAAGGTACATTTTGTTTGATGCAGCTGTGCATGTGTTACCTTTCATTGTGGTGAATTACAAAGTGGATGATGGATTTGTTCTTTTGTAGTTCTGCTGCTCTGCATCAGTACATGTTTTACTTCCTCAAGCAATTCACATTGGATAAAATTGAGGGTGAAACAATACTGTCATTGATTTCTCAGATTTGCCTTTCTTTCATAAAAAGAGTACATGAAAGCTTGTTGCCTTTTGTGCAAAAATGGTAATGTGCCAATTATTATTGTGCCAATATGGAGCAATATGGAGATTTATGAACCAGTATAGGCCTTTTACAGAATGGGCCATCACTTTTTAGAAAGACCTCAATTTATAATTGTTTTTGAGGGGTTGGGATGTGCATCCCTACTAATTCTCATAGTTGAGTATCTGTACCAGTCGTACATCGCTGTCCTGATTTTACTTCCTTTTTCTTTCTGGCCGTGATTTTTGCACTGTTACTAGATGAATCATAAATATCAGAGCCATCAGTCAGCAACTCTTGGAGAAACCTTAAAAGGCGTAGGTAGATACCTGTGTACCCAAACCTTTTTTTTGCTAACTAGCTAGTACACAGATGAATCAGAATTAATGACAACTTTTGCAGTTAACTGTGTTACATTGCATGATAATGAAAATATGCTAATCGGATAACTCTGCCTGAGGGTCCTTGGTAATTTGGCGTGTTGGCTGAAACAGGGGCTGCCTCTTCAGATGAGCTAAAACTACAGCTAACAGGTACCACCCTGGACACTGATGACGACTCATCTAACACAAGATTTTTTCTCCTCAGTGGATGATGTGCCAACATGTTAAATTGTCAGAGAAATATATTTTCACTGTTTCTGGACCTAGCTAACATCAGCTAGTGTTAGCCTCGTTAGAAAAAAAAAAGCTATGCTACATCTGCCTTCCCAGCCTCGTCCTGAACAGCGCATCCTTGGCAATGAGCTCTGAGTGGCACAGTGCAATATACATACTAACTAGGGGTGGGACTCTCTAGGCACCTCATGATTCGATTCGATTATGATTCAGAGGGCTGCGATGCGATTATAAAACTATTATCGATGCACCTTGATGCATCTTTTTTTTTCTATACAGGATTTCTATTTTCTCACTGTGTGAGGACTTGGAACTTTGAAAACAAAGTATTTGTAATGATCCATAATGAATTTACTTCCAATATTTTTTATTAATAAATCAAATGGAAGTGATGTGGCCAGTGAACTGGAAGGCTCTCATTCACTGCCCTTGTTTGGAGCACATGAGACGCTGTTGCCACTCAGCTGTGATAAAATGCGCTGTTAGAGTGAAATAAGATCCTGTGGCAGTGGTGTCCACGCAGCACGTTACAGCTATTCTACCCATTTGGCTTTTATAACTTCGGTTTTGGTCTCGTCGTAGAGAGTGAGGATCGCTGTGTCAGTAAAATATCTTCGAGACTGGACACTGTATCTCAGCTCCAAAGTGTGCAACGTAGCGCGAAAGCCCTGGTTCTCAACGACTGAGAACTGGCGTGCAGACTCCAGCTCACATAGCAACGCAGTCTCGCCGAGCTAGTAGCTAACAAAAAGGCAAAGAGAGATTTAAGACGAACATTCGGAGACCATTGGACTTATTCGCATTTATAAGCAGCGCAGTTGGTTTCCTGGTACGTTAAATCTGCAATGAGAGACTGTCACACACTAAACAGTTATGAAGATGAAGTCGCTTCTCTTTCGAATTTTCCCGTTCCACCTTAAATGGTGCTGCATTTATATTCTGGCGCCTCAGGCAGAATTTAAGGTGGAACAGGAAAATTCGAACAAGAAGCTGGAGAATGAGAAGCGATTTCAGCCTCGTAAAACAGTCGAACGTTTTACAAGAAACTATTGTATACTTTTGAGGAAAAGTTTTCTGGCAGAGATGGGAGGAAAGCGGCTATAGCTAAAGCTTAAAGCAGAGTAGAGTAAGTCCGCGTTTTTGTTTTTATTTTTTAGCCTATACTAGGACATTAGTACATACTGAGACATACTGGACATTAAATGTTGTGGCTTCCAAGGTGGTTTGATTTTTGTTGAAAGGACAAAATGTCTCTTCATAACATTTGGGTTGTGACTCCTGATCTAACCTGGCTTTTAATGCAGATGGGGCAGGTCGATTTCTCGCTCATCCAGTTGTGGTCAGAGAACTTGTAGAGAGGAGATTTACCACTCTACAATGTCTTCCGGTTTTCTCAAACACTACAGGGCGCTCCCGAGCGAGTCCAAAATAAATGGGTTGATATGGAGCATTTGAGCAAAATCATAGTTTATAAATGCTTAAACATTTTTTAATGTAAAAGAATACAATCATTTCCTGAACAATGAACAGCATAAAACATTTTAACACCGCTGTTATATTTATAGAGCTTTTAAACTCAAGTTATAGGAGTTTAAAACAGTGCCTCAAGTACGTCCATGACGTCAGTGAGCGCGAACAGCCAATGAGCTGCTCCGCTCGCCAATCATCACGCTCTAGCAGTAAAGCCCGCCTTTTGCTGCCCAAAACCCGTTTGCTGTAGAAAAAAGGAAATGTATAGGTAAGATTTCTTTTTTTTTAGTGAAATACATCCTTCTACTTTCTAAAATTAAAGAAACGTTCTGGTCAAGTGATTAGAAACTATTTTAACTTTTCATTTTTAGCCGTTGAGCTCCATTCACTCCCATTCATTGAGGACTCCCTCGCGGCCGCCCTCTGCTGTTTAGCAGTCCTGGTTTATATAACGGGGGGAATAGGAAGTGGCCAGGCTCCTCATAAACCAGCTCTGTTGTGTTTTTGTTATGTGCCGCACTTTTGCACTTCCAAGTTCCGCCTTTTGCGTTCCGTCAACATTACATTATAAATTAACATTTAGAAAATCGATTTTTGACATTTGTGAATCGATTCAGAATTGTTCACATCCGCATTGCGATGCATCTAAGAATCGATTTTTCCCCCACCCCAATACTAACTCACAAATATGTGCTGAACATTTTACAGTCATCGTTTACCTGTGCTGGAAGAGTAAGTTCAGTATTCGGATACTGGCATCTCCAACAGTTAAGTGAGTACTCCAGTACTCATGCACATCCTTAATGAGGGGTCTTAAAAGAAGATGTCTGCTAAATTTTGAGTAAATGTGCACATACATTAGTGTAATGTTTTATTTCATGTCATGAAAAACAGTGTCAGCTGCTAGTAAACATAGTAAACATAGCTAATCAGCCAATCTGGTCACTGCAGGCTTTTACTTTAGTAGTAATAGTTTAAAAAAAAATTTTCATCTCAATTATTTATGTAACAATTAGTTGTCAGCTAATATTTCATCATTGTGACAGGCCTACAAATAAATCAAAATAGCTGGAAGGCGCAGCAATTTCTTCCATTAAATTCTAGGCTTTTTTGATATTTTGGTCTAAGGGTGTACAACAATGCTTAGTTTTGATTATAATGTTCTCCTGATGGTGCCTCCAGATGCCCTTCTGATGTGTCAGAGTAGGGCCTAGAGGTGGGTTAGAGGGGATAACTTGGTTGGTTATTGCATTATCACCTTTTTAAGCCTGAAGAGTTTAAATGTCTGGAAAATATAATGAATATTTCAGTTGGCACAGACTTGGAATTACATTGAGTAAACATACTTTTGAAGCAGTCCAGTGATATGCATGTTTTTGTTCTGTGGAGCTGAGAATAATACTGAACTGTTGATATGTTTCCCAGCATGGTGCATCTCAGGAAGACTTCATCCGTGGCAGCAGAGAGCAGAATGTCAGGGATGTTGTGTATGACATTGCCAGTCAAGCCCATATCCATCTTCAACACGTACGTGTTGCAAAAATGGATTATTTTTGTTAATATACTGTACATATTTGCTCGCACTGCATGAACAGCATTAACTTCAAGTAACCTCAGATAGATGATGTCTGAAATCCTAGTCACTTTAGAAGATTTGCATCAGCATGTGTCAGACTTAATGTTGTTATATTAGTTATATGCTACATTTACCCATGACTAATTTGTCATCCACCAATCATATTCTTTTTATACAGGCTAGATCATTCAGTAAAAATGTTCCCGATGCTGCCATGCCTGCTTTTCTGCACACAGTAAGTGATTTTATGTCTCTCTCTCTCTCATTCTCTCTCTGTCTGCCCTCCATAACCTCACATGCCTGGTCCTTTCTGTGTAATTAGATGACTAAGCCCTGGTATGGGCTTGGCCTTTTCCTCTATTACAGTTCTTTCTCTTCAAGCAAGCATCCAATGCTGAAGTGAAGGAAACAGACAAAATGTTCGGACTGTAATTTCCAGCATTTCAAACAAAGGACATAATGGTCGCATGTTCTGACCAACAAGGGACATTATTAAGTTTAATGAGCATCAATTTCCACAAATTTTCTGTCTGTTTTAACCTCTCGCTTCTAAGAATACGTTTATACCACCAACCACTGTCACTTTTCAAAAGGCTACTCTAAAGTGCTTGAACGTTTTTTATTGTTTATTTTCTTTTACTTTTTTAATTTTATTATTTTTTGGATGATAGACTTATAAATGTGTGGTTAAAATGTTTTTAATAGTGTCAACATTTGACTTGAGAGAATTTGCCGGAAACAAAGCTTGTGTTCAGATGGCATTTTTACCATTCTCTGACAATAATAAATGTAAACCAATGGCCAAAAGTATGTTGACACCCAGATGTCACATCGGTATGTGCATCTCTTTACATCTCATCTTGAAACCATCTATGTTAATGTAGAGTTGATTAATACTGGCGGTCCTGTTCTGTGAACTTATATGGCCTGCTGCTTTGTGCTTCAGTTGTTGAGTGCTCCTATGCATTTTCACATGATGATAACGCCACTTACTGTTGACTGAGGCAGCTGTATCAGGGCAAAAATTTGACTTGCTGGGAAAGTGGCATCCTATTATATAGCCACATTGAAAGTCACTGAGCTCTTCAGTATAATCCATGTTATTGTCAGTGTTGTCTATTAAGATTGCATGACTGAGTCTTTGATTTTGTACAGTTGTAGCCATAAATGTGACCTGCAAAGGCTGAACGTACTACAGTCCCATTTCCAAAGTCTAAATAAAAACAGAATGTAATGATGTGCAAATCATTTAAGCTCTATATTTATTTAAAAACAGTACAAATTTTGAAACTGGTAAATTTTATTGTTTTTTGAAAAATAAATGCCCTTTTTGAATTTAATGGCAGAAACATGTTTAAAAAAAGATGGAACAGTGGCATGTTTACCACTGTGTTGCATCACCTTTTCTTTTAACAACACTCTGTGAGCGTTTGGGAACTGAAGAGACAAATTGCTGTTGTTTTGAAAATGAAATATTTTCCCATTCTTGCTTGATAGAGGGTTTCAGCTGCTCAAAAACTTTGTTTTATTTTTTATTTTATCCCAACTTTTTGGAAACTGGGTTGTAATTGAAAGAGATGTTCACATACTTTGGGTTGTTTAGTTGAGATAATTAAGAGCAAGTGGTGGTCTTTTGTGGTCTGTTATATAATCTGTCAATTATAGCTAAAGTCACACTTTCTTGATGATAAAAGAAGTAATAACTTTGAAGTTGTACTTTTTTTTGGAAAGAATTAAAAGAAGCAGCTTTACTGAGTCAGGAGAAAAAAAAACAGTAAAATATGACCTGCTTGAGCTGCTGTGTCACCCTGTGAAGCCTAAAATAATAATTTAAAAGTCAGATGTGCCGAGTCACAAATCAGTGGAGTTTTTTGGACCACGTCATATGTTTTTACATATTAACATCACACGCACAGGCACAAGGTGTGGCTCGGTATTTAGGCCTCAAATACAAAATCTTTATACTGATCAAGCTATGACGACAACAGTAAATGATACACTTCCATCCTCAGAAGACACATCCTTCACTAGGTTTTGACTTTGCAAGCATGTTGAAAGAGTAGAGTACTTATTAAATACATCTGCTTGCGGAAGGGGTCTGAAGCTCACCTCCAGCGTTACAAAATGTTCTTCCACATGTTTCATGCAATTACATATTTCCACCAGAGAGGTCTCCAAATCCCCAAATTTTACCTAGTGTAGCTTTAAAAAAAAATTGTTGGATTAACTTGTAGTTAAGTAGACTGTAACTGAAATGGTTAATGTCAGATTGTTTGTCTGTACTGCAGGTCGCTATTGAGGACTACCTGGAGAGAGTGAGGAAAGTAGACTTTGATGTCTTTCATCACAGCCTGCAGAGGAGGAACCCACTACTGCCCATCCAGCTTTATTTTCGATCATGGAAAAAGTCATACTGATATATTTTTTAAATATAGCTCTTACATTCATGTTGCAACTGATGATCCAAACATAGACACTGTGTGGCGTAAGGAATTGTATAGATGCACTTCCATCTTTTTTGATATCAGTTTTCTGATTGTTGGCACTAAATGAAGTCATTACTGGGAACGAGTTACTCACTGAGTAGAATTTCCTCAAAAACCAACAAGAACATATTGTATCAGTCTAGGAAAGGTACCTTGAACTGGTACTGTTGTTAGATGTTTGAAATTCAACCCGAAACTATTTTTCCTGCTGATTCTTAATCACACTATGTATTTAGTCATGAACCCACCAATTACGTGTAGTTTGTTTGCAATGAAACCAAGTTTTGCAAAATTGAGTGTTTTATTCATTTATTTATTTATTGTTTTGTTTACTTAATGATGCAAATCAGAGATTTGAGAACAGTGCAGCAGCTTAACCATTGAATTTGTCTAAATCAATGAAAGAATTGGATTGGGGCAAGTTTCACATCTTATAATTCGCACAGTGTTCATGCACAGAGCCTGAATACAAAAAGCAGCAGTCAATAACACGAAACAACCTTAAGCCTGGTCTATTGATTGCTGTAGTGTTGCTGTTATTGTGAGACTGCTAATTTTGCTCACAGTGGGGCAAACTTTTATTTAGGAAATAAAACATACTCTTTGATCAGTGAGTAATTAGGCATCAGTCAGGTGTAAATGAAATGTCTTTGCTCATACCTGATTACAACAATTATCCATATTTGTTTTCCTCAGCCCTCCTGGCTTCAGAATCTAGCTGTGTCCATGGTGATTCACTGGAACACCCCAGACTTTTAGAACTGTTGTGTTCTTATGTTGCAGCATATTTACAAAAACAAACAAACAAAAAAAAACATAAAAGATCTGTCAGTGTGAACGCATTAGATGTCAGTAAACAGAAAGCTACATCTGTGGTTCAGAAGATCAGAAAGCTGCAGCAAATAGCCTTTATTTATGGGGGAGCATATGTTCTATGCATGTGTCCTACACTCAGTTTTCAAAATGGAAAACATGAAACATCAGTGTGGTCAGCCGGCAGTCGTGCTAACAATGGAATCTTTGATTACATCCTCAGTGACGACACCCGCCCTTCATTTCAGAACTGTTTTTAACTTGCCCTTGTCAACTTGTACTCACTATTTCCCTATTGGGCAGTATTAGCTCAAAAGACACCATGGAGTAGCGAGAGACTGAGTCAGTGTAAACAGATGTCAGAAGCAGAACTTTCCCAGACATTGCTATTCGATGCAACATCCATTTTTATTGCAATTACTCTCAATAAAGTTGGTTCTGCCTTGGTTATTTGGAAAAGAATGGTGCCATTTCAAACCACAAGTTCTGCATAGAAACATTTCATGCTTAAAAGGTTCTTTGCTTGGGAAAAAGGTTCCTTAAATTTATGGAGATGGTGTTGTATGTGGTTCGATATAGAACTTTTTTGAAAATGGTTCTGCTGTCGTTACAAGCTTGACATCATAACAATTGAACACTTTTTGGTAAATGTGGTGTATAAGGTTATATATAGAACTATATACAACATACTCTCCATTAAACTGAAGAAACATTTCACCATACAGAGAACCATTTAATGGTAATTTATGGTGCTAAACAGAACCCTTGAAGAACCATCTTTTGGCATTGGATTTGCATTCAAATGTAGTAAAGTACTGCATTTGAATGCAAAAAGGACTCTGGAAACAGGAAGGGCACTGCACCACACTTTATTTCTACACTGGTAGTAATAAAGATACTGTGCAGGTACATTTTTCGTGACATTTATCAAGGTACAAACAATGTAAATGTACCCTCAAAGGTAGAACAGTGGTTTTAAGGTCTTATTGTGTACCTTAAATAAGTTTTTCAAGGTGAAAAGTGTATATTTGTATCTTTTTTTAGCCTAATGTTTTAAACCAGAACAACAAAATAAAAAGCCTGGAGACGAAACGAGGTGTGTGGAAATATCATTTCAATGGATTATGGTACAGTTATGTTCCCTGACTAAAGGTACTGAGATGTACTCTTTAGGGAAACCACCCCAGTAACAGTTTCATATTTTTTTTTTTTCTGAGAGTGTTGCTGAGGGCAAGCATGTTTCTATTGAAAATATCACTCCTCATTGTCCCCATGTGACCCATCACTCTAGTTTCTTAGCTTTTTTCTTACTACTGTTGCACTTGGCTTGCTCACCAGGGGCTCGGATCTGGATTTCTGTAAACCTTCTTCATGACATAAAAACACAAAGCTAATACATTTTTAATTTGATTTGAGATTTGGTATTTAATTAGCAATAGCAAACAAGTTTAGCAGCAGCCAACCACCTGGCAGACCACAGAGGCCACAGTAGAGAATTAATGAAGAGTACATTAAATCATAAAACTTAGGATTCTAGGGAGGCGGTTGATGTGAAACCCTCTGTGCTTTGACACATGCAGTCGGATCAGGATTTGGCATAGTTGCGCTGGACATGTTAGCATATTGTCACTGTCCAAATGAAAACAAGTATCTCCAAAATGGCAGCTTTACAGGGGAAGGCAACAATGTTCTTTACTTTTAATGTAGGTTAATGTCTAGAGATTTTTTTCGAACAACGTGAAGGACAGCTGCTGAGCTCAAATGATAGAAGATGGTAGAAAAATAAAAATCACAAAAAATGGAGATACTTAGGGGTTTGGACAGTGACGATAAACTATATCTGACATACATACTAGAGCATTACTTTCTGCTTATCTAAGGATACAGCAAAGCATTTCAACTTAACATAAAAAGCATGAACATGTAGTACTACCAAGTTTTAGATCAGAGTATCAGAGCCCTGTTCTCACAGTTTGGATCCATTGTTGAGGTTTTTTTTTGTGATGAGTGGCAGGCTGGCAGAATGGGATTTAATTATAATCAGTGCAGACCAAAAGCCTGTAATTACCTTTGAAATTAAGGTCAAGTACAGACAGCTTGAAAGAAAGATGTCAAGAGAAAAAAACCTCTCTAACACTTTAAAATATCATTCAGGGCTTTAGTTCTACAACTTGAACATTTAAGAGAGTTTTCCAAGAAACTATATGCCGGAAGGTTTGTGGACACCTGTTCAGATAATGTTTCTTCTCAAATCAAGGACATTATTTGGGAGTTTGTTCCCCCCTTGCTGCAGTAAATGGCTAAACTACTCTGAGAACTTGATGTTGGAACATGGCTGTGAGGATTTGATTGCATTCAGCCACAGTAGCATTAGTGAGGTCAGGTACTGATGTTGGATGATCAGTTTTGGTATTGTATGGAGCTCCATCACTCCAGAGAACACAGTTCCACTGCTCTATAGCCCAGTGCTGGGGGGCTTTATTCCCCTCTAACTGACTCTTGGCACTGGTCATGATGATCTGCTCCTCCAGAGTGTCTCATTCTATTGACAGTGCTTTTCTGTGGAGATTATTCAAGCTGTGTCAGTAATGGGTGCAGCTTAAAGTAGCTGAATTCACTAATCAGAAGGGGTGTCTGGATACATTTGGACATGGGCTGTTTTCCCAGAGAGGGAAGAACCCTAGTCCTGAACTATTCAGCTTTCTGAGTGGAGATTCTCTACTAGTCCAGGACATACAGCGTGGGTCAGTTTCTTGGACAGGGAATAGTATATACCTGACCGCTCAAGAGTGCTGGTCTTAGCAGTGTTTAGAGAACACTTCTTACAGAATAGGACTTATGAAAAATGTCCTTTGATCTTACAAATAAAATAAAGCTACACTGTCAGAAAAAGGTACTGTGCAGAAACATGTTTTGTTCATCGAGATACAAACAATGAAAATGCTCCCTCAAAGGTACAACGATGTTTTTAAGGTCCAATTGTGTACCTTAAATAAGTTTTTCCCAGTGAAGAAATACGTATTTGTACATTTTTCATAGCCTAGTCTTTCAAAAAAGAACAATAAAATAAAAAGCCTGGAAACAGGACAGGATGTGCAGAGTCAATACAACATAAAATATATAACTGCAATGGATTATGGTACAATTATATTCCCTAAGTAAAAATACTGAAGACGTGCCCTTGAGAGTCCTACCACAGTGACAGTGTAGTACTTTTTTCTAAGAGCGTACAGTGTAAGAGAGGGATAGAGAACTTGGACTTGGAGGGCTGGATTCCTGCACAGTTTGGTGATTCTCTGCTCAAACACACCTGATGCAACTTAATTACCACATTTAGTTTAGCTGTTATAGCAAGAAAATCATTACGAAGAGCTAAACTCCAGCCCTCTGTTCCCCACTCCTGGTATAAGACAAGTATGCTGTTTAATAAAGCCCCTTTTTCTTGTGATGCTTTTCATTTTGTTTTCACTAACAAACACTGGTTTGGTGTTCAGCTCAGTTCCACCCCATTCACACTACGATTTTTACTGCCTTCAAATCAAAACTAATTTGATTTGTGCCTTTAAAAATCTATGATTATTGGGCCAAAACCCTGTTTATATCACATAACCACCTCCTCCAGCTGGGAGCTTAACTTACTTACTAAGCCCAAGTGAATTGTGAAAAAAAAGGTATAAAAATCTTATGAACATTGCACAGTATACTGTAATGTAGCACAGTTTCTGGTGGTTATGCATAACCCTTCCAAGCACTGACCATCTGCACTGAAATGTGAGCAGCACACTCTCCAGAGGCTTTTCTCCACTGTGACATGTAATAAAAGACAGAAGGAAGCTGTTTACCAGAGGTCACTAATACCATTGTAGTTTGGAGTTATGAGCAATCTTGCGTTACTCACTAGAAAAAGAAGCTAAATTAAACAGGTGAAGAGTGAAATCATAAAGCTGGGCCCCCGAAGGGCAACAATGAAGTGACCTGTGACTGACAACTAATGGAGCTGTAAACTCCACAAGATTAAAATTAAAATTCTAATTCTAAGCCAGTTAAGCACACACACTGTTGTAGCACATGCAGAGTGAGCCCTGGCATTGTCTTGCTGACATAACCATGGCCTTCCTCAGAAAAGATGTCTTGATTCCTGCATATGTCTCTCTAAAATCACAATATATGCCTCCCTATCAATGTTGTCCTCACACGTATGCAAGTCACCCATGCCATGGGCACTGATGCAGCTCTGTACCATCACAGATGTTGGCTTTTGCACCTTTCGCTAATAAAACCCTGGATGGTCCCTTTTGTCTTCGGGGCAGAGAACTCAAAATCTGTTTTCACCAAAAACATATATATATGTATTTATATGCTTCTTCCCCCAAGTTACCCCATACTATTTGTAATAATTATTCTGCATGTGCATTTCAAAAACATGATGTCAGATCTTTAATCTTTCCGCTGATCAGAAATTATTTGGTCCAGCAGCCCCCTGACCCTTTTACAGGTGCTGAAAAAGACCAAGAATAAGTGTTCAATTCGTAATACAACCATTTATTCACACAAACAGCCAAATGTGCCATAATCCTAATGTTTGCTTAAGCATTAACAGACAAAGTCATTCCATCTCATAATGTCTCATTAAAATATGCAGATGTGATGGGGAGAACACAGTATACACAGTCACAGTTGTAATTAGTGTAATGTTCATCACTGCTGCGAGCAGAAGAAACTGATGAGTTCAGTACTGGAACAGCCTGTAGAGGAGAGGTTTATCTGATAACCGCAGCACATTTTGCAACTCCCTTTCCATCAGTAATGTAACGTTTCTATTATAGCTCGTTATTCTGAAAAATGACAGTGAAACAGTGAAGTAGCCTAGTGTTTTATTGTTTTTTTTATTTATTAGTGTTTTATTATCTGTGGATAGATAGATAGATAGATAGATAGATAGATAGATAGATAGATAGATAGATAGATAGTCTCCTGATAAGAATGGAAGCTATAATAAAGACAGAGGCAACACACTAAATATTGAAAAAAATAGTAATATTTTTGTTGTTCTGGGGCTTCTGTGTAAATATATGTTTTCTCCAGATACTGAAAATGAATAGCTTGTATTCTATGGCCATGTTGACTGGAAATTAAATTAATGAAGGATGTTCTCTGATTTTTGTACAGTACTGTGTCTCAGGTATGTTTGTCAGGGGAGCAGCTGAAACTTTTAGAATGAGGTGGTCAGGTGAGACCCAGAGATTTTATTGCGGGACACACTGGAAAAAAAAGCATTAGCGTCTGTACATAACTAAATCTGTCCATCATTTCTACATTGATAAAATGGTACATCAACACAGTTATTGCTCAAAATAAACTGAAAGACCAAACTGTGTTGGTATAACATCTTTTAGTCATTCACGAGAAATTGATGCATTTGAATCAAGAATGTTTTTTTTTCAGGGCACAATGCTAACTTTAAGAAAAGCATTTCATATAAACAGGCCATGGAAGTTATTAAATTAGATTACATTTACTAGGAGGTAAAAGTGTAACACATGAGTCTAATGATTAGAAAGCCCGCCGGACAGCACTGTATAAGGCGGGGGTCGGCAACATGTGGCTCCAGAGCCGGATGCGGCTAATTTACTGCTCTGTTGCGGTTCCGCAGCAGAATTAGATGTTTAGATAAAAATAGTCTTACTTTGCAGTAAAATAAAGATCTGTTGATCATTCTTACACAGTTTTAACACTACATGGTCTTAAACGCTGGAGTTAAAGTAGCCTATATCTGCTAATTCACCAACCTTTAACCCTGAAGATTGGCATGTAAACTACTGGTCATCATAGCAACCCAGACAACAATCTCGCCTAGCTAGCAGCTAACGAAACGGCAAAGAGAAAGATTTAAAATAAACATCAATGACTTGGAGACGAATGGACTTTTTGCATTTATAAGCACTCAGCTGGTTTCCTGATATGTTTAGTCTGCAACGACAAACTGTCAAACACTAAAAAGTCATGAAGATGAAGTCAGTTTGTCTTTTCGAATTTTCCTGTTCCACCTTAAATGGTGCCTGAGGCGGCAGAATGTGACTGTGGCACCACTTTAAGGTGGAACAGGAAAATTCGAAACGAGAAACTGACTTCATCTTTGCAAAAAGTCGAACGTTGAGAGACATTTTATGAGAAGCTATTCTATTTGTGGGTAGAAGTTTCCTGTTGGAGATGCGAGAAAAGCTTAAAGCACAGCAAAGTGAGTCTGCATTTCGTTTATATTTTTAGCCTATACTAGTACATTATCACATACTGAGACATATTTACAGTCAAGATGTTAAAATGGACATAAAATGTGGCTCCCACTATGTTTCAAAACGGCTCTTCTGAACATTTGGGTTGCAATCCCTGGTTTAAGGTAACCTATGACACGTGTGAATTCAACTGTAAAAATATATTAGCATGATAAATGATAAAAGATGACTAATTTTTAATAGTTAACAAAGCTTACCATCGAATAGCCTATTTATGATGTAGCTCACAGAGCAGCACTGTTGAAGGGACCCAGTGCACGTTCACTCACTTGTTTGTTTATTATTAAATACTGCATCATCAGACTCTCATAACTGTTAACTACACTGATGGCAGATTTTCACTATAAAACATAACTGATGATCACTGATGACCGTCTCATTCTCTACGACTGAGGCAGCCAGACGGGTGGTCATGCTTCATCCAGGTTGGCACTGGTCACCCCTTGGCTGAGCCTCTGGTGTCTGTGTGGAGCCGTTTGTGTTGAAGCTACAAAAGTTTGAAGGCTGTTTGAAGACGGTTGTGGATGTTTGTTTTCGGTTGAGGTGTGTGTGTGTGTGTGTGTGTGTGTGTGAGTGAAACACAGGCCTGTTGATGTGCGCTTCTCATGTGTGTGTGGAGCTCTTGTCTCTGCACCCGGTGAGCAGTCTGAGCGCGCGCTGTCTGAAGCGCCTCTCTCCCGCGCTGTAGATCACCACGTTCCAGCAGCTGTTGGCCGCGAGCCCCCAGAAGGCGAAGAAGGAGAAGCCGCACCACTCGTTGCCGCGCGCGTTGCCCACCACCAGCACGGCCACGGGGCTGAAGGACGCGGTGAAGGCGAGCGTGAGCGCGCCGATGCTCCTGGCCGCCCGGATGTCCGCGCCGCTTGGCAGCCTGCGCGCGCCCGCGCTCGTGCCCGCGCCCTCGTTCCCAGCCAGGCGCCTCCTGCGGCGCGAGTGCCTGCGCAGACTGCCCAGAGACACGAGGTTCACGAGTACAGCGGCGCCCAGCAGCGTGAAGTCGAAGGCAGGGAAGAGCAGGAGCGCGCTGGCGGCAGCGCGCGGCGCGTACGTGCACATCCTGCTGCACGGGTTGTACTCGAGCGCCACATCGCGGCCGAACAGCAGCGGCGACACGGCGAGGAAGAAGCTGCCGAGCCACGAGAGCGCGATGAGCGCGCCCGTGCGCCTGCGCGTCACCACGACGTCGCGGTGCAGCGGCCTGAGTACGGCCACGGCGCGCTCCACGGTCAGCAGGAAGATGGTGCTGATGGACACGAGCGTGCAGCCCGCAAACACGGGGCCCACGAGCGCGCACGGGTGCAGCGCGCCGTCACCGCCGCTTCCACTCACGGAGGCGCGCGCCGTCCACGCGGGGGCTGGACCGCCCAGCGCGAGCGCCAGCTCCGCGTGCACGGACAGCGGCACCACGAGCGCGCCCACGGTCAAGTCGGCCACGGCCAGTGACGCCTTCAGGTAGCCGTGCGGCGTGCGGTAGCGGCGCGTGCCCAGCAGCACCGCCAGAGTCAGCGAGTTGCCCAGCAGCGTGGCAGCTGCCAGCAACAGCATGAAGAGCAGCGCCACCGCGCGGCCGAGCGCGCTACAGCAGCACCCACCGCAGCCGAACCACACGTCTTCTGGCATGGAAAGTCCGAGTCCAGCAGCCTGAAGAGGATCTCCTGCTCCTCTAGAGAAGCAGCAGGAGGTGAAGGAGTTGAAGGTGGAGAAGTCCAGCAGCCTAGTCGAGGATCTCCTGATTCTTTAGATCAGGAGTAGGAGGAGGAGGAGTTGTAGGACGAGGAGGAAGAGTCCAGCAGCCTGTGGAGGATCTCCTGCTCCTCTAAAGAAGAAACAGGAGGAAGAGGAGGAGTTGTAGGACGAGGAGGAAGAGTCCAGCAGCCTGTGGAGGATCTCCTGCACCTTTAGAGAAACAGCAACAGGAGGAGAAGGATGAGGAGGAAGAGGAGGAGGAGGTAGAGTCCAGCAGCCTGTAGAGGATCTCCTGTTCCTCTAGAGAAGTAGCAGGGAGAGGAGGAGGAGTTGGAGGACGAGGAGGTAAAGTCCAGCAGCCTGTAGAGGATCTCCTGCTCCTCTAGAGAAGTAGCAGGAGGAGGAGGAGGTGTTGGAGGACGAGGAGGTAGAGTCCAGCAGCCTGTAAAGGATCTCCTGCTCCTCTAGAGAAGCAGGAGGAGGAGGAAGAGGAGGAGTCCAGCAGCCTGTAGAGGATCTCCCTGCTCCTTTAGAGAAGCAGGAGCAGCAGCAAGAGGAGGGGGGGAGGAGAAGGAGTCTAACAGTCTGTAGAGGATCTCCTGCTCCTTTAGAGATGCAGCCGCAGGAGGAGGAGGAGGAGGAGTCCAACAGCCTGAGGATCTCCTGCTGTTTTAGAGAAGTAGCCGCAGGAGGAGACGGAGGAGGAGGAGTCCAGTGGATGGAGAGCAGAAAGTGGAGAGTTTTTATTCTGTCTTCTGTTATAAACCTGTACTATTTATATCTTAATTCCACTGGCAGGTACCGTCCTAGAGCTCAATGAGGACTTGGAGTTCAGGTTTGTGGATAATAAAGGGACTAAACGATGAAGGCAGAGAGGAAAGTGAAGCGCTGCTGCTGCTGTACATGATGATGATGACGATGATGCTGTGACTCGGTGTATCAGCTTGCTGCGCGCGAGGTGTGAGCGCGTGTGTTTGTGGTGTGAAGAGCCCGCGTGAAGTCGCTTTTCGTCCCATGCCTGTGTGTGACCGCAGCGCTGCGCGCGCTCTGCGTTTGGCACGAAGAGGTGCGCTGAGCACGGGCGCGGATGCAGATGTGACGTTTTCTGTAGACTGTCACTGATTGCATAGGTTTGTTTGGTTGTTTGTTTACATGTTTGCACAATAACAAGCCTTATCGAACTACACTGTATGTCCAAAAGAATCCGGACACCCTTTTAACCAGTGAAATCAGCTACTTTAAGGCGGCCCAACGCTGACACAGGCGCTCAGGGGCACACACAGCTAGCATAATCTCAGTAGAAAAGCATTACTAATAGAATGAGACGCTCCGGAGCAGCTGCACATGAGCCTAAGATCACCATGTCCAATGCCAAGAGTCATTTAGAGAGGTAAAAAGCCCCCCAGCATGTGCCCTGGAACAGTAGAATTGTGTTCTCTGGAGTGATGGAGCTCCATCCAATACCTTTGGGATGAGTTGGTTTAGGCTGAGGTTAGAGTTGAGATTAGGGTCAGGATTAGAGTTAGGATTAGGTTTTAGGTTGAGGTTAAGGTTATGATTAGGGCCAGGGTGAGGGTTTTGGGTTGAGGTTAGGGTTAGGATTAGGGTCAGGATTAGGGTTAGGTTTTGGGTACAGTTATATTTTGCTTAATGGAAGTACCATATAAAGTCTACTTCAGGTAACATCAACAATACAGATATTTAATGTAAGTAATGTGTGAACAGTATATCTTCAGGGTATTTACCTCAGTGCATTCAGATGCTTCTCTACTGCTGCTTCACTGATTTGTTGTTGACATGTTACTGATATTCTGTAAAGAGTTATTAATCATCTACAAAGGACCAAACAAAAATAACGTTTTACCCTTCTTTTCTTTAAAAATAATACCCAAGTCTTCTTTGTCTGTCTTTCCACCATAAAATACTCTTGAAAATACATTTTAGGCCAAAAGCTTCTTTCAAAATTATTAAACAATGGATGAGGCATCAGGTAGTGTATTCATAACCATTTCATGTAATAACTTTCTGTGATGGGGCTTAAACTAGGCATTAAACTCTTCAGACATCTGGTTCCTATCACCATCACTGTGAACAATTCTGACTAGAGCATAGCATTTCACACCAAACCACTCTGAATGACTTTGTTGACATTTTAATGATATAATTATGCAGAAAATTTGCTACATTTGTGGACTTCCTCTTTAAGCTATTACAGTTCTTTTTTATTTTATAAAAAAATAATCAGATGCGTCAATAATGTTAACATCTATTTACAAAATAAATAACTATTAGAATAAACTTACACATCTTTAAACATAACCTACAGATCATTGTGTTCTTCATGTCAGATCACAACTGTTTATCAGCAATGAATATTCTGAACCTGACTTTCTGTAGTGAGACAGGTGGAGGCGACAAAGAGCTAAAACACACCAAAAACACATACATGTGAATCAGTGCAAATACACGTTTTGTTTTTTGTTCCCTTTTGCAATGGAATCAGAGAAGTATTGCATGATTTCTTAGTGATCTATTCTTTTCCATTAAGAATTCATGCAGTACTTAGATTATATTGCAAAGTGTGACAAAAATAAAATCACTTTATGTGGCTGACTAAGAACTCCTGATGTGATATCAAAACGTTTTGTAATCTGATATGATATTATTGGGAGATGGTATAACCCTGTGCATTTCACACTAAACCATGTAGCAGTAATGACAATCTATAAAAAGGTTTACAGGTATGACTGTGTGTGTATGTGTGTATGAGTGAGTGATGGTAGGAATGCATGATTTATTTTATTTTATTTTATTCTATTTTATTTTATTTACTACATGTACTACTGTTTGTCTGATACTGTGCACTGTGAGCTCCTGTAACCAAAACCAAATTCCTTGTATGTGTAAGCATACCTGGCCAATAAAGCTTGATTCTGATTCTGAAAAAAGAATTCTGCTGACCATCTCACCTCATCACCACTCTCATAATGCACAAAAAATGAGTGGGGTGTCTTTTATACATTCCAGATCCCTTGTATCTTAATTTTGGCAGAATAGTCTATTATGGGTGACGATGATATTGACAGAATGAACAGTGAAGAATAAAAGAATCTCTAAGGCACAGAAAATTGAGCCGAATAAAAAAAAATCTCAGAATGAGTTGCTGTGTGAACAACTTCAAAGGCCAGATTATAGTGTTGAAAAACAAGAGCAGCGCTGTAACAGAACACCGCACCTGTATGAAATACACAGCATATGACGACAGCTGGCACTGTACAGCAGCCCTCCAGACATCCACAACAGGAAATACGCCTAAGATCACTGATCTCCTGATGTGATCACAAGAGATCTGAATCTCAGATTAGGACTGGGTAATATTGATTAAATTTAATATCACAATACTTTCCATCTAAATGCAATGTCATGATATTAGATGATATGTAAGTTTGCATTAAGTTAATAAGTCAGCATTAATAAAGTTGATGTTGTTGATGTGATGTTTCCTGAGTCCTGCTAGTCTATATGCTAAAAGAATGTATTACAAACATAGTTTGTTTTGATTGGACTGTTTGTTCTGCTTTTGTCTCCTAAAATGAAACCATACACAGCACTGTAAATGCTAAGCAGACAGCAAACACATTTCCAGAAATGAAAATGACTATTTATTTTATTTTTTAATGTATGTTAAATTGTTGTTTCAAAACAGTTTGAAGCACAGAGTAAATGACATGCATTATAGTTAACTGTCACCATGAGTAAAGTGCACAAAATACTACAAAACCGCTTTGAATGGCTATTTTATGACCATTATAACAAGGATGATATTCACAAAAAACATTGCTAAACCTGAAAATCAGTATTACCTTATATGTCAATGTCATTAGTAAAGCGATATAGAAGAAAGTCATATGCAAAAGTTTGAACACCCCCATCAAACTACGGATTGTTGATTTATTAAATGAAAATGCCTTAACACATCTTTTGGTTAACAAACTAAAACATGCAATATTTCTATTTATTTGTGAAGTTTAACATATTGGAAAAAAACATAAAAGATCAAATGTGCCAAAACCTTTGCACAGGCTACATTATATGTTTTATGCCCCCCTTACCACCATTAAATTGTGCAAATAAACAGTAACTGTGCGTTCTCTGTAGCAGATGTGTAACTTATTTTCACCTGTCAATCTTAATTAACCTTGTGGTTATGACCAGGGATGGATTACTGGCTGGGCCACTGGGGCCAGTGCTCAGGGGTCTTTGATTGTTAGGGAAGCTATGGGGCCCCTTAGACAAGGCCTGAAGTAACTCAAACACTGGGACAATCCACTGCAAACATTAACATTAGATGAACGAGTAGCCCTTGAATATTGTAGCATCTGCACAGAAGAAGAACCAGGAAACAAATGCTCTTTTATTGAACAGGCACTTCAACAACCCAAAACATGGGGAGGGGGACACAACATACAAGGAGGGTAAAAACTTCCAACACACTGTAACCCACCCTCCTAGTTCACAATTACACTAATAACTCAGCTACACACTATAACTAACCTACACACAACAACAACACAACAGTCCATTTTACACTGGGAATGTGGCGGCTCCCGTGAGCCCATTTGCATGGCCACAAACCCTAAGCTCCCCATGGCAGCGCAGCCACAACATGTACAAATGACTAAACAAATGAAATAAATGAAGAAATGTCTTTTTCCAGCACATTTTCTGGTGTCAATCATTACTGACTCATGAGATGTTGTTACCACTCCACTGAGATGTTAACCTTTAGCCATCCGTAAGACTACTTCTGCTTTTTGTGGCTTGACAAAAAAAGAGAAAACACAAAAATCTCAAAATCTTACCCAAAACCTGTTATGATAGAATAGTGTTCATTACTGAGGCTATATTGTTCCGGTTCACTTACAATAAACACAATCATGACGTATTGTTTAATCTCACTTTTCTGGCTTTGTACTACTGTGATTATCAGTGAAGACTGGAGGAGCCTCCCAGGACTCTTGTGGTAATGATCTGTGTCTGGTTCTGTCTGTTTTACAGTTCAGTGAGATCTAACAGACAGACTGTGGCTCTCGACACTTCCTGAGCGAACACAAGCCGCTCTGGTTCACGCATTAGAAATGCAGGACTCCAAAAATAACTATGACAGTTTCGAGCACAGGCTGTGGACGTTAATAGGGGGTGTGTGGCACTTGTTGATGTTAATGTTGTTATGAAGAAGTGTTTGTCCTGTCTGACTAGTTAAGGATCAGTACAGCGAGCAGGAGCTGCCCGTTTCTCCCACACTGACTCAGTGGCGCCTACATTCCCTTCCCTTCCACTCCACAGCACACTCAGCCATATTGCTGCTACTCGCATCGGACTCTACCTTTACCCTTTTACCCCTGGCTGCACGGAAAAGCGTCCGAAAAGTTGGAAGGGCCCAGAAGAAGCACACAGACTAACTCGATAGCGTGATTTGGATTTTACATTTCACTGTTGTCACTGAGAGAGTCTCCGGTCGCTGCGCGGTTGCTGCCCAGATTAAACGCCGCCCGCCCGTCGCTGTGCTGGGTAAGTTTGGTAACTTAAGTTGGTTAGCCTCGGATGTTTACTTCATTCGTGTCCGTCAGACCAGCTAGGGACCCAAACCCTGGTACTCAAGAGAACTGGCCGCGAAGTTAACTTCTATTTTTTCAGCAAAAAACAACTTTTATGCGAGCTCAGCCGCGCTAGCGAGCTAACGGAGTTAACTGTACCCTCTGGTGTTGACGCTAGCCTGGCTTAGCCAACCTGCCCAGAGTTAACTGTACAACCTTCCAGCTACTGTCACTCTGGTTATGGTGCTGGCTGACAGGCAACATCGCTAAATAACACAAAAATCTGTTTGTCTGCGTATTAGGTTACAGGTTTTAATCGCAAACGAGCAGCTCTCACCCAAACAACACAGCAGGTTAAGTTAGCTAACTGGCTAGGAGCTAACTAACTTCCCTATGGACCGAAACCACTTCGGTCAGTGGAGCTGGCTAACGCTAACGTCAGCGAGACCAGCAGACCGCTTCTTATAAACTGATCCTTTTTATCTGTAGAGGGCCACCTCATTTTCTGTAGTTTTTTTTTGTTACAAATGTGTTGTTTTGTCACTGTGGTAAACGGAGTTTATGGGAATTCGGTGAAAGTGAAGCCTCTTCTGAAAAGTTTTGGGCAAAATGGAAGGTTTCGTTAGCTAGAGAAGGCTCGTATCAGTTAGTTAACCTAACCCACTTGTTGGACAATAATTTGGGATGTATTCGTAAAACCTACAACGTTTTCTTTCAATTTAGCCACATATAACTTGCCTAGACGTTATTTAGTAGTATCAGTGATATATATGCATCTATGTATGTGTGTGTGTATGTGTGTGTATATATGTATGTAGATATATATATATATATATATATATATATATATATATATATATATATATATATGTATATGTGTGTAATCAGTAAGCCATTCATATTAAGGGAAATTGGTAGTATCTGTTTTTCGAACTGTTTACTTTGACGTGTGACTATCAAAGATTACACAGGGCTGCGTTTTACCAGTGTCCACATACTATGTGAATGCACATGTTAGTCTGTCTAGCTGTCATGGAGAGCACACTGGTCTATTGTGCGCCCAATAGGTTGCCATTACTCATCACCTACACACCTACACAGAAAGCAGGGCAGTGGGTAAGGAGTGGAACACTTTAGGTCAGCAGTGAGGAGGATTGCAGCACTGCTGAGCTGACTGCTTTCACTGATGTAACAGACCTGATTCAATACATTAGCTAATTGCAAAGCCAGGATTTAGTGTCTGGGTTATTAGAGCAGAGTAAACACAGAGTATGACCCTCAAGAGTATGACACCCCTGGTTTTGTTGATCAGTGGGTGACCACCTTCAGCTAGTATTTCTAGGGATGCACTTTAATATTGGAATCATATCGACAGGGGTTTGAAGTATAACTTATAAATATTTCAATTGCATGTTTCATATAAGACGTCATAATTAGACCTGTTTAATTGGATTTACCACAGAGTAGTAGGTAAAATATTAAATAGTAGTTTAACAGTTTTTAAATGTGACGCTACAAGTGTATTTTGTCTGGTGTGCTGAAATCTCACGATACATACCAGTTATTGTGAAATCATTGGCATCAGACAGATGTTTATATTTCACCAGTATTTGATGACGTGTTTATTGTAATCTAGAAGAGCGGGACATTTAGGTGACACTGGGTTACTGTGCTAAAAACTGCATTTTGTAATGCTATGGGTATTGCTTTTATGTTTCTCTCTAATGCTAACGATTTATGTATCGGCATTGACAGATACACACATGGAAACTATCGGATATATACATCTGTTCACAATTTCCTACATCAGTGCATCCATAAGTATTTGTGTCTGCTAGTGAATAATAGAAAACCCATAGACTGCAATGAAGCAATTTTTGTGCTTACTGCTGTATACTGCACCATCTTACAGCCCCTGTCTGGCAATTGTACATTTACAGTAACCTTCAGCTAGAGTGACTTACTGGCTGAGATTGGAGATACGGCAATATATGATCATATTGTGATAAATTACGCAATATGTTATTTTTTCTGAGCATACTGTGGATGTTATCTGTACTTTAAAGAACACTGAACAACTGCATGTTTCATTACAAAATTAGGGTTCTGTTTAACTGGGTTTAGTACAGTGCTGTAAGTGAAATGTTGAATAAAAATTATTGTGTTCATATTTTTTGATAGTTTTTTTTTTTAAATGTGACACTGCTGGTTCCTTTCTGTTTTAACTTAACACATGATTCATAGACTAGTTTTTGTCCAGTTTATAATCCATTTTATAGAAAAACTGGTTTTACTTCCATAACCATCTAAATCCTAGACTAGGTATTGTGTTCTATGTGACCCATTTTTTTCCTTGTTTAAAGCCATTTGTCCAAAGTGCACTGTAGTCAGGTGCTACTCTCTGTAAGAGAAATGCTTGTTTTACGAGAATAGGTGTGCAAATAAGAAGTGCTCTGTCTTTTTAGTGTCAGGCTGTGTAAAGGGGAGCCTATGATTATGCACAAAATCCACCCTGTGGGGCTGAAATGATCATAATGTTTATACGTGTTTGACATTTCCTGACTTGTTTGTCAGTTAGCAGTTAGAAGTGGTTGACTACAAAGTGAATGGCAAACTATCTGCCACGCTACTCTGTTTTTTTGACAGCAAAGCTTAATAGCAATGCAATGAAAAGTATGACATGAGGTCAAAATGTCAGAACATAGTTTTTATGAAATCCTATGTATTGAAAGTGTAACAAACAGTATTCAAATACCTAAATAAATAAATAAAAAGCTAGAAACATGAAAGGTTTCACCATCATTTATTGCGTGCTGAGAAATCTGTACCTGATTGTTTGGGGATTGATTTATTGATTAATCTTTATATTTTAGGCAGCTGTGATTTAGCATTCCACCAGTTAGCCTACAGAGTAATGGCTCTGAGGTATACAACTATTACACTGTTAATATTTGTCAATAAGATCCAGATCCATTGTGTAGGACTTGCCCAGACGGACAGGCTTAACAAGGAGGGGCCACCAGAGTCGCCACACCTGCATTAGCTGCAGCAGTGCACTCAAAAGAGAGAGAGAGGAGCAGACTACTTTGTGCTTGTTAGAGCAATCTGAAAATGAAGTGTATTCACAACAATAAATGGGTATTTCACAGAAGCAGTCCAAAAAAACACAAACAATATCAATATTAGGCGTTTATCACTGTGCACCGTGATTTTCCTGCAACATGTAAAAGGTTGACGAATAATTAGGTAATTAAATTGGATAATAGTAAATGTTAAACATGTTAAGAAAAAAAAGTAGTAATTTAAGAAAGTAGGTCCAAAAAAAAAATCTTATCAGCCTAGAGTGCCCCATTCGTCACAGAATAAATTATGTGACTTTACTGCAGCGTTGATTGGCATCCTAGTGTACTTTACGAAAATATAAATGTTGCACCAGACTCTGTCTAAACTCATTATTAAAGGTTTTAGATTCTGGATTTAGGCATCGCTAGTTCCATGTAACTCCCTACTTTAGTGAAAATTGTATAAAATTTTAGTGTAAAATGTCTGCAAATTGGATGATGTTATTGAAATGAAGAAAAAGCGTAGTGTGATAAAATCCCCACTGTAAATGATGGTGTGACTTAAACTGAATGTATTTCCCCCCAGCCTTGTGTACTGATTGTTTGTTTGTTTGTTTTTAATAAAAAAAACAGCCTTTTTGTTGATTAACAACAATCGTTGACCATCAGTAAATTCAAAAATTGACAAAGCGTTTTTTTAATGAGTGATCTACATTGCAAGTAAGTGTAGCCTAATGTAAATGTTCTTCTGTATTTAGCTTGCTGATAGATCATATTCTTCTGTGTGCCTGACTACCACATGTTTTCACCAGTGCGTGCTTTTACTTCAGTAATGTTTTGCGTTTAATGCTGGGCGCAGGAGCTTTGAAAAATGGTCTGTACATCCTAATGGATTTGTTCAGTTGTACGTCCGTATGGAAATGGAGGGTAGTGCTGATCTACTTGGTATTCAGCTGACAATATACAGAAGAATTGGAAGGAGTTTTGAATGAGAGAACCAGATGTTGTCGCAGTGCATTCCTTTCACTAGTGTTCGTCGTTAGTGCAGCTCTGTGTATTTCAAACAGTAAAGACTTGCTGTTTTTTTTTTTTTAAATAACTGAAGTTGTACTGTTAGTACAATATAAGTAAAATATGCTAAAGTCACTAAATGTTAGGAGTAATAGAATATTACAGTGATGACGTTTTGGCTCATGAAGGTCCTTCAGATGGGAAAATATAGTTCTGCAGTGGTGAAGTTAATTCTTGTCCCTGTGAGCTAAGATGCACCACATTAGCCAGTTTAATAACAGTGTTGATCGACTTACTGTTTACTACAGTCCACCATCTGAACCGTTAGTTCATAGTAGGTTCAAATTGAAGTACCAAACTTTATACTTGTTGGAGCTTTTAGAATTACAGAACACAGTGATTTTTTGTGAAAGTCAAGAGTGACCGCTGGCTGAAAGGAAGGCTGCTTCTGGTGTTGCATGTGTTAACCAGTCCAAAGACGTTTGTGGTTAGCTGTTGTGAAGATCACGCTAATGCTGTTTGTAAATTTGTACAAGTAACCATGGTATGTTTTGGTGTATAGGGTTGGGTAATATAGCAATATTTTGTTATCGTGAGAAATTGTAGTATGCTTTCTGAGCATATGATGGATATTGTCAGTACGTAAAGAACACTGCACAACTGCATGCATCATTACATAGAAAGCATAATTAGTCCTGTTTAGTTGGAATTAGTGCATTATGTGAAACCTTGAACAACAATCATTGTATTCATAGTTTTTGATATTTTTTTTTTTTGGTTTAATGTTACACAAAGATATCAGGAATCATCTTGGTGTTGACAGTTATATGCTTTAAAAAAAGGAAAAGTGGTATTTCAAATTGATATTTGGTAAAGTGTATATATTGTACCCTGGAGCAGT